TTAATTGGGTAAAAGAATAGCAAAGTCTTAGTAAAATTATTTGGCGTTTAAATTAATTGTGATAAACATATTACTATTTACCTTTTTCGCCAATTTTGTTTTAATAAACATGTTGCGTATTTGCCTTTTTAACATTTTACTTTTTACTTACAGTTTGCGTTACTATTTAGAATAGCCCCAATTTTTCACTAACAACAATGAAAGATGATGATTTCCAAAGGAAAAAAAACGGTGGAATAAAGTCAATAATTTACATCCTACTAGGATAGTGGGACAAAGTCAATAATTTCGCGATGATGCTTTTACTTAGTTACTCGGTTTAACTAAATGCAAAGGCAAAAGAAAGTCAGTCCATAATTAAAGTAAAGTAAGCTTTCACACATGAGATGAGCTTCCTTTGCCTTTATATGGCTTCGGAGTAGAGAGACACAGCCTATAATCCTTGTCAATTCAAAACCTCACTTTTCATTTCCAATGGGGCGAAAAGTCCTTAATACCCTTGTCTTCTCCGTCGCTCTTCTCTTCTTCTCTTCCTCCTCCGTCTCTTCTTCTCCCCGATACAACACACTCGTCGTCAACACTCTTCCTTCTTCCCCAACCCTCCTATCTCCTGAATCCGAATCCGAATCCTTAATCAGTGATTCCGAATCCACAACTTCACTCTCCGTTCGTTTATCACACGTCGATGCTCTCTCTTCCTCCTCGGATGCTTCTCCGACGGACCTCTTCAACCTCCGTCTCCAGCGAGACTCCCTCCGTATCGAATCTTTGATCAGCCTCGCCGCCGTCAAAGCCGGCCGGAATGTCACGAAAAGAGCTCCACCCTCCGCCGGTGGTTTTAGCGGCGCTGTCATCTCCGGTCTCTCACAAGGAAGCGGAGAGTATTTCATGAGGCTGGGCGTTGGAACTCCGGCGACTAACATTTACATGGTCCTCGACACGGGAAGCGACGTCGTTTGGCTCCAATGCTCTCCTTGCAAAGCGTGTTACAACCAATCCGACCCGATTTTCAACCCGGCTAAATCAAAAACTTTTGCCACCGTCCCATGTGGATCACGTCTTTGCCGGAGGTTAGACGACTCGTCTGAATGTGTAAGCCGTCGAAGCAAGACTTGCCTCTATCAAGTATCGTACGGTGATGGGTCGTTCACCGTGGGAGATTTCACCACCGAAACGCTGACGTTTCACGGAGCGCGTGTGGATCACGTAGCGTTAGGATGCGGTCACGATAACGAAGGCTTGTTCGTGGGTGCGGCTGGGCTGTTGGGCCTGGGCCGTGGAGGATTATCGTTTCCGTCGCAGACGAAAAACCGCTACAGCGGGAAATTCTCTTACTGTTTGGTTGACCGGACGAGTTCCGGTTCTTCGTCTAAACCGCCGTCAACTATCGTCTTCGGAAACGACGCCGTTCCGAAAACTGCCGTTTTCACGCCGTTGCTAACGAACCCGAAGCTCGACACGTTTTACTACTTGCAGCTTCTAGGAATCAGCGTTGGCGGTTCACGTGTTCCCGGCGTTTCGGAATCGCAGTTCAAGCTTGACGCCACCGGAAACGGCGGGGTTATTATCGATTCCGGAACATCGGTAACTCGGCTGACGCAATCTGCTTACGTGGCGCTTAGAGACGCGTTTCGTCTCGGAGCGACGAGGCTCAAACGTGCTCCGTCGTATTCTCTGTTCGACACGTGTTTCGATCTCTCGGGGATGACCACTGTGAAGGTTCCGACGGTGGTGTTTCATTTCGGCGGCGGAGAGGTTTCGCTTCCGGCGAGTAATTATCTGATTCCGGTGAACACTGAAGGACGGTTCTGTTTCGCGTTCGCCGGAACAATGGGTAGTTTATCGATAATCGGGAACATACAGCAACAGGGTTTCCGGGTCGCTTATGACTTGGTCGGGTCACGGGTCGGGTTTTTATCTCGCGCCTGTTAGAGTTTGAGTTTGAAACTTTGAGTTGACTGATTTATTCCCAAACTCTCTATGGGAGAACAATAAAACAAAAACAAAAAAGCAATTTATCTATATTGTCATCATAATCAATTCATCATATTACTCATTGGTTATTACTCATTATTAATGAAGATCCCGAGATGGAATTTTTTTTTTTCTATAGGGTGTGGTTTAGATTTGGTTTGAAAAATGTAATATTTACTTCTTTACTTTCAAGTAAATCCTAAATGTATTGTTTGCTTCAGACAAACTTTAGAGAAAAATGCTTTATCAAAAAAGAAAAATGAAATAACTGGTAACGCACTAGCTAGTTTCTCTTTAATGGCATAGTGTTCATTTCGCTATAATGTCAAAAACAAGTTTTTTTTTTTTTTTTTTTTGAACAATTTTCAAAAACAAGTTATTACCGCTTAAAAGTGTTGCTCGATTATGACTACCACTACACTAGCTCACGCGAATTCTTAATACATCTATCTAAACATTTTTTTTTCTTCTTCTCTAATTCATCCCTTTTTTTTGGTACTAAGGTGCTATATATATACAAATCATTTCGGTTCGGTGCATCTCGATATTTTGATATGCAAATTAAAGTTTAAAGCATATATATCGTAAACGACACACATGGTATCGTTAACAAAGGGTGGAAATACACTCTTGTTGTTTTCTCTCCATGTGAGTGAGAGAGAGAGTGGAGATCAGAAAGTTTTTGGTTTTACGTGTTTTAAGAAGCAATGTCTACTTTGACGATTGTACCAAAATAATTTCCTCAGTACGTAACAAATCAATAACAATGATTAAAAATCAGAATTGAGATAGAAAATATAAAATTAAAACATCCTCGAGAGCGATACAGAGACAAAGTGCGGCATATGGACCCACATGGTCAGAATAATGCAACCACCGAACGAGCCACCAGTTTTAATACCCACTTCTTTCCCGCTGTTTCCTCCGCAAATATCTCCTCTCTCACTCACTTGCGTAGTTAGTGGAGATGTGATCAGTCCATTTTTATGCTGCGTTTTTAAAAAGACATTTATTTCTATTTACCTTTTTTTGTACAATATCGAAAATTGATAAGATAATTTTAATTGCACGACAACTTTCCGTAACATGATGACAATTTGTATTTCCGATTTATTCCGGGACAAATGTCTTGTTGGATTATTAGAAAAAAATGACTCCAAGTCCACGAATCTATGTCAAAGTTGCACGTGACGTATCGGACAAAGGAAGAAAATACGACTCCATCCCTCAAATATCTCCACTTATTTATTGATTTCCTATTTTTATATTTTTTTATTTACGATTAACGAAAAGCCCAATGAACTACTAGTATGCTGTACTACGGTCCATAACAAAATAAAAGGCAGAAAACGAAATTAAAAGCCCATATATGAACACGGCCTTCAAAATCAGTCATGTTTAATTTGGCCTTCTTCTCCATTGCGACCTTCAAACTTCAAATCGGCGGCGAGATATTCAGATCATATTTCCTCGATCCGTTACCGTACAGCAATCCCCAGTGTTTCTCTACGGCGGCTCCGGTTTTCTGGTCTTCGTCAAACAGAGCAAAGATATACACAGGAGGAACCTTATTCCACCCTCTTCTCAGATGCTCAATCAGCCGTTGGTTGAAAACCCTAGCGTTCTCCATGCTAGCAGCTACTTCACCGGGATCTCCACTCGTCGGCCACCCAATCTCCGAAACGATAACCGGAATCTTCGGTAGTCCCAGGGATTTCACGGCGGAGTCCACGGAATCCAACATTATGTCGAACAGGTTGGTGTATGTGACTCCACTGTACGGATCGGTGTATCTCCGGCGTTTGGGGCTGTTCATCGGCTGAAACAGAGCGAAATCCAGTGGGATCGAAGGGAATGACTGTTTGTAGGCGAGGTATGGATATACATTCACCATGAGAGGAGAATTCGTCCGCTGCAGAAACCTCAGGAGTGGTTTCAAGACCGATTCGCCGATCGATTTATGGAAAATCGCGGTCGACGGAGGGAATCTCCGGGACAGAATCGCGAGGGAATGGGTCGTGGATACTTTGATCTTCTTGTGCAATCGGTACCTCTTGATTGCTGTGTGAACGTTCACCATTGCCGAGACGAGGTGGCCGGAGAATTGCGGCAGTAACGAGACTTCGTTCCCGACGGCGATGGATGTGATGATCGTGTTCTTGTGGTAAGGCAAGATGAAGTTTCTGATGATTGATTCGGCTTCGGAGAGATTGGAGGCAAGAGTAGGGATCTTGTCGTTGGGGATACAGAGGGAGAGAGAGATTCCTGTGTTGGCGAAGGACTTGGTGACCCTTGGATCGATGTCGAAGGTTTTGACATGTTTGATGGAGAGAGAGTTTACGAGCGATGGTATGGCTTCTGGTGGAGGAAGATTGGAGCCGTAACGACCGTAGTTGATTCCGATTTCCGGAACTGGAAACGAAGCGAGAAAGTGAAGAAGAAGACGACCAAAGAAACTCACTTAAGAGTGAAAGAGAAGAGCTTTCTATCAATTTTCTCGGGATTGGCAACAAAGTCTAAAGATTACCTCCAAGATTGGAGCTGTATTGTCCATAGTTGATTCCGATTCCCGGACCTGGAAAACAAGCGAGAAAGTGAAGGAAAACGAGAGAAAGAGGAACATGGAAAACGCAATAAAATGAACCGTGTTTAATTCAATTTTCTCGGGAAACCATGACAGAATCACCAGATTTTACCTCCTTGCGATGGAATCGTCGAGCACGAAGCCATTGAGATGGAGAAGATCGTGAGAATCCAGAAAGCATGTTGCGCCATCATCATCATATTCTCTCTGATTTTTATTTTCTCGACTGTGTGTAACTGATTTTGGTGGGAATATCTTTAGAACTATATATATACTCCATAAGCGATCTCTTATGTAATTACATAAACACCCATGAAATCTGGTGCACGGAGGTTTAAGAAACGGGCAAATACGTCATTTGGATGATTGAGGTGGGGGAGCAAAGTAAACCGATTCAACCAATAAAATTAGAAACGAGCAAATAAGTCAATTCGAACAACCAAGTAAACCGACTAGCACAGTTGAAACATATATTAAACCAACACAAATCGGAAAAATTCATCGATCGGAGGAAATTTCTCTTTTAGGTTTTCTTTCTCTTCCCCACCCCTTCTCGGAAACTAGAAAGGAGAATTCTGAATATCTGTCTTCCGGCGATGGAAGGGAGAGATGACGGCGGAGGGAAAGTTATGGGGTTGATAGAGAAAGCTACGAAATCGTCTGCGCAAGAGGTTGACCCAAGGCTGCTAAAGGCAATCAAATTAACGCTTCGGTATTCTGATTCGGAGGTCCGGCTCGGTGCGGAAACCCTAATGGAGCTCATGAAACATCACCACTCTCAGGTTTTCGTAATTTTGTTTTGGGGGTTTATCTTTATTTAGCCTCTTCGAATCGAATCTCCGTGCGTGTTTGAAATTATCCAAAGCTGCAAAAGAGGAACTTTTTTTTTTTTTTTTTTTTGTTTCTGATACAATAGAATGTAACGCGGGGATCATTTTCTTTGTCAGGTTCGATTACTGACGCTTCACATCATCGACGAGATTTTCATGAGATCAAAGCTCTTTAGAGCTCTAATAGTTGAGAATCTCGATCAGCTGTTGAGTTTAAGTGTTGGGTTCAGAACCAACCTGCCACTTCCTGCGCCTTCCGCTGTTGCCACCATTTTGCGTACAAAGGCTATTGAGTTCTTGGAGAAGTGGAATCTGACATTTGGGTTACACTACAAGGAGATTAGGCTGGGTTTTGATTACCTTAAGAATACCCTCAAGCTCAAGTTCCCTGATTTGCAGGCAAATGCCGCACGGATTCAACGAGAGAGACAGGAGAGAGAGATGAGAACCAAAGAGATTTTACGAAACAAGTTTGATTCTTTGAGGAATACTTTCGGACTCTTAAAGGGTGAGATTGGCGAAACAATAGAGGAAATCAAGGAGTGTCTGGAGATTGTTCAATGGAGAGGGGATGATGGTATTCCGCTTGCGATCTTAGATGAGGAAGATTACGAGGAGATCCGTTGTTCTCATCTGAGGCAGATTCGTCTCGAATCACTGAAACAATCAGATAAGGTTGAGGAAACTAGTGAAAACAGAGTGGTGTTCGATGTATTGAGGGAAAAGTGCAAGCTCCTAGTGAAAAAGCATCTGATCTCGGTCCAAGAAGGTATCTCTCTTCTCACCAGGGTTGACGTAAGTGATAACAGGACTAGAGATTCCTTGTTGAAAGAGCTCATCGATATTAAGAATAACATATTGGCAACTGAGAAGAAATGTGAAGAAGTTGGTTTTACAATCTCAAGAATGATTGACACTCGGGAGAAAGAAGAAACAGACGAGGAAGAAGAAGACGATATCTGGGAGGAAGATGATGGCAAAGTTGGTACTGATCCTGTTAAAAACGTAGCTCCTTTGCCGAGAAGTCAGAACGGTGAGGGTTCGTCTTTCCAATCATCAAGTGAGGCACATAGGTCTACATCAGAATCTAGCTCCAACAAAGCTTCGAGCACTAGAAAATTTGGAACAAGTGGTGGCTCTCTTAGGGATAACCTAATTTCTGAAGCTCCCGTCATGAATTGGGGATCACAGTTGAGTAATTGGGACTCAACAACTGAAGTTCGAGCTAATCACAGAGGCTTAGAGCTCGAGAGCCACTGGGGCAGGGTGGATCAAGATGCTGTAATTCCAGCAGATAAAATAGCAGAATTAAACCTTCAGGCAACTGTTTATAGAGAAGAGAGAGCAGAGATACATCCATGTCATGCTCCTCTAAAGAAAGGTGGTCTTTGTCAGAGAAGAGATCTTCGAGCCTGCCCGTTTCACGGACCCATTGTACCTCGAGATGATGAAGGAAACCCCATAACCCAGGAATCGAGTGAAAACCAAACAGGGATCGACCAGGACGTGCCTATGGATGAATCAACTTTAGTCTCTGATCCTAATCAGCTAGCTAGGCAAATAGCGAAACAAGCTCTGAAGAATATCCGGGAGAAAGACAGAGAAGAGCTAATGAAGATAGCAAACCGAGCAAAGCTTGCAAAGGTTAGGGAACACAATTTTTCAGTTCTGCGTGATGCTGCTTTAGCCTCAACTTCGAAATCAGCTGTTATCGACGAACAGTTTGATAGAGTGTTCGCTGCAAGGAAAAACAAGAAACAAACGTTTTCCTCGACGCGGCGTAAGAAAACAACGTCCAAAGATAGAATATCGGAGAGACTGTTAAGCAACCGGGTGAAAGGTACTAAACCGAAGCAGTTGCCTCCTCAGGGTGATGATGAGAAGTACCGAGAAACAGCGGCTAACCAGTGGTAAAACAAACTAAAATCTTTCTAGGTTAGTCATTTTCTGATCCTGAAAGGCCTTAAATTTGATTCTTTCATGCAAATAGGAGTAGAAAAAAACTAATATCTTTTTGATGAATAATCAGATTCTGTAGTGATTGATTTCTTTTAACTGAGACATAACTTATGTAGAAACAGTTTTCAAGTCATGTCTGAGATTCTCTGAAAGCTTCTTTTTTTTCCTGAGACAAAAACCCAACCGAAAGAGGATTGTACAATGACATGTTCTGTTAAAAAGTAACGACAGATCATGAGAGCTGGATCGTGTTATTGTTCGCTTTTTCTATTATGTGGTGTCTTTAAGGATGATCACTATCATGAGACCAATTTATCAATTATGTATGGAATAATTTTTCTTTTATTCTCAAAGAAATTGTGAGTTTGCTTGAGATGAAGAGTAAAATGTTCTTTTACATTATCATTGGTCTTTTAAGTGACTTTGAACCCAAGCCACCTCGCATTACTTTAGATACATCATCTCTTTAAGTTAATCAGAAAGATGAGTATGGTTTTCATGAATCTTTGAAGTTTGTATAATGGTCGATTTAGTTGAGTTGTGATACTTAAAAATAACTACAATCTTTTACGATTTTTAATGAAATTGTGCAACTCTTACGAAATCTCCTACGCTGGTAATAGTAATTTTTTTTTGTTTGTATATAAATTAATAATATAAAATGTTTGAATCAGCAAAGTAAAAAAACACGTAAAAAGAAAAAAAATGCAATCATGTACACCATTGTACATGCTTAGGCCCATCTTTACTGGACCATGGCCCTCTATTAGTAAATTTTGTCATAAACAATATTTTAATATATAATTAAAAACGAAGAAATCATTGAGTAAGAGGATATTATTAAATGATTATTTTTCCCTATCCTGTATATTCTTCTGAATCGCTTATAATTAAATTTCCAAATAACATTCTCTCTACTACAGTCGCCTTCGTGACCGTCCGATTTTAAATCGCCGTTTCCGGTTAATTTGACGGCATATCTCTCTCTCTCTCTCTCTGGAATTCATGAAGAAAAGCATCTCTCTTTTTTGAAATTCACACTTCACGAGGGTTGACCTGTTTCTGTGGTGTTTCAATTCATCCATCTGTAAATCCAATTTGATCTTCGTCTCGATCGAAGATTAATCAAATTTTCACCTTTCTTCGAGATATCTTTTTTGGGGGTTTCGATGGATTTGGACAGCATGGACTGTACTTCAACCATGGATGTCACAGATGACGAAGAGATCCACCAAGATCGCCATTCGTACGCATCGGTTCCGAAGCACCATAGTAATAACAGCAGCGCGAATGCTGCTTCTGCGCTTCTTCCAACCACCACCAGTGTTCATGAGCTTCTCGAATGCCCTGTCTGTACCAATTCCATGTACCCTCCGATTCACCAGGTCTGTTCTTTTCCAATCCCTTTTCCCCTGATTTTCACCTGATTTTGTTTTTCCGGATCTTTAATAAGTTGATCAGTCTTAGTTTTTGTTGAGTCTCTGATGAAGAACATTGCCAAAATCTATGAGCTTTTCCTACTTGCTTGCATATTTGGATGTTCAAAACATTCTTAAACCTCAGGTTATGTCGGTCTTCGAAAGAAAACGTTTTATGGAAATAAAAAAGAAAACTTGAGATTGCAACTATTTTATTTGAGTTCCAGATATATGGAATTTAGCTTTAGTTTCAAATCTACGTACTGAAAGTTGTCTATTGGTTTGTGCTTCTGTGTATGGATGATCTCACTTATGAATAATGTGGAACTTTGTATGCAAGAATAATCCTTGATCGCGATTTTCTATACCGTTATCTTTATAGATATACCCACTTCTTTAGAGAGTTATGAAAAAACATTTACGGAATGATTTGATTTTCCCTGCAGTGTCACAATGGACATACTCTATGCTCAACTTGTAAAACCAGGGTTCACAATCGCTGCCCAACTTGTAGACAAGAGCTCGGTGATATCCGTTGCTTGGCACTGGAGAAAGTAGCGGAATCTCTTGAGCTACCCTGCAAGTACATGTCACTTGGATGTCCGGAGATCTTCCCTTATTACAGTAAGCTCAAACACGAGACGATATGTAACTTCAGGCCTTACAACTGTCCGTATGCTGGATCCGAGTGTTCTGTTATGGGAGATATCCCTTTCTTAGTTGCTCATCTGAGGGATGACCACAAGGTGGATATGCATTCTGGGTGTACTTTCAACCATCGTTACGTCAAGTCTAATCCTCGTGAAGTCGAAAATGCCACCTGGATGTTAACTGTAAGTACATATGATTCGTGCTTCATAGCAAATCTACAAACTTAAATCTGTTATGTGGCTTTGTTAAAGAGTCATCAGGCTTGTTTATGTGATGAAACTTTGATTAGAGGAGTCAAGTTTTGCTTTTGTTGCGAGTCAGGTTTCACTCGTGCTTCTTAGGGATGTCCAATATGAAAACGTAGTGTCTTTCCTAGAGAAGGTCCAATTATTTGGTCTGAAATCAAAATTATATGGCTAAGCTCTTGCTCTGTGAGATCAATGGTTTTGAAACTTCCATCTCTCTCTCTACACATATATTAAGGAGTTGCTATACTAGAACCGTCCCACACTCTTATCAAAGTTTCTGTCTTTTGGTTTTTGTTTCTGATTCAGGTCTTTCACTGCTTTGGTCAATACTTCTGTCTCCACTTTGAGGCTTTCCAGCTCGGGATGGCTCCAGTGTACATGGCGTTCTTGCGTTTCATGGGTGACGAAACCGAAGCTCGGAACTACAATTACAGTTTAGAAGTGGGAGGTTATGGTCGGAAGCTGACTTGGGAAGGAACACCGAGAAGCGTGAGAGACAGCCACAGGAAAGTTAGAGACAGTCACGACGGACTGATTATACAGAGAAACATGGCTCTCTTCTTCTCAGGTGGAGACAGGAAAGAGCTGAAACTGCGAGTCACCGGAAGAATCTGGAAAGAGCAGCAGCAAAGTGGTGAAGGTGGAGGAGCTTGTATCCCAAACTTGTCTTAAAACTGGAAAAAGAAAAAAAAAGTCAAATTGATTTTGAAAACCTCGCCGACTTGGCTTTGTCTCTGTAACCATGGTTCTTTGGAATTTTCTGTAATTAGGGCTTTCTCTGTACTCGAAAATAAACTTCGGTTGTTCTTACTTCTTATGTCTATCTCTCTCTCTCTCTCTCCCTTTTTCTCATTGTCATGGATGTGGAAAATGTAAATATCGAAGCTTATCAATCTCAGGTTTTTAAAAAGTCTCTAATGATTGTGTAAAGTCGAAAGGCACAGTAACACGACAACCTTTTCGAGTTTGTTCTGATAAACCCATCTTTAGGGGTTTTTGACATCTTCTTCAAAGAAGGATTGTAGTTTTATCCGTTTCCCATCCATGGAGGTTCTAAACTCTGCTCTTCCTAATGGTTTCTTCAATTTCCCGTCTTTCTCGTCGAAACCCAAAAGGAGAGTCACTAACAAGAGAAACCAACATAGATTCAACTTGCCCATCTCCAACTCTCCGTACGATCGCGCTTCATTTCTCCGAGTCTCGGCTCGGTTCGGGGAGACCTCGAGGCGACGTAACTCACTGAGGAAGAAGATTATCGGTGATGAGAATTGGCGTTCGAACCCGGTTCCTTCTGACCCAGGTACGCAATCTCGAAACGAAAACGACGATCTCGATCACAGTGATGAATTGGTCGAGTTGGGTAGCACCGTGGGATTGAAAGATAAGGTTTCTCAAGATTCGAATTTACTGAATGAGCTCGAAGACTGGGTTTCTCGGTATAAGAAGGAAGCAGAGTATTGGGGGATTGGTTCGAACCCCATTTTCACTGTTCATCAGGATTCGGTTGGAAACGTGGAGAAAGTAGTGGTTGATGAAGACGAGGTCTTGAGTAGAAGATCTGGTCTTGAGGATTTGGAAGCAGCGAGTTCTAGGGTTCTATACGCGAAGAGATTAGCTGAACAAATGGAGAATGGGGAGAATGTGTTGAATAAGGATAGTTCTCTGGTCAAGTTTGTTTCTTCTTCTTCTTCGTCTTCTTCAAAGGAAGAGCTTCAGTTTGTTAGCTCAATCCAAAACGCAATTATCCGTCTCGACATAATTCCAAAGTTGCCGGCGATTGGGAGAGCTGTTGTGTGTGGTTACATAGGACTCTGGTTGCTGAAGACGGTGCTTGTGTTTAGGAAGAGGAAGAGTAATGAGGATGGTAGCACAGAGTTGGAGAAGGAGATGATGAGGAGAAAGATGAAAGCTTGGAAGGAAAAGGAAACGATGGAGAAAGGTACTGTGGAAGTTTTGCAGGAGCCATTGGTGTCAATTGAGAAGCCTAAGTTTGATCGTGAAGAACTTATGAGTAGTATATCTAGAGTAAAAGGTTCAGAGAAGAAATTGGAACTCTTGAATTCTACTCAGGTTGAGAGTGGTGAATCCATGGACTTTGATAATAAGATCCATGAAATCAAATCAATGGCTAGACGAGCACGGGAGGTAGAAGCTGGCATAGAAATTAATGAAAAGGAGAAGCACGATGTGAACAGAGAAATGGGCGAGGATGATGAAGATATAAGCCTGCGGTCACAGAACAGTCTTCCACAAAATGGTTTGACACACAGTGAAGGTGATGACGACGGTAAAGATGAAAGCTTGGGGACTTCGACTGAAAGTGATCAAGAAAAAACTGAACTTTCTGGTTTGGCTATTCCAGTGGTGAATGGGGCAATGGTAGATTCTGGTTTTCCGAATCGTGAAATGGCAGCATCTGACGCAGAAAAGGTGAGTAATGTGGTGGTACCAATAGTTCCTACAGACGGAATCATCCAATCTTCTGATGTTTCTAAGGATAAGTCGAGTATGATGAAGAATAGCATTGGTCGTAGTAAGTCACGGGTCATACGGTCTGTAAAAGAAGCTAAAGAGTTCCTTTCAAGAAGAAGCGGTGAGAAAGAGCTTACTCAGGAACCGTCTCAGACGATAGCCCAAGACATTGATGAAATCTTCCAAAAGCAGAGCGATGAAGAGCGTAGTGTAGATAGTAAACGCGAATCTGCTAACAAAAATAATATTATTGGTGCAGCTGTCAATGGAACCTTGAAATCTGCACCTGAGTCTACTTTTTCTGAACCGTCAGGGAAGGATGTTGATTCGCAACCCCAAAAGAATACAGTTAAGGGACCCGGAAACAAAACAGAAGAGCGCGAAGCAAGTCTTTTTGAATCAGTCGAGAGTTCTTCTGGTGGTACTGAACATATAGAGAAGGAACAACCATCAGGGAAGGAGAACTGGATGGAGAAACACTACCATGAGTTTGAACCTATTGCTGAAAAGATGAGAGCTGGATTTAGAGATAATTACATGGCTGCAAGAGAGAAAGATACTCAGGAGCCAGGTACGATCGCTGAAATTGCAGAAGTTTACCGCAATGAGGATAATGATGAGCTTGAGTGGATGAAGGACGAAAAGCTAAGAGACATTGTCTTCCATGTTCGGGATAACGAGCTTGCTGGTAAGGATCCATTTCACCTGATTGATGCCGAAGACAAAGCTATGTTTTTGCAAGGCTTGGAGAAGAAAGTTGAGAAAGAAAATGAGAAATTGTCTCATCTGCATCAGTGGATTCATTCAAACATTGAAAATCTCGACTATGGAGTAGGTAAACATATGTTCTCTACAATCTTAATTTGAAATAAGGTTTGCTCAGATATATAAGCTTGTCAAATATATCATTTATGCCCTTTCTTCTTATCATTCAGATGGCATCAGTGTGTATGATCCGCCAGAGAAAGTCATACCGAGATGGAAAGGGGCTTCGCTTGAGAAGAACCCCGAGTTTCTTAATAACTATCAGGAACAGCGTGAAGCATTGTTTTCTGGTAAAGCTGCGTCTGTGAAAAAGGAAGAACAGAGCTCTCTTCAGGAAACATCACAGTCTTCTTCCTCTGAGAACTCTCTCTCTTCTTCATCTGAAATTACCTCAAGCCAGCCAAAGATTGTTGTAGAAGGAAGTGACGGATCTGTTAGACCCGGGAAAAAGTCAGGAAAGGAGTATTGGCAGCACACTAAGAAATGGTCACGCGGGTTCTTGGAGTTGTACAATGCAGAGACTGATCCAGAAGTGAAAGCTGTTATGAGAGACATGGGCAAAGACTTGGACCGATGGATCACAGAGGACGAAGTCAAAGACGCAGCTGATATAATGGAAAAGCTGCCAGAGAGGAACAAGAAGTTCATGGAAAAGAAACTCAACAAACTGAAGAGGGAGATGGAGTTGTTTGGCCCTCAAGCTGTTTTGAGCAAATACCGCGAGTATGGAGAAGACAAGGAAGAAGATTATCTATGGTGGTTGGATCTTCCGCATGTACTGGTATGCTTTTCTTGCTAAACTTTTGACATTGGAGAAACTCAAAGTCCTAATCTTCTTTTTCGTGTTTCAGTGCCTTGAGTTGTACACGGTTGATGAGAAAGGAGAGCAACAAGTAGGGTTCTACACATTGGAGATGGCAACAGATCTCGAGATAGAACCCAAACCACATCATGTGATTGCTTTCGAGAACGCTGCGGACTGTAAAAACCTCTGTTACATTATTCAAGCTCATTTGGATATGCTTAGAACCGGGAACGTTTTCATTGTACCGCGACCGCCAAAGGTAAAGAAGATTCCCCAAGGAAGAAACTTTTAAGTAAACCTATTCTCTTATCAATTTTTAAAGTTGTTCTCTTTCACAAATATGCAGGATACCTTTCGAGAAGCCAAGGCGAATGGGTTTGGTGTAACGGTTATTAGGAAAGGAGAAGTGAAGTTGAACATAGACGAGCCGTTAGAGGAAGTAGAGGAACGGATATGTGAGATAGGAAGCAAGATGTACCATGATAAGATCATGGGAGATCGATCTGTGGATATAAGCTCGTTGATGAAAGGTGTCTTTAACCTCAAGACCAAACCTAGCGGCCGAAGAAGAAAACGATCGAAGCGGGTTCTGAAAGATTCTAACGAGAAAAGTAGCTGAGGCACCAAGCCAATAGGAGCTGGCTCTAGAGATGTGCCTAGAACATGCATATCATCAGGTGGCGCTAGAGATGTATCCAAGTTGAAACTTATCAAGATTAGTCAAGAACGCAAGTGGAGTGAAGCAATTTGTCAAAAACTCATTTATTGATTGTAGTAAGAAGGCATAACACAATTCACGAAATCTCTCTTCCATCAGAAAGAAAAACTAGCGGAAATAAAATATTAATTTGTTCAAATTAATCTCTGCTTAAGATTACATTCATTTCAAACTAACAAAAAGAGAAAAAAAAAAAAAAAAAAAAAAACTCAAAGAGCTATTTTGAAGAACCGAGCCAGCTCTGAGAAAGAAAAGACAAGCCAAGCTAACCATGCTCCGGTAAGCAAGAACCTGATAGGCTTCCAATGTTTTGGGGTCGAGGGTTCCAAGACGTTGTCCAAGTTTCCAGCTTCAGATAGGCTTTCCCAAATGAACTTTTCGCGTACAGCACCGAACAGCTGTCGTGGCGGTGCGTCTTTCGGCTGTACTAACATAATATTGTAACCAGCCGCCTTCAATCGTTGAAAAGCGCCGACAAACTGATGATGGTTGTGTGTTGAGATGTCTTGCAGGATTATCATCAGATTAGCTGGTGCAGGATTATCAACCGCCCATCTAAACAAGCCTAGTAAAAACTTCTTGAGCCTCGCATCTTTATCTCCCGCTGGTGTGTGGTTCAACACGATCTCGGGTGCCTGGATCTGGTTCGCATAGATGTATGCCGTTCCACGATAATCCTTCTCCTCGACCTCGATTTCGATTTCGTCACCTGTCTTTTTGAGTGTTTCCATGATTGCGTCTGATTCAAGGCGACGCAGGATCTGCTCCTTATCGCCGTAAGCATAGATGGTCACCGTACCGTGACACTTCTTTTCCTTAAGAGCCGATCTAATCTTGTGCGAAACATCAATAGCATACCCACCATCAGGGATTTGGCAACCGTCCACGTCCCAGAACACGGCCGTCTTTGCACTTTCGAATCGCTTCCGATACTTTTCATCTTCCATAGAGATCATAGGTGTATATGTAATTAGGAGTTTCAAGTTTTAACCAAGAGATGTACAACTTTAAACCTAAATAACCATAGGGATATATATACAAGAGAATTACATTTTACATTTTTTTTTACAATAAAGTAAATTCTATATGAATTTACCTTTTCCTCTTGGCCTTTTGGTAATCTTTTCATGAGGCCGTTATTCAATTTACATTTTTACGGTCAGAGTTATTGGAGGACGCAAAGACTATTTCTGTCCCTTGTCTCATATAACTTGAGAGAAAAGGAAAAAAGAGATTCTAATTTTATTGTCTCCCATGATATTAGCACCAAATTTAATTGTTTGCCACTATTTTTCAACTGAGTAGGTCAAAGATAAGTAAAGTACAAAGTGTTAAGAGAGTTTTAGGAATTCACCTGCGGGTATAAAGGTACCGAATCCATGAAGCTCAACACTTTCACAGAAAACGTCAAAGCTTGCAACACAAGGCAATGAAAATCCCTTGAATGTGACCTAATTTACCAAATCCGTGGAACAGTTTATCAACAATGGGGCAGAAATTACACGTCAAGCTCCTTTAAAAAAGATAATACATTACATACGATGAAAGCGAAACGCGAACCTTAAAGTGCTGCTGCTGAATAACTAAGATGGAATAAACAATAAATAAGAAAAGAACATATAACTTTGATTTGATAATATGACAAATAAATAATGAAGATCTTCAGAAATTTTTTTAATGTTTTTTAAAGACTTGAAAATACATATATATTTTTGTGTATGAGATATATATATACTAGGGTGTATCGAGAATGAGTTTAAACCCATTTCTGTTTTAAATACTTTTAATTCAATCATAATCTTGGTTTGCTGAACCGGTCATCAAAATGAATCGAATTTGAGAAAAGGAATTGGCTATGGATTTAAGTTTTAACCAAACCGGAAGAGCAGAAAGTATGAGTGAGAGAGAGGCACATGAAACGAAGCTATCATTGCATTTTCCAGAGATTACAAGAACTCTGAGGATAAACCAGAAAGAAGAAGCACGAGTTTTCTCTATTGCCGAACACAACATATGATACAACCACGAATCTTAGACAAATCGATGTTAATCGATACTCAAAGCACGAGTTTTTCTGCTAACGCCAACTTGAACCAAATAAAAAAACCAACCAGAAAACTTATGAATAAAAAGAGTTAATGGAATCTTAGGCTGAGACGAGATAGCCTTGGCAACAGAAGCAAGCGATCACAATACCAACGACTGCTCCAGCAAGAACCTGCGACGGAGTGTGACCAAGCAATTCCTTTAGCTTTCTTTGACTGATGGGATGTCCTTCGAACAAGTCCCTTATGATCAAGTTCAGAACCTGACATCAACCAAAGACAAAAGACAACATTGTCATCTTTTCTCGTAAAAACAAACAAGACTGACACTTAATATAGTGCTCTTTCAAAACGCTTCATTATATAACCAAACAACAGCTCTCATCAACATGTGCCTATGATGATCAGTCCATAACTTCGAGAAACTTCTAATGCGCTCAACAATGCATAACCATCTATAAGAGTTTTATCTTCTTCAATCGTTCTGTTCTGGAATCTTTCTTCAGAACACAAAAGGGTCATTCAAGAACCAACAACAGACATCAACTTTAGCCTAAATGTCCATATATCTAGTGATGAACTTTTATTTTGCACAATAATGCCATGACCTCAAGTAAACAAACTTTAACATGCAAGCACTTCAAGAACCTAATATACTATCAGAGAGTTTACAATTCAACCATGAAGTAAAGAGCGTTGAGTTAAATCCATCACCAGATTCCCAAACATTTTTACATCAAACTATACTTAGTCATCATACAGAATTTACTCAAAACTTCTACAATAGACCAAAGTCAAACTCTGTAACAATCTCCAAATCTCAAAACTTGAAATGCTTTAACAAAAGGAAAAGAAGAAGAAAAAACCTGAAGAAGAAGCAGATTTGGTTAATTTACCTCAGCTTGCATACCGGCATGGCGTCTAACGCCGATTGCATCATACATCACAATCAAGCTAAACCCTAAACAAACAGGAAACAAGGAATCTGCTACTCCATGGCAAAGCGCCACAGAGGTCGTCAAAGCCATACACAGAGCCGAGTGCGACGAAGGCATTCCACCGGAAGCATACAGTAGACGAAAGTCCCATTTCCTCTCGATGAAGAAATTGATAACCATTTTACTCGATTGCGCGAAGAACCACGCGAACACAGCCGAGACGAACGTCGGATTCGCCGAGAGCGTCGCCACGAAAGGGCTAATCTTAACCTTAGCAGACGCCGTGACGCTCAAAAGGGCAATCCCCAATCCGCCGTTGTGCTTCAAATCTCCGGCAAAATTCTCCGAAAACGCCGCCGTATCGTCTCTGTAAGCTCGAAAACGCGACATCCATAGCCGGGATTGAGACGAAACCAACCCTTTAATCGTTCGAATGATTGGGCGCAATACGCAAAGAGGGTTTAACCGGATTCGGCGATTGTTAGCATTGCAATCAGGTTTAGGATACCAGGAACCCAAAGGGGATGATGACGACTTACAGCATAACGAGATGGTGTTGGGAGCTTCCAAGTTGTGGATAGAAGTTAGCTTAACGAAGGAAAGACGAGAAGGGTAACGAGATAAGCTTTTCGAGAAACAGGCGAAGGAAGGATTTGATGTTAGAGACTCCATGAGAGAATGTTGCTAAGCTTTTTAAGCTTACTCTGCGACATACAGAGAGAAAGATTAGGAGAAGTGTGTGGAGAGTCTGGAGACTTGGCGAAGAAAGATTGGGAGATTTCTTCAACTGGGTCAGATTTCTTCCATAATTTTATTTCTTTTATCAAACTGATTAAGCTAAACTAAAACTCGTTTTCTTGGTACTTAACAAATTATTAACATAGAAATCGTGTGGTGTTGAGAAAAATGTTTTCGTATTATTATAACGGAAGTTACCACTCGAGTATCGTGACTCGAACATAAAGAATATACCAAAAAATGTGTAGGTCTATCTTGTCTTTACGCATTTCGGTCCATAAGAGAATTATATGATCATTAATCAAATCCACTAATTGAATCATCATCATTCCTCAGGCTTCGTACTTATTATGGGCCCTATGATCTCTAATGGGCTTTTAAAATTTATGAGTAGGCCTCGCTCCAAGGTTTGACTTTTCAACAGAGAATCTTCTTGACCTTTTGGGCTTATATATTCCTCAGAAAAATTCAACGGTCGCCTAATAGATAGCAATTCGCGGTTGTTACGTTTGCGTTCTCTTCTCCTTCTCGCACGGACTCCTCGGAGACCAGATCGCGCCGGACGTCTGATTCCGCCGTTGAATAATCTGAGCTGATTAGGTTGATTTCGATTTTGAGATGGAGAGTTTGATCTCGCTTGTGAACAAGATACAGAGAGCTTGTACGGCTCTGGGAGATCACGGCGAGGGAAGCTCCCTCCCAACTCTCTGGGACTCATTGCCCGCCATTGCCGTCGTTGGCGGTCAGGTATGATCTATATCTTCTGAATTCGGCATGAGATTTTGAATCGGTGATTCTTAGATCGAAGGCGTTTTTGCCTTCTCGTTTCGCGAACGTGCATTTGGGGTTTCAATGCGTGGAATAACCTGATCCCATTTTTCATGAAATTAGTTTTTTCTTGGGCTTCTTATCATCTCCCGTGAATCGTTTATCTGATTGCAATTCATGATTATGTTAGTGTTTTCTACATTTTTGATGATTAGCCTTTCGATTTTGGTGAATAGATGTGAAACGCTTCGCTATTAATCAAAACTGTTGCGTGTTCATGAAACGAGTGTAACCAATATACATTTCTATGATGATATCTTTGTTATAATTTGTAGAGTTCTGGAAAGTCGTCTGTGCTTGAGAGCGTTGTGGGAAAAGATTTTTTACCTCGTGGAGCAGGTTAGGCCGATTAAAACGTACACTGGTATAACTCAAGATTTATCTCCTGATATAGCAGTTACTTAGAACACCAATGTCTTCCATGTAGGGATTGTTACACGTAGACCTCTTGTCCTCCAGCTTCACAGGATTGATGAAGGCAAAGAGTATGCGGAGTTTATGCATCTTCCCAAGAAGAAGTTCACTGATTTTGGTATATTTCATGTTCGGGAGGGATACATGCTCCTTACCTTGCTTTTCTTGTGTCTGCTTGTTGTTTATGTGCACTGATTCTACCAATCTGGTTTTCTTATGTTCGAGATATCTATTTCTTCTTTCTTGGAATGTATAGCTGCTGTGAGGCAGGAGATCTCGGATGAGACAGACCGTGAAACTGGTCGCAGCAGCAAAGTAATATCTACAGTCCCAATTCATCTCAGTATCTTCTCTACTAATGGTGAGGGAAGCCATTGTACATACTAAATTTGCATAAAGAAAGAAAAAACTAAATGTGCTTTAGGAGTCCCCGATCTTGTAATGTATCATCAATTAAAATTTAACTTCGTGTTCTCTTCCATCTTTGCCACTTGTACTCCAGTCTCCACACTCTAATAATTTTTCTTTGGTTAAAATGTTTGCAGTTGTGAATTTGACGCTGGTTGATCTTCCTGGTCTTACAAAGGTAGCTGTTGGTAAGTGACACAATCTTTTTTTATTCATGATAGTGGAATCATCCCCCACCCGCAAGTTCTCTTTGTTGACAAACATCAATGAAAACTTGGTGCCAATGATGTTGTAGACGGTCAGCCTGATAGTATTGTTCAAGACATTGAGAACATGGTCAGATCGTTTATTGAGAAGGTAACTATGATTTGAAAGAAATTGAGAGTGAAACAGAATACTGATGTAGATGGATGATTCTTATATTCTCAATACTGTGTGCTACAGCAAAGTAACAAAGGTTGACCATTTCCCTTTTGACAGCCCAACTGCATCATACTAGCTATTTCCCCTGCAAATCAAGATCTTGCTACGTCTGATGCCATTAAGATATCTCGTGAAGTTGATCCAAAAGGTGCAAGATACTTCCATATCTTCATTTTTTTACACAACTGCTTTCTTAATTCACGTTTAGCGTTCTCTTGTGAGTTTAAATTGGGACACGGTGTATATGGTTTCAGTTTGTTAGGGCAGGTTATATATGGTTGAGTTGAATGGTCAGTGCCTAGAAATGAGAATAATGTTATTGTCTGTGATAAACAAAGGCGATGACCCCTGCAACTAATATATCTTGATAGTAGTTTGAAAGGATTGACTCATGTTGTTTAATGTTTGCTATGTTGCTGCTATAAGGGGACAGGACTTTTGGAGTTTTAACAAAAATTGATCTCATGGACCAGGGCACTAATGCTGTTGACGTAAGTTTACATCCAGACGATACTAATACATATTAGGAGTTAAGATTATCGTCTAATGTTTAAACAACTTTATCTCTAATTTCATTATGGAAAGGAGACAAGGAAGATATATATGGGAATCTACTAAATACTAGTGAGTATTGAACAGTTCCTAAGTCTTGTAAATGTTTGGAGATTTCAGATACTTGAAGGAAGGGGATACAAACTAAGGTATCCTTGGGTTGGTGTTGTGAACCGGTCTCAGGCTGATATTAATAAAAGTGTTGATATGATTGCTGCTCGTCGGCGTGAACGTGATTACTTCAACACCACCCCAGAGTACAGACATTTAACTGACAGAATGGGTTCAGAATACTTAGGAAAGATGCTCTCCAAGGTATAATAGCTTGTTATTGGTACATCAATTCTTCTTGAATATTTGGCATAAAAGATTTGTCAGCTGCTCTAAACCAGCTATAATTTTTTCAGCATTTGGAGGTTGTTATCAAGTCAAGAATCCCGGGACTTCAGGCTCTTATCACCAAGACTATTTCCGAGTTAGAGACAGAGCTGAGCCGACTTGGGAAGCCTGTAGCTGCTGATGCTGGTGTAAGTCTCTTACGTCTTAAGAACCTTTCGCCTTTCATTCTCTGGTTACTTTATTCTCTTATATTAAATCTCGTTTAATACTCGGTCTCATGAATGCAGGGAAAACTGTATATGATCATGGAAATTTGCCGTGCTTTTGATCAAACGTTCAAGGAACACCTTGACGGAACGTGAGTGATTGTTGCTAGTGCAGTTTTCTGGCTTGATGATGATTGATTGCTATACTAACGACCTCACAGACGTTCAGGTGGTGAAAAGATAAACTCTGTGTTCGACAACCAATTCCCAGCTGCCATAAAGAGACTGCAATTCGACAAACATCTCTCAATGGAAAATGTACGGAAACTGATCACTGAAGCAGATGGATATCAGCCGCATCTCATAGCTCCCGAGCAAGGTTACCGCCGTCTCATAGAATCATGCCTAGTCTCCATCAGAGGCCCAGCTGAAGCAGCCGTTGACGCGGTTCATTCCATTCTCAAGGATCTTATCCACAAATCCATCGGCGAAACATCTGTAAGAAAATCTCTGCTCTTATGTATATTCACAGGCCGAGCAACAGCATGATGATGTGTTTACTCTCATCACAACAGGAACTGAAACAATACCCAACGCTAAGAGTGGAAGTATCAGGTGCAGCGGTGGATTCACTGGATCGAATGAGAGATGAGAGCAGGAAAGCAACTCTGTTGCTAGTCGACATGGAGTCTGGTTACTTAACAGTCGAATTCTTCAGGAAACTCCCACAAGACTCTGAAAAAGGCGGGAATCCGACACATTCGATTTTCGACAGATACAACGATGCTTATCTCAGAAGAATCGGTTCCAACGTGCTGTCTTACGTGAATATGGTCTGCGCCGGGCTGAGAAACTCCATACCCAAATCCATCGTTTACTGTCAAGTCCGTGAAGCAAAACGAAGCCTGCTTGATTTCTTCTTCACTGAACTTGGCCAGAAAGAGGTAATAATAATTAACCATACACAAAAGTAAACAATATGATTATGATATACTGTATGATGATTAAAGAAATACTCTTAAAATGCGTTAAATTAGATGAGCAAATTGGCGAAATTGTTGGATGAGGATCCTGCGGTTCAGCAGCGAAGGACTAACATTGCACAGAGGCTGGAATTGTATAGAAGTGCTCAAACGGATATTGAAGCAGTTGCTTGGTCCAAGTAGAGAGAGTTCTTCACACGACTCTATTCTTTCTTTCTTTTTTTGTTTCGTTATAGGATACGTTTTTTTTGGGGGATTCTTTTTTTCCTATTCTTTTCTTATTCGGTGTTCGGATTAACATTGTTTTCTGAATAAGTTCTGTAAGAAGATAGACCAGTTTCTTTTAAGGGAAGAAAGATGGTTGATCATATTCTTATTAAAAAAAATGATTCATGAACAACAACGTACATGATAAGAACTATGGAGGAGGAAGAAGACGAAGCAGAAGAAGGGCGATTAAAATAAAATGAAAAAAAATACATTTGCGGATGGAGATGCGGGGAATCGAACCCCGTGCCTCTCGCATGCGAAGCGAGCGCTCTACCATATGAGCTACATCCCCATTTGATAGAAAGCTTCCGCCTATCACAATATGATAACTGTGGTAAGCGATTCACCCGAAAAAAATGCATCTAATAAATAACATTTTCAATTGTTAATAAAATACTTTTGCGAAATTTACATGCAGACGTCAATCAAATGTTCGTATTCAACTTTTTGCTCGCGATTGCTAAAAATTGTAGGTTTATATAGAAAAAGAAACAAGGAAAAAGGGAAGAAGAATGACGTAAAATAATGAAAGTTTTAGAAACTAAAAAGTTGGTTAATTATTGTAGTTTACTTTGATTGCAAGTTCTGTTCCAATATCGCCTCAGGGCCAACAAAGAGAAAAGAAAAGATGATGTTGATCGTGGCACCATCCTGACCAAATATATACCTAATGAGTAATGATGATTCGGACTATGACTGATCCACTTTCGACCCTACACAGTACTACACACTCTCTCCCATCTCTGTACTCTTCTTCTTTTCCCCCAAATAAGCAAAGTAAAACTCCAAATTCTCAATATCTTATAAAGATTTCATAATTTTTCAACCTCTAATAGCAATTGACAATTGTTTTAAACGGGCAAAAGCAATAATTTTCACCGCATTTTGGTATTTCTCTGTCGGTTCACGTGTCGATTTAGTGACAGAGGGGACATAAATTGTCTGATACCGAACCAGTGAAACATCAACTCCAGCACCTTTCTCAAAATACAAATCCAAGAGGAGTTTTTAAAACAATTTGATGATTATGATTGATCGCCATCTTCAACCACCTTCACCACCAAACTCAATCACTCTTCTTATTCTTCAAGTAAACATCACCAAACAAAACCCTCCATTATTCCCCGCTCAACGCTTTACTCTCCGTCGATTCTAACCATGAGAACCCTTGTCGGATTTTACATCCTCTGTCTTTTAATCGGACAAAATCTGCCTTTTCTACTTGCAGATGACGTCAATATCATCGGTGATTCGACCCAAAATCTCTGTTTAGCAAACCGATTATCCGACTTCCTCCCTCCACCGTACAGCAATATCTCCGATTCCATGCCATGTACGCCTCTCTGGAACACATTCGTCTTACGGGTAACGCAAAATGATTCGTTTACACATTAATCACTCAAAAGTAACAAACTTTTCCTAAACCCATGATTTTTATTTTCAGTTTCTCTGTATATTTCGATAATTTAACCCATAACCCATCATTTTGATTTCTCATCCGTTGTCAATCTCTCTGTTCTGCAGTACTCAGAAAACAGAGACAATGTGATGACGATCATAGTATCGGCTCTATATACGACCGGGTGGGTCGGAATGGGATTCTCCAAAGACGGAAAAATGGTGGGATCAAGCGCGATGGTCGGGTGGATTTCGAAGAAGGGTCACGCCAAAATCAAACAATACTATCTTCAGGGAACGGAGAGAGACCAAGTCGTGCCTGATCAAGGAGAACTACAATTACAGAAAATCCCTCCGGTCGTGGCTCTTCACGGAGCAATGATTTACTTAGCTTTTCAGGTGAAATTCGCCGTTAAAATTCCTCGCAGAGCGGTGATTCTAGCATCTGGCACAGCTTATCCATCGAAGCTAGGCCGTTTGACTAAGCATGATGATAAAACTACTCTCATCGTTGATTTCTCCAAAGGTATCGATCTGAACATGACTTCTCATTATTATGTTATCAAAGACCACTTCCAAAATGTATGCTAAAAGGAGAAAAATATGATCATAGACTCGTAGTTGTATTAAACGTAAACAAGACAAAAAAATACACATGGAAATTAAAATGTTAAGAGTTTACATTTCAAGTAGTGTTCCTATCAACACAAGTGGTAATAATATCTTCTTTAATCTACGATTTTGAGTTTGCATTTCTAATTTACAAAAAAAAAATTATACAGTTGGATGTTTACATAACATGTTTTTAATCAAACCTTGTAGTATTCGAATTTTATGTGCATATAATTTGTAAATGATAAAAAGAAACAAAACTAAAATGGTGTAAAACTAAAAAAACAGGGGATACTGCAATATACTTATTTTCTTGCATGTTCTTGGTCAATGCAGGAAATGGAGCAACATCCATAAAAACGACATCATCTACGGAGAAGACAAAACATGGGACAATAGCGATACTCGGATGGGGTTTCTTACTTCCTCTAGGGGCAATCCTCGCGAGATATCTCAGACATAGAGACCCTCTTTGGTATTATCTTCATATCGGTACTCAATTCACTGGATTTATCTTCGGTTTAGCCGCTGTTATTCTCGGAATACGGCTTTACAATAGGATCCAACCGGATATACCTGCACATCGAGGCATTGGGATCTTTCTTCTAGTCCTTAGCATTCTCCAGGTTTGAGAAATCCAAGACTCGGAAGTTTCTCGAGTTTGAAAATCGTTGTAAGTTTTGGTTGAACATGGTGTGTTTTTGCAGGTTTTAGCTTTTTTTGCGCGGCCGCAAAAGGAGACAAAGATGAGGAGATATTGGAATTGGTATCATCATTGGATTGGGAGAATCTCTCTCTTCTTTGGAGCAGTGAACATTGTTCTCGGGATTCGAATGGCTAATAACGTAGAAGATGGCTGGAAAATAGGATATGGATTTGTTTTGTCGGTGACATTACTTGCTTTTCTTGTTCTTGAAATATTCAGGATTCGTGGCTCCATCGGTTCACCTTCTTCCCACACGTCTTCCTCTTTTGAGACACATCCAAGTTCTACTAGTGTCTGATTCAAGATCCTCTGTCTTTGTCATTCCTCTGTTTTCTGTACATACACACCTTTTTTTTTTTTGGATTTTGTTGGCTTAAGTCATTATTATGGTCCTTGAATTTATTATAGTCAATGAGTGAATTCGCTGGTGAAGTCAGACATGTTTTTATTTTATTGATTTTTTTTTGCTGTATTACTTCTTTTTGTGGCTAGAAATAAATTCGAATATATAAATGATTTTCGATTTTTCTAATCAACATTTTCGATTTTTGTCTTCCAAAATAAATTATCTTATAAAAATAAGAAGTGAGGATTTTTAATCCTTTAATAATTTAGGTTTATTGTTTAGAAATTACTAGAGATTATACATTAATCATAATTTTGTTGTTTTTGTTATCTATTGAAAAATAATGAATTTTGAGCAAAATTCAGGCCCAACTTGTAGGTTTTAAAATGGACCCAATATATATTCATCTGAAGCATATTTTAGCCCAACAAGCTTTATCATTTCATTTATTTTCTGGACGCGCCACGTCGGATATAATCAAGAAAGTTTTCGACTTGGCGCTTCTGAAGGCTGAATTTTGGCACTCTTCCCTCGTAACCAATCCCTGGAGCCAAACACTGTTCCGTCCAGCCGCCACGTCAGCATAACCCGCTTTTCTAATTTCGTTTTATCATTTTTTAGGCCAATTTATTTGGCATAACCGTGATTAATTCGTAAAATAACAAGGAAATATATAAACCGACGGTCTGTCTTCTTCTCCAGAGCACACGCTCCAAACAGATCCTTCTCCTCCTCTTGCTCTCTCTCGCCGTCGATTATAAGGAACTTTGGGGTTTATCTTCTCGGTTAGTGAAACGACTGATTTTCTCCAGAATCTCGAAGGCTTTTACGAGGAGGATTTGGTTTCTCTCTCCGTCGTTCCGAGTCTACGATTTGCCGATATTTTTTCCGTTTCTTCTTCTATCCACAAAGAGACACGTACGAATTGGCGAAATTGTTTTGTTTCGAATTGGGGCTATAGATACGGTTTCGCATTAGGTTCATAGAGTATTGAGTCGAATTGCGAGAGGAATTGATACTTTACCTTTCGAGGTTTTTTTCAGGGAGGTGCGAGGCTCGAATCTGCTGTTTGATGAAATTAGGGTTTTGGAATCGGAACCTGGATAGTCGTTTATGTTGACGAGGCGAATATTGCTGAGTTAGGACATGATTCTGAAACGGACCGTGACATTCGAGAATCAGAATCTGAAGCGGTGCAAAATTGATTCAGAAATTGACGATGGGAGCAAAAAGGGTGAGATTATGGTGTATCGGAAAAGACAGAGAGCAAGCGTGGATCAACCATGTAGAGAACCCGACGACCTTACAAGGAGCGCAGGCTCCTTGACCGGCAAAGAATCTCCACTGGGCTCCTTGACCGGCAAAGAATCTCCACTGGGCTCCTTGACCGGCAAAGAATCTCCACTGGGCTCCGAGCAGTCCAAGTCCTCGCGGGGCAGAGTTAGAGTGGTTCCTTCGAGGTTCAACGATTCGATTGTCGACGCATGGGGTAATCGACGTCGCAAAGTGGAGTTGAAGGAGTCTAGCCACGATGACGACATACATGTTGTGAAGAAAGTCAAAGGTGGTCACGGTAAGAGCGCTGAGAATGGAAGCTCGAAGTTTCATCATCTCAGCAAAGGCTCGAAGCTTTTTCCGCGCAAGGATGACGGAGACAGCAGCGAAGGAGGTTTTGGTGACTGGGGTAATGAAAAGGATGCGAATATCGGAATTTCGATGTTATCTTCCTCCGACGACGCTAGTTCTTTCTCCGTGAGAGGCAGAGAGCGGTTTTACGCCGAATCTGGTATGCAGAAAGGTCCCGCGGCCATGAGGAAGGGCGTGTACAAGCCAGAGGACTTTGCGGTCGGCGATCTTGTCTGGGCCAAGTGCGGGAAAAAATTCCCGGCGTGGCCGGCTAAAGTGATCGATCCGGTTTCACAAGCGCCTGATGCCGTCTTGAAACATTGCGTCCCGGGCTCACTCTGTGTCATGTTTTTTGGGCACTCGAAGAATGGAACTCAGAGGGTAAGAAACTAGTAGTTTCCTTTAATGTCCTCCGTGTCTCCAATCCGGCGTTTGATGCACTTTCTTTGAATGATATTTTTCTGAAACTACTGGTTATATACAGGACTATGGATGGGTCAGACAAGGAATGATGTTTCCGTTCACGGAATTTATGGAGAAGTAAGTACACGAGACGCACTTTCTGGAATCTTTCATAGTATTTGTCTATTTGTACTGTTCCTTAGTCTTTTGTCTCTTCAGATTTCAGGGCCAGACAAACTTTTACAATAACAAGCCAAGCGAATTTAAGAAGGCACTCGAGGAAGCAGTTTTAGCGGAGAATGGGGTTGAAGGTAATTGTGGAGCTGCTGAAATCAGCTGCCCAGATTCCTCTGCCCCCGAATCCGACCAGGAGCATGAGCCTGCTGATAGATTTCAGGCACGTTTCTTGACACCTATTCCTTTTTTCGTTAGATTTTCAAATTTTGCTGTTCTAATCGATTTGAGAAGAAAAGCAAATAAATTGAGGACAGGTTCTTACTTTCAAGCTCAGCAGTCAGTTGTATAGGCATCCCGTCTAGTTCATAAGCATCTACATCTGTTGATATACTTTCTTTTATAAGTCATGAAAAGACGTTACATGTAGGCGTGGATGTGCCATTGGTATCCTATTCTTTGGCAGTAATTGGGAATGCTTCCAGAAAACGATGTGCTGATTCAGTTTTTGTGTAGGGTTCATGTCATATTGACATAAGGGCCTGCGGCGGCTGTGACACAGTAATGCCATTAAAATCTCTGAAAAGAACAAAAGGATCCCAACCTGAAGAGCTTTTATGCAAGCACTGTGCAAAGGTTCTTAGGAGACTTCTTTACTCTTCTGCTTTCTTTGGTCAAAAGGAACTGAATCCAAATTTGTTGTTTCAGTTGCGGAAATCCAATCAGTATTGTGGCGTTTGCAAGAGATCATGGCACTCTTCAGCTGGTGGAGATTGGGTAAGAATATGTCAGACCATGTTTAGTGATACGGACCTGAGTGATAATTTATTACATATATGTAGCTGAACTGATTGATGTTATAGGTATGTTGTGATGGGTGTGATATATGGGTACATGCTGGGTGCGACAACATTTCAAACCAGCGTTTAAAGGTGCAGTTATACAAATCCGTGGATATCAATTTTTGATTTGAAGTACATAAAACTATCCTCGAAGGATTGTACTAATTTGTTATAATCTTAAGGAACTGGAGCACAACAATTACCACTGCCCTGATTGCAGAGCGCAGCTTGAGCGCGCACCGACAATATTGGATGAACAAGACTCATTGTTCAAGTATGTTGCTCTCACTATATTCTTTTGAAAACATGGCTTCTCCTGGTTCTGTTGTTTGGATTGCTTTGTTTCTAATCCCTGATTTGAAAACTGTCCTCACAATCTCTGTGAGACAGGTCCACAGAAAAAACTACAGAGGCTGAGCTACCTGATGAGATTACTGTAGTCTGCAATGGCATGGAAGGGACATATATCCGAAAGTTTCATGCGTAAGTGTTAGATATATCAGCCTTACACTTTCATTTCCTCGTTTAGTCAAAGTTTTCTTTATTGAATACAATATATAAGTGATGGTATAGCTTAAAACTACAATACACGCTTAATCCTAAGCTCCTATTAACAATTCCTGGAATATTGTTTTTCAGAATTGTGTGCAAGTGTGGTGATTGTGGAGCAAGAAAGCAGAGACCAAGTGAATGGGAACGGCATACAGGCAGCAGAGCGAAAAAGTGGAAGTACAGTGTAAAAGTCAAAGACACAATGCTTACTCTAGAAAAATGGGTACACTCCTTTTACTAAACTTTCATAAAGCTGGACCTTATATATACCCCTGAAGTCCGCATGTAGTTTTTTTTTTATGCTGAAATTTAATGCTGACAACAAGGTACTACAGATTGCAGGATTTAGTGCCACTACTCTAGAACAAGATACTGCAGATTGCAGGATATTAAATAAGCAAAAGATGCTTTCTTTGCTGGAAGGTAGATTTACAGCTCAACTCTTATTTACAGGCTTCTCTTTTGGAGTTCATATTTGGTAGACTTGCTTACTACTTATTTTCTATGCTCAGAAAAGTATGAGCCAGTCAATGCAAAGTGGACCACTGAAAGGTGTGCTGTTTGTAGATGGGTAGAAGACTGGGAAGAAAATAAAATGATCATCTGTAACAGGTTTACTCTATCGCCGTTTTGGTTTTACTTAATTGTACAGCGATTGTATAACTAAACATGGAGCCATAAATATTTAATTCAAATTAAACTTTTGAGAACGTCTCCAGATGTCAAGTAGCTGTGCACCAAGAATGCTATGGGGTAAGCAAAGCGCAAGACCTCACCTCCTGGGTGTGCAGGGCATGTGAAACACCAGATATGGAGAGAGAGTGTTGTCTTTGTCCTGTAAAAGGTATTACTGCAGATTCATTAGCTCGTTCTATGTCTTTTTTTTCCCAGTCTTGCATTAGTGATGGCTTACTTTTGGGTCTTGACTGCCTTGAGTACAGAGGTGCTATAAATTGAACTCATTTTCCATTTCTCTGTGCATGTCTCCTGAATTATAAACTGAATCTCCCTTCTATTTACGCAGGCGGTGCCTTAAAACCAAGCGACGTTGAGGGTTTGTGGGTTCATGTAACATGTGCTTGGTTCCGGCCGGAAGTTGGGTTTTTGAATCACGAAAATATGGAGCCTGCTGTTGGACTTTTCAAAATACCAGCAAATTCATTTCTTAAGGTATAATGAAATGAAAGTATTATCAATGTGTTTTAATTAATAATTATATTTCATAACATTTGACATCTGATATTTTTCTGTAAATATCTTTTAGGTTTGCAGAATCTGTAAGCAGACACATGGTTCCTGCGTGCAATGCTGCAGGTGTGCCACTCACTTCCACGCAATGTGTGCATCGCGTGCAGGTTACATCATGGAGGTTAGTCCTTAATCTTCTTAGCCTCTGTTGTGCCTATGATAATCATCATTATTCATATGAATACCTTAGTAAATGTGTTTTGTTAGTTCATCGTCTTAATACTGTTTTCTGTGGAAATATTAGTTGCACTGCTTGGAGAAAGGTGGTGTGCAGAGAACTAGGAAGTCAATTTACTGTGCCTTTCACAGGTATTTGTTTTTCCGACATTTTCTTTTATTGTTCTGTTATGTTATATCGGGACCTGCTGATCTCCTGTAACATTTTCTTACCCACTATGTAGGAAGCCAAATCCAAATAGTAATGTAGTTGTGCACACACCCTCTGGAGTTTTTGGCTCTAGAAATCTGCTTCAGAATCAAAATGGGCGTATCAAAGGTTCAAGACTCGTTTTGACAAAGAAGATAAAGCTTCCAGGTTCCGATATCCAACAGAGTCATGAATTTGATAGTCTGTCGGCAGCAAGATGCCGTATCTATAGTAGATCAAGCACGAAGGTGTGCATCTGGGGATCTCTTCTAATCCTTGACATTGGACCGTCTTTCATTCTTAAGTATTCCCTTGCAAAACGACATCATTAGAATTTGGTACTAATGTATCTCTGTTACTGCTGGCTGATGTTTCAGAAGATTGATCTGGAGGCGATAATCCACAGGCCGAAGAGACCAAGCCATCATTCTTTGGGTGCAATCGAGAATATAAACTCTTTAAAGGCAAGTTTCTCATTCAGAGCTCCAATCGTGTCATTGTTTCGCTTTGGTAGGAGAATTTGTGTCTGTATATCTCAGCAAGATCTTGATTTCCATTTACGTTGTTACACCAGGAAGCAGATACGTCAGAATTTACTTCATTCAAAGAACGGCTAAAGCATTTGCAGGTAAACGTTGACTCAAGCAGAGTTTAATATTTTATCCATCTTGTTATCCTGCAATCGTATAAAGAATATTATTATCTTGTTTAGAGGACGGAGAATCTTCGGGTCTGCTTTGGTAAATCTGGCATACATGGATGGGGTCTCTTTGCAAGGACAAGCATTCAAGAAGGAGAAATGGTATGTATTCATGATTTCGATGGCTAAATTGAATGTGACGTGCATCTTTAAGGAACTACTGATACTGAAATTCTTGTGCAGATCATCGAGTACCGTGGAGTGAAAGTTAGGAGAAGTGTTGCAGATCTGAGAGAGGCAAACTATCGCTCTCAAGGAAAAGATTGTTATGTAAGTTCGGATTTGCTTTGCTTGCTCATTCACCATTACTATCCGCTGTGTCTAATGGTCAAATTTACTTTTTACCAACACAGCTGTTCAAGATAAGCGAAGAGATAGTGATTGATGCCACTTACTCTGGAAACATAGCCCGATTGATCAATCATTCGGTAAGTTCCCCAAATTGACACACACACACACACTAGACCAAAACCTAGTGGTAACTAAAACTAACGATGCTCATGTCTCGTCCTGTGCAGTGTATGCCCAATTGCTATGCACGTATTGTGAGTATGGGGGATGGAGAAGAGAACAGAATCGTCCTCATTGCAAAGACCAATGTCTCAGCTGGAGAAGAGCTTACGTACCACTTCTTTTTCACCGTTCTCTCTTCCCATAGAATTCACATTTCTCCATAATCATGACCTTAACCATGAGAACCCATTTGTCTGCAGGTATGATTATCTCTTTGAGGTTGATGAATCTGAAGAAATCAAAGTGCCTTGCCTTTGCAGAGCTCCAAACTGCCGCAAATTCATGAATTGATTCTTGCAACGGTTCTCAGTACCGAACTAGAGATTAGTACATGTAGCGTCGGCTGCTTCACGCTGACTTCTTTACCATTGATTCATTCGTTACGCCATTAAGTTGTATATCCGCCGGCGTTGGCAATTTTGTAAATGTCTAGGATTTACCCACTCTAAAGAAAATAACCCCATAGAAAACTTTACATTTGATTTGATCATACCGATTAAAAGTGTTCAAATGTTGATAACTTTTCATGTTTTACATAAAAATATTTTTTCTATAAATTTTGCCGATTTTACTTTGCTGGACTTCAAATCACAGTCGTAAATAAAGTAATATGGCTTGGGAGTACACTCCTTGATTTAGATTCCGTCGGTTAATGATAAACCGGTTTCGAAGTTCAAAAATGTATATGAGAGATGCGGGCCCAGAAAGTTTGTTACAGGGTCATATACGTCAATTTACATTCAAAATTTTCAAATTCGCTGCTTCTCCTCCGCGGGTATATAGTTTTGGTCACTGCGGCACGATTCAGAGCGACTCAGAGCTAAAACAATATTTGAATCAATTTTCTGCTTAACAAACTCACGACTAGTGAGATACTTAGTGAGAGAGAGGGAGGATGAAGACGAGATCTAGTGATGTCCAAGCAGATAACAGAGGGAAGAGGAAAGCTCCTGAAGGAGACGAAAATGGCAGAGGGAAGAGAAGATTGGTGGAGAGCAACGAACAGAAGAACGCTCCTCAGCAAGACGAATATGGAAGAGGGAAGAGAAGATTGCCTCCGAGCAACCAACAGAAGAACGGGAAGATCCTCAGAGGAATCCATGGCTGTGTATCTCCTCGGTGCTCTGCTTATACTTACCGTTCCAGCTTCTCCTGGTAATTTCTTCCTCTCTAGAATACTCGCAGTTTCGATTTGCTGCACGAAATTGATCTGCTCGCGAATAATTTGCTATGCGAGTTTGGGCTGAGCTCCAATTTGGTTTTGAAATGTTTGCAAGGCGTTTAATCTTACTGTATTAGATGAATCTATGATGGTAGAACTCGATCAGTGATCTTCGGTACCTTCTGGAAATGAGATCTCGGAATGAATTGGATTGTATGAGAAGCAGATGTTAATATCTATTTTTGTTCGCGACTGTGTGCTTGCTGAAACCTGGGATTTGAGATTTTCTTCATATTTGTTCGCTTTCAATCATCAAAAAATTTGAATACCGATTGATATAACTCCTTCAATTTCGAATCAGGATTCTTAGATCTAAGTCTTTGGGTCAGATTCCTGAGTCTGTTCTAATTATTTTGTCTGCGAAATCAGGTTTGAGCAAGATATATGGACATACATTTCAAGGTTTTTGGATGGTAAATCACTGGTGATGCTGGGAGCAACAAACAAATGGTTTTTCAAGATCATAATGGAGGAAACTATTTGGAGGTTTGCCTGCTTGCGTGATCTTCAGGTGCCAAAACTGTATTCAGTTTCTTCAAGCTGGATTAAGATATATGCTTCAGCTTTTGGTAAGTACATTATGCACATTAAATCAAAAACGAAGAAGATAACATTCCGACTCATATAGTCTCAATACAATAGTAAACTAAGAACTGAGATGTTGCACAATGCAGATGGGAGTCACTCTTACTTGTTCCATCAGCAGGAAAAGCATATCGGTGAGACCCTGAATTGGATTCATAATACTTTCTTAGTTTGGTAAATTGAAAAAAAGGCATGTTGATACAGATGTCAAGCCATATAAAAATTCTCTATATACTGTCTAGACTTTGAAGTACTCCATTTGCTGAACATCAGCCTAATTTTTATCTGGTTTTGACATTGTAATTACAGACTGGATGCGAATCGGTGCTTTTACTCTTGACTCTCCAATGTCACTCCTGACTGAGAATTTGAGCGGTCAACTGAAAGTTCCAAGGGAAGGAACCATAGAACGAATGTTGCAAACCACTGGTTCATGTATTATTAAAAACATCAAAAGCGGTATTTGGATAGCAGGTAAGAAAGATTTCTCATCCATTATATTCTGGAACTTGTCCACGGATTAAAAAGATGTAACATGGTTTATCTTATTTACAGATTTACAGCTTGTTCGTTGCCCTGTATGTGACCTCAGTACCTGTGATGGTAAGAAGGCGCTTTATTAACTCTAAACTGTTATTGAAATGTTAGGATTGATGTTAGTGTATTTGTCTCTGCTGTGACTAAATTGCAACTAAGAGTGTTTCTGTATACTGTGTAGGAACAATGCAAACACTGGATGCTAGGCACTTTGAGCTGTTTCTGAATGAAGAATACAAAAATGGAAGCTGGGAATACAATCTCATCGGATCTCATAAGCTACAGAAAGACGCAATTGCAGCTTGTGGAGCCATATTCGATCTGAAGCACCTTAAAGCATCTTCATCCTCGGGTAAAGTTTAAGCTCACTCACACTCTTATGTTCCTTTTTGTCCTCTTTGAATCTTCGACTCTGGTTCACACCTTGGCATGAAATGAAAACTTGGTATAGGGATTCTCCAACTCAAGTCGTGGACCGGAGAGCCAGATGATTCCCAACCCAAAGCAGTAATCGCAACCCACGCAGTCGCTGTTCACACAAGACTACAAGAAAACGAAGGTATATATCACTTTGCATAACTTTTTTTTTAATCTGAGAAAGATAAACTTATAATTGTAATACATATTATTTAAATTGCAGGAATCCTTGTGAAATATCACACGATGAAGGCAGGAACTGATGGTGACATTGTTTCCATCAGAATCTCCCAGCAGCTACTCTGATCACAATGTGTCAGCCCACTCACACAGAGCCTCTTAAGTATTTCTGATATCCAAATCCTTCCACTTCAGTAAAATAATATTCTACATTAGCCTCTTTATTATATTTACAACCTTACTATATGTCGCTGAGAAATTATTAAACTTCTTCCATACAATACACACTCCAATGAATATTTAGGCTATTCTCTGACATATTCCATTTTTATCTACAAGTAGTTTACTATTCCTTAGTGCCTAACCACATAATGACATTCTCTAATCAATAATTAAAAAAAAAGTAGAATATACTCTAATCCTGACATGGATGTTAAAACTTGCATATCAGGCTGACCTTTAAACATTGTCCTTGTCAATCCATCCAATAATAATTGTGACCAAGTTTTTAAAGTTGTTCATCATATTTTCTCTGAATGGGCCACGATGCTTTTCCATCGAAGCTACGAATCAAAATAAGGCCCAATGGGCCTAAATGATAGAGGAGCTATGATTTAGCTCCGCCGATAATCAATCACGACATCCGCCATTGCTAATCGCCGTCGAGCTTCGATGGCTGCTGCTTCATGGCTATATGCTCTCTTATATGGGAAAAAGCTCCACTAAAGCTCTTCTCAGCTCTCACCGAATCCAATTCCGATGAGTTCATTTCCGGTCATACCAGCGTAATCGACTGGACCAAGAAATGCGCCGGTAGGAGAGGAAGTACGATTCGCCTTGTACTAGGTCTTCGCCCTTCCCTCGTCTGATTGATTTCTTCAATTTATCATCCCCTCGCCCACACGCCTCTATAGGTTTCTCTAATATTACTTCTGATGGTAGTGGTGAATAGGTGTTAAATCTGAATGCGATAATGGTGATGTTGGTGAATGGTGATGAAACTGGGATTCCATTGTGTTGATTCCCGAAGAGGCAGAGAGAGAGTGCAGAGTGATTGATGAATGGTTTGCGTTATATAGAAAGCTGTTGTTGGTGAAATGAAGGTTTATCGCACGAATCTGATTGTAAAGGCTTAAGAACACGGCTTGGGCTGCAGAGAAACCATTGAGACGACTGATTGAAGAGATGGGTGCTAAAGGTGTATTGACGATGGAAACATGATGCTGGGGAAGAGATGAAGAAAGCTGTTGGTATCTTTGTGTACGAAGCTTGATTGTTTGCTAGAGAGAGTCGGCTAAGCTTGGAACAGAGGCTCAGGTTCCGTTTGATATCCTGAAAGGACCTACTTGGATGATTTACGGGTTATAAGAATGGAAGCTGGGATTAGAATCTTTCAGAGCTTCTGGTGAAGCTTGCGAGATCACATTTTGATCTCAAACACCTTCAACAATCCTCTGCTTCGGGTATGCACAAATCCCTTTCCTTTTTGTCACACCTTCACACGACTCTCACTCTCAACTCTAATCATACACTTTTATCCATTTATATTCTTGAACCAGAGGCTCAGCTGATTCCCACACACATATAAAGGAGAAAGTTCTTCACAATCCCAAAAGCTTCAAAGTTTCTGGTATGCAAATTCTTTTACACTAGCCCTTATTAGAAGTTTTCAACCTTATAATTTGTAGCAAGAATCATCTGAGAGCTAGTTGAACTAATTTTATTATATCAACACATATACCCATGTCAACGAATATAACAAGAATTAGGTCGACTATACCAAATTAGATATATATTTAATTATATATTGTTCTCTGACTTGTTGTATGAATTTATGAGTAGTACTAACAATTCTTCATCCTGTCCCTTAGTGCTAAAGCCACATTATGACCTTCTCAAAACAAATCCCTCTCCTTCTCCTCATCATCTTCTTCTTCCCTCTCCTACACGCCTCAAACCCAAAACCTTGTTACACTTCTTCTTGTGGAAGCGGGAACGTACACGTCCGTTTCCCTTTCTGGCTATTCCCCAAGCAACCCGAGTCCTGTGGCCACACAGGATTCAACCTCTTTTGCACCGATCGCCAACAGACAGCCTTAGAGCTGCCTAAATCCGGACCATTTCTCGTCCGAGAGATCGATTATGGAACGCAGCGAATCCGCCTTAACGACCAGAATAACTGCTTGGCCAGACGCCTCCTCAGCTTTGACGCTTCGGGGTCTCCTTTTTCTCTGTTTCTTCCTCGTAACTACACGTTTTTGATCTGTCCCAAGGACGAGAATGTCGCATCATCTTTCAGATCCATCCGTTGCCTTGGTAACTCGACTTCCTCCTTCTTTGTCACGGAGTCGGCGCAGGTCGGTTTAATGCCGTCACCTTGTCGGATCTTTAAGACATTGCGTCTTCCGTTTTCATTCCCCGGTGACCTGAACTATGAAGACGTGTGGCTCAAATGGGACTCGCCGGATTGCAGCGATTGTGAGAGGAGGACTAATTCGAGATGTGGATTTATAAACAGTACCACTCTCCAAGCCCATTGCTTCAGTTCTGTAAACTCCGGTACGAACGATCTCAATTCTTCCCTCTTTCTATATACTTCACAACCTTCCAAACTCGAAACTAAGTCATCTCATTTTGAGCATATTCTTTCCGAAAGAATCCATTAATGGTGGAAAGCGTCAAATCCAAGTACTTGTTGGGTAGTTATCTACTGACTAAACAACGAGATTGTTCTAGTTGCCATTTAATAATCACATCAGGTTATTGACTTTGGTTAATTAATCAACCATATCTTACAATAGGCATATATGAGAGAATGTCGTAACATGAAAATATATGTATATATATAAGTTTCACCGTTGACCAGTTTTGTTGTTGTGAAACAGGACTTCACAACACAAGCTTACAAGTTCTAAAGATAATCTGCCTCTCTCTAATGGGACCACTCATCGCCTTGACCTTCTGTGTGGGTCTTGTCATGTGCAGTTCCGAGAGAGTCTCTTCCCAGATACAACACGCCATGGCTGCACGGATTTCCGGATCCGTAACACCGCAGCCAAGCGACCAAGTGATCACGGGGTCGGGTCTCGATGAGTCTACGATTGAGTCATACAAGAAAGTTGAGTTAGGGGAGAGTAGGAGACTCCCGACCGGGTCAAATGATGTTGTGTGCTCCATTTGTTTGTCGGAATACGCTACCAAAGAGACGGTTAGGTGCTTACCCGAGTGTGAGCATTGTTTCCATACCGAATGCATCGATGCGTGGCTCAAGTTGCATAGTTCGTGTCCGGTTTGTCGGAGCAACCCATCTCCGGCGCGTGAAGGGTGCAACTAACTTTGTATGTATGAATTGATTTGCATTTCTTGGGTTCTCAAAAAAAAGGCTTTTAGTGGTTCTGTTTAAAATTTTAGTGAATTTAAAAAATATTTTGATGCATTTACTAGCCATAAATATTGGGCTTAAAAGAAATTGTTGAACCGAAGCCTAAACACCATTTCAGTTTAAAACTATACCAGGCAGAGATTTCTTCGGTAAGACTCCAAATTTGGGAAAGTTTATAAGCGCGATGAGGAAGACAAGATTCCCATATCCATCAATTATGAAAATTTCACTTTCTATAATCCATAAATTATGAAACTTTCTCTTTTATATTGTAATAAATTATGAAAATTTCCCATTTCTCCGCGCAACGTTCTTGTGTCTACATGTGTATATAATCAAAAGGAATAGTCAAAGCCTTAAACTCTATACCCTGCTTCATTGTATCAGACACACAGGTTAGTGATCAATTTTAGCGATCAAAGTCAATTCCTACGTTCTAAAGTTTACGAATTTATGTTTATACTTGTTTCTGAAATTCATCTGGTTATATAATATCTAATTTCTCTCTTTATCTTCATTTCTTCCTCTCAGTTTTCTGCTTCAGAGATGGCTGACTTCTCTTACAAGAAAATCTCTCCAAAGCTGGGCGGAGAAAGAGGAGCTCGAAACCCCAATGGCCCAACTTCTTCACATGACCTCGTCGAGCAGATGGAGTTTCTTTACGTTGAAGTAATCAAAGCCATCAACAACTCTGCCCAGAACACTATAGCCCACAGATGTATCCCCGTCGTCGAAATCACTCTTGGGAACTACAAATCCTCAACCAAGAATCTACCAATAGACCCAAAAGGGGAGTGGAACCAAGTCTTTGCTTTCGACAAATCCAAAGGCGATGTCTTGTCAGTTACTATGAAAGACGGTCATACGGAGAGCAATACCGTAATTGGCAAGCAAAATTTCAAGCTGGTGTTGGATATCCCGAGTAGGGTTCCTCCCGATGCAAGAATCGCTCCGCAGTGGTACTCTATGCAGAATACCGAAACCGGTTATCACATGGCATTGCTGATGTCGATCTGGTTCGGTACACAAGCCGATGAGGTTTATTCAAACGCTTGGTTTTCGGACGCGTGTGATGTGAGTGCTAGTTGCGTGACCAACACGCGGCCTAAGCTCTACCTAGCTCCAAGGCTCTGTTACGTTAGAGTTACAATTGTTTCAGGTCACGACTTGATTTCTTCCGATAAGAAACAGCAGAATCCTTCGGTTTACGTGAAGGCGACTCTGGGTCGAGTCGCTCTAAAGACCGTGACCAAGTCTGGTTTGAACCCGTCGTGGAATCAAGATCTCATATTTGTTGCATCGGAGCCGCTAGAAGGAACGGTCTACATAAGCCTAATCGAGAAATCGGATGAAAACCACGAAGAATGCATAGGGAAACTAAAAAAGAAGCTCTCAGAGATGAACGCGATGAAAGTTCCCGGATTAGCACCGGTTCAGTTCTACGACATTGAGCCGCCGGGTGATATCCAACCGGCAGGCGATACGAGGCGGTTCGCTAGCAGAATCAAGATGAAACTAGCGACTGATCAAGCTTACCACGTCTTTGATGAATGTAGCCAATACTGCAGCGACTATCGAGCTTTTGCGAAAGGGTTGTGGACCGGCGTGCTCGGGAAACTAGAGGTGGGGATCTTGGGCGCGACGGGATTAACGCCGGTGAAAGACTCGGCATATCAAAGGAACGCATACGTGGTGGCCAAGTATGGGAACAAATGGGCAAGGACTCGAACCGTGGTGGATAACAAGTCGCCCAAGTGGAACGAACAGTATTCTTGGGATGTTTACGAAAAGTGTACGGTGCTAACGCTTGGAGTGTACGACAACCAACAAATCGTTACAAACTATGGTGAGGGGAATGATGGTCCGATTGGGAAAGTGAGGATCCCGTTGGGTCAGCTGAAATGGAACATGATCTACGCTGGTTCGTGGCCGATAATGGAACTGGGGAAAGAAGGATTGAAGAAGAAGGGTGAGCTTCAGCTGGCGGTTCGCTGCGCGAGCGTTCCGAAATCTTACGCGGTTGAAACATCAGTTTTCCGTTGGATGCTACCGAAAACTCATTACAAATTTCCAATGTCGCTGATTCAGAAGGAGGAACTGCGAGCACAGGCGGTGGAGGTGAACTGTATGAACCTGGCGAGAACAGAGCCGCCGCTGAGAAACGAGGTGGTGAGGGATATGCTGAAGCCCAAGAGTAACAGCTTCAGTTGGAGAAGAGCCAAAGCTAATCAGGAGAGGCTCTGGAAATCCTTGGCGCGGTTGTTCGGCTGGTATGCTTGGCTTGATGCAAACGTCAGATCCACGACAGCTTTTCGTCCGAAACTTGTTGCGTTTGCTCTCGGTTCTGTCTTGATTTTTCTCACTTGGTGGGTGTTATTTGTGGCTTACTATTTCGCCGCACCCCTTTGGATTTTGTGGAAAATATTTTTGGCAATACCCAAGCTCTGGACCCAAGGATGTCACTGGCTCACGAATAGGATCGACACACCTCCTCCTTTGGTTCTCGTCGATTTGAAGCTCTCGAAACTCGACCCGCCCAGCGTAGAAGAGCTAGACGAAGAGTTTGACCTGCATCCGTCGTCGGTTGATCCGGCTGTTAGGATGACGAGGTACGAGAAGTTGAGGAAGACGGCGGCGCACGTGGTGTCACTTATGGGAGATGCTGCGTCACAATGTGAAAGGCTTTACTCGCTCTGGAAGCTTTGTGTCGGCAATGAACTCGTTAATGTTTCGCTCCTAGGGGCCGGTTATGTGTTCCTGTGCGCCGTTTACACTTTTTGGGATTACGTAAACCTTTTGCCAAAGGTTTTTGTTTTGGGTTGTTGGTTCTTTTGGATTAATTTCCCCTGCTGTCGCAACGATTTGCCCAGTAATATCATGAACTTCTTCAGAAGATTGCCAAGCAACGAAGATCTCATGATCTGAGTTATCAGTTTGTAGCGACGGGTTTTGACTTCTTTTTCATATACTATGTATTGGTGAAGAACGACTTTGCTTCAGGGTTCTTGTTTATTGAAAGGTATAAAAATCTGATCATTGCAAATCAGAAATTGTAGCAATGCCTTTTCCTAATGGGTTGTGTTAAAAAAAAATATTCAAAGTAAAATCTCTCACGGTGAATGTTGAGAGAGAGTATTGTCCTTGTCCTGTAAAAGGTATAACTGCAGAATTAGCTCACTCTATGTTTTTTTCACTTGGTGGGTATTGTTTGTGGCTTACTATTTCGCCGCACCCCTTTGGCTTCTGTGGAAAACAATTATCGCAATTCCCAAACCCCCCTTAGTATATCAATGGCTCACGATCGATTTGAAGCTCTCGAGACTCGACCCGCCGCCCAGCAGCGTAGAAGAGCTAGACGAAGAGTTTGACCCGTCTCCGTCGTCGTCGGTTAATCAGGCTATTATTTGCATGAGGTACGAGAAGGTGACGAAGACGGCGGCGCAAGCGGTTTCACTTATGGGAGATGCTGCGTCGCTATGTGAAAGGCTTTACTCGCTCTGGAAGCTATGTTACGAAAATGCACTCGTTAAGGTTTTGCTCATGGGGGCCGGTTTTGGGTTCCTGTTCGTCGTTTACAATCTTTGGAATCACGTAACCTTTATCCTAAAGTTTTTTACTTTGTGTCTTCTTATATTCGCAACGATCTGCCTACTGGTATCATGAACTTCATCAGAAGATTGCCAAGCAAGGAACATCTCATGATCTGAGTTATATCAGTTTGTAGCGACGGTTTTTAACTTCTTTTTCATATTTATGTATTGATTGAACGAATTTTGCTTCGGGGGTTCTTCTTGTTTAAATCTGTAGTTTATTGAAAGATATAAAAATCTGATAATTGCATATATATTTTCAAGCTTTTTCGCATTAGGGTTGGTTCAGTTCTATATGGCTTAACGTGTTTCTCCCCGAGCAATTCTTTTGATTCTGCTATGGACTTTAGACTTATGGAGAGTTGCAAATCAGAAATTGTAGCAATGCATTTTCCTAATAGGCAGGTGTTCTTGGTATTTTAACTTGCAGGAAAAAATATATATATATTTTTGCAAGTCTTCCTCAAGTCCAACACAGAGGAAAAAACATTGTCATACCATGTGATTTCAATAAATAACTTTCTTTTTTTGAAGCCTTCTCGAATTAGGGTTGAAATTTCCAAACGGTTACTCTATATATTCATGATGCTGTGACCAAAAAGTATTTGCCCTCCGCCATTGTATAGTGACGCTATATCTGAATTACCCAAAAATGGTTTCTTTCTTGAACATCAACATTGGCCTTTTCCAAATGACTTGTGTTAAAAAAAAAAAAAAAAAAAAATCAAAGTAAAAATCCCTCACAGTGAATGTAATACGTTTTACTTTTACTGTCCCCTTTTTAGGTTGTCCCTAGACTGCATGAGGGTATTGTCTGATAAACTTGAAAACATGAAGCATATGAAAGACAGACCCAAGATGCATACGATGTTGGGCTTCAAAAGCCTTATCAGTAAACTCAAGCTTTTCAGCCGGTATTCGAACCCTCGTCTGTTCCGGGACATGGTACTATTATTAACCACTAGACCACTGCTGCTTCTTTAGGCTCAAATAATACTAGTTTTTTATTTTCTTTATCGTTAGACGTTCATCAAAGTTATGTCTTCATCAGATTTGGAAAGGAATTAATCGGAAAGTCACCGAAATTTAGAGAGAAATTTACCGAAACAAGCATCGCACAATTTCATGATTGAGTAGAGAGAGTGGCTTCGTGAAATTTGAAACGAAACCCTAGAGATTGCGTTCGTATTCCTTCGCGTAAAACCCCCAAAATTGGGGAAAGCTGATGAGCGATGAGGAAAGAGGAGATTCCAGATAAAAGTCGGGCTTTCCCGGTCGATCCCAATCTTCCGAAATGGGTCTGCCAGAAATGTCACCACTCCCTTACCATCGTCGGCGTCGATTCCTACGCCGGAAAGTTCTTCAATGATTCCCCTCATTCCGGTTAGGGTTTCTTCCCCTCTCTCTCGCTTCATTTCCGAAAGAGCGTTTCGTGATGGATTTTTTCGGTGATCTCCCTCTTATGCGGGAAGTAATTTAGAACTTGAAATTGTTTAGAGAATTTATGTTTGGTTATCGGATTCTTGTTCCTTCTAGAAACGGATTTTGCTTACCGATCTAAGTCTGTAATTTATTGAAAAAAAAAAAAAAAAAAAAAAAACTGATATTTGTCTGCTGAAGATATCGCATACTATGTGATTTCAATATATATTTCAGTCCTTTTCGAATTAGGACTTGGTTCAGTTCTATTGTCAGATGGTATGGCTTAATTTGTTTTTCCCCGAGCAATTGTTTAGAATTGAAGTTACTGCTATGGAATTTAGACTTATAAAAAGAGTTCTGAAATCGGACTTGTGTGTAATGAATTGTAGATATGCTTTTTACTAATGACTTGTTGAATGTAAATGTTTACATCCAAGCAGTGCAAGGCTCCTCCATCCATGGAGCCAACAGTGTTCTCGGTTCAACACGCATGGACAACTCTTTTGTTGTTTTACCACGACACAAGCCTCAAGCTCAGGGCATTCCTCCACGTCCCCGTGGGGCTTCTCCTCAGCCTACTGATGCAGGCCCATCTGGGAAGGCGATGGAAGAGTCGTTTGTAGTCGTGTACAAGTCTGAGTCAGCTTCTGATTCAGGCACTTCTCAGAATACGTCGCCTGAAGTGGGCCAAAATGGTCCTTTGCATTCAAATAATTCAGGCTTCAATGCGACCATTAACGTTTTAACACGCGCTTTCGATCTTGCCAGGACTCAGACGCAGGTATGATACTGTGAAGATTTGGCTTCACCTTTGAAGAGTATATATTCCGCTGGATAGAATGACCTGATGATACGTTTTGCTTTCCCCTTGTTTTGTGTGTGCTTTTAGGTTGAACAGCCATTGTGCCTAGAGTGCATGAGGGTATTGTCTGATAAACTTGAAAAAGAAGTGGAGGATGTGACGAGGGACGTGGAAGCATACGAAGCATGCGTTCAGCGGTTAGAAGGACAGACCCAAGATGCTCTTAGTGAAGCTGATTTTCTCAAGGAAAAAAAGAAGGTAAATTTCCAGCTTCACATATTTCTTTTTTTTATTACTCTAATATGAATGGCCCATGATGTTAGGTAATAAGCTTGTTCTTGTTTCCTGCTCTATTTAGATTGAGGAAGAAGAAAGAAAACTTGTCGCAGCTATAGAAGAAACAGAGAAACAAAATGCTGAGGTGAACCATCAACTGAAGGAGCTCGAGTCAAAGGGAAATCGCTTTAATGAGCTAGAAGATCGGTTAAGCTCTCTCACTGGTTCCCATTTAGTGCTATTCACTTATTTTCTCACATGCTTCTGTAACATTTTTGGTTTCCTTTGTTATAGGTATTGGCAAGAGTTCAACAATTTTCAATTTCAACTAGTAGCCCATCAGGTGCGTTGATGGTCTTATAGTCTTAGGTTTCTCCCTCATTTCACTATATGATGCTTTCGTTTTCCTTACAAATTCTCGATAATTGTGGTATTAGTATTTATAGCTTCTGATTAGATTTATGTAGTCAGTATTATAGATATGTTTTTGTTAACAGGAAGAGAGGGATGCAATCTTGGCAAAGATTGAAGTTTCACAAGCACATTTAGAGCTATTGAATAAGACAAACGTGCTGATTGATGCCTTTCCCATACGACATGATGGAGATTTTGGTACAATAAACAATTTCCGACTTGGAAGACTCCCTAAAGTACCGGTAAGCTTTGCGATTTCCCTTGTATATTCACAACCTCTTGTTAAACTTAGGTCACATGAAACATTATTTAGGTTGAGTGGGATGAGATAAATGCTGCTTGGGGACAAGCCTGTCTTCTCCTCCACACGATGTGTAACTATTTCCGGCCAAAGTTTCAGTATCCTTTTTGTATCTTACAATCCTTCTTTAGTCGTTTTATGTTCGATACTATGGACTGTTTATGAAGTTTATCTTTGACCGGGAACCCTTTTTAAGATGTCGAGTTAAAATACAGCCAATGGGAAGTTATCCTAGAATTGTGGACAGCACCAACAACACTTATGAGCTGTAAGTAATTCCCGATGCTTCAGTGGCATATTCTACTATACTGGTTTTTCGTGGGAGTTAAACTCGAGATTTGTCTTTCTTTCTTCAGTGTTTTTTTGACGAAAAGCTGTTTTGATGATCTTCTTCAGGTTTGGTCCTGTGAACTTGTTTTGGAGCACTCGGTACGATAAAGCCATGACATTGTACTTGATTTGTCTTAAAGACTTTGCCGATTTCGCTAACTCAAAGGATCAAGAGAACAACATTCCACTAGAGAAATGCCTCAAACTTCCATTCAAGTAAGTCCAAAATCATCTTTTTTTTGTCGATCATCTTTTTCTGTTGATGAGTACAATCCAAAACCTTGGAAGTTTCTTATACAAAAACCTGTTTGCAGGATTGAAAATGACAAAGTGGAGACATATTCGATAACGCAGAGCTTCAACAAGCAAGAGAATTGGACCAAAGCACTGAAGTATACTCTATGCAACCTTAAGTGGGCTCTCTACTGGTTCGTTGGGAACACTAATTTCCAGCCTCTCTCTGCAACGGTTTCTTTGCCTTCGGATGTTTCCGCAGCTGGTTCGTTATACGCTAAGCGTGGTCCCCAAGGAATTCGTGAGAGATCGAAATGAATCATCATCCACTTGTGTGAATAGTTTTAAGCATTTATTGATTAGTTATAACATGGAATAATAACAACACTCCTTGCTTATATATAAACTTATTTGTACAGATTCTCTTCTTTTTTCCTTTTGTGTGTATTATTATATAACCCTTTTAGTTCCCTAGTTTCTTTCTTAGCTTTGTGTGTCTTTCCGATTTCAGACTACAGATAGGAGTTGAAATGAAATTTAGAACCATCATAAACATTTCAGTGTGAAAGTTGGGTGTTCCATTTTACTCTTTTAAGTCATGCCCGACATAAAGTTAATTGGGTCCATAATTGGCCATTCTGGTTTCACTGAATTCTACAGCGATTGTAATTCAAAGTGAAACTATTGAATATGTCTTCAGATGTCAAAGTAGCTGTGCACCAAGAATGCTATGGGGTAAGCGAAGCTCAAGACCTCACCTCCTGTGTATGCAGAGCATGTGAAACACCAGATACTGAGAGAGAGTGTGTTGACTTTGTCCTGGGACCTTTGTGATCACTTACTGCTACGTTGTGGTGATTGGATTCTCATCAGTCCCGTTGTTTGCTGTTGTGTTTTCGGTGGTTCTGTTCATCATCATGTTTTTAAGCAAACCAAATAGCTGTCCATTAAGCCTGTTATCTTAGATAGTCCAACAAGAATTTGAGTGTAAGTGTGAGAGTGAGAGTTAGCCGTTGAAGATTTCAGAACGGTGACTTTTAACGTCATGCAGACTTATTCAGGAACTAGCCGTTGATGGTTGCCCCGTTTAGAGATTGAACTATATCATAAAATGATAAAATACGACTAGAGCACATAAAAACTTGAATAAACGGCCTATGTCGTCATTCTTGTAAATTGTAGTACTTCATTGGAACTCTCTTATTCATAGTAGTTTTGATTTTATTAATTTTTAAATAATATACTGCTTGGTGTTTATCTCAAGGAGATTATGGCCGTCCCCTTAAACTCAAGGCTTCTCTTCGTCTGAATTAGAGCAAGGAGGTCCAGGTACGGAATCCACGAAAAACTCCTCTATTGAGTATTGATGATGATGCCAACAAACAAACAAAAATAGATCAATAATTTTTATCCGAAATTGTGAGAGAGCATCAAAATCTATATAAACCAAACTTGATGTTAGAAATCTGACAAAGGGAGTGGAAGATACCAATGTCATCTTGTTCAGGAGAATCCAGGAAAATCTCTGAATCGGATGGAAGAAACGGAGAGCCTGGATAGTTTCCCAAGGCTCCTAAATCTGCAATTATACACGTCTGATCATCATCAGCTCGTGTTAAATGTGATAATTTAATGAGGATTATACTGAAACAAACTTACCTCCTAAATTTGACAAATCAGCGGTGAGGTCAGAAAGGCTAAAGTTCCAGGGAATCTGATCAAACGACCCGAGGGAATCTCTGGAATCACCAGCTCCTCCTTCTCCTCCATCTGCTCCCACATCAGACGTGAACGCCGAATCAAGCACTGACGTGTCCATTACCATACCGGACATGTCCGAAGCAGCGAACGGAAAGTGTCCACTTGATGCCACAGAAGCTGGACTCGCTGGCATCTCAGACATCCCACCGCTGCTTGGTGGAACAACCTGAGGAGTTGCAGCAGCATCCGCATTTGTATCCATCACCATTCTAAGAAACAAAAAAAAAAAAATGGAGAGAGATTTTGAGGAGCTGAAGCATCCGAAAGAATAAGTTAAACTTGTACTGCGAGTTACTTCTCTTACTCATTCGCTGAGTTCATCCTCAAAGGCTGGAAATTCGCAGGTGCAGGCACTCCGTTAACAACATGGCAGCTTGATATACCCATTGCATCAATGTGAGGATGGACCTGAGCATGCATTTGAGGATGCTGAAGTACTGGGTAGCCCATTGGCATGTTGACTGCACTGCGAAACATGAACTATATAGTAAACCTTTTTTTTACTTGTAAACTATATACATAGTTTTTATTCAGGTGACATCAGAATTATTACCAGGTGCCATGGGATGCATTCCATTTTGTATCGGCGCCAGAGGGATTTTGGGAGGTATTGGAGGATACCTCATGAGATGGTACTGGTGCTCAAGCAAATGATTGAACAGAATTATTTGCTTCTTCAGTTTCAACCTTATATAATAAGCCCTGAAAAAGTCTGCGTTTTCTTCTTCCAGTTTCTGCCAAACTGATTGATTTCACAAGAAGAAGAAAAATTGTCACTTCTCATTCCTAATAATTCATACTTTTCAAACTTCAAAGAAATCTAAGACCCAAAGAAAGGTTAAATATGATGCAACGAAACAAAGTGAAGAAAGATACTTTCAAAAAGCTTACCCAAGGTTGTAAATCCAGGGTCTATCCTCGCCCGAGTCAAGAGGGTCTTCACGACCTCATCTCTGTTCATGTACAACTGAAGACATCTTTCTATCAAATTTTGGACCTACACCAATCAATTCCAAAGTATATCACACAGATGTCACGCTTAGACACAGAGAAGAGGTAAAAGCCTGACTTTTATTTAGTTAAAATGACAAGGATATGAGGTTTTCTTACAAGTTCAATATCTTGTCTTGAAACTTTCCTACTGTCATTGCTTGAAGCAGATACAGAACCAGTATCTTGTAGAGGAGCATCTATTGATTGGTTGTTTTTCTGGTCAGCTTGGGACTCATGTGAAGCTTGAGTGGAAGATTGTAGTTCCTGTGCGCACTGTAATTAAATAATATTTATTCAAATATATTTCATTGCAATCAAAAACTCTACGAGTACTGAGACAGCTTACTTAGATCATTATGAAAGTATTCATCTAATCCATCAATCAATTTCTAATATGAAGACCTCTCAAAAACCAAGGAATTGCAAGAAAAATAGCAAAAGTTAAGCTACTGAGTTTTGAAGAACACTAAAAAGGAGAAGGCTGTGTTATAGAAGAACCTATGACCTGTCCGTTCTTCATTGCAGCTGCATGCATCCTTCAATCAGAACTGTTCTCTTTAGCGGCGTTTACAACATCGTAATCAATAGAGCTCAGCATCTTCTTGTCTATAATTTTAAAACCAAAGATAAACCTGAATAACAAGAAGAAGAAAAAACTATTAGGCATAGGCCATACAGTTTCTTTACACACTAACACTAACACCTAACAGTTTCGATAACAGCCAAAATAGTTCATTCCACTGTACATTGTTTCACAAATTACACAAATAACTAAAACCAACCACAAAATAGCTCATCACACTGTAGATTGTTTCACTTTCAAATCAGCAAAAGTAATAAACTTGCAAAACCACTATGATAATCTATTCAGATAATAAGTATTTTTTCTTCATTTGGGATTATAATCTAATGAAATCCGGTACTCTCTCTCTGCAAAGTGCACAGTAAACAAAGAAGAACCTGGAGAGTGCATTTGTGAATCAAATGAACCTAATTACATAAAAGTTTGCTATTTGTGGAACGAACAGATTCAAAAAGTTCGGAGTAGTATCCAAAATTCCAAATTGCCAGAAATGAAAACAATATTAAAAAAATTAAACAGAAGAACAAACCCCCGCACATGAACAGAAGAAAACTCTCTAATATAATATTGTAGAAAATCAAAAAGCAGAAAAGTTTATAGTAACGAGAACATCGAATAAACAATACCAATCAAAAAAAAAAAACAATTCAAGCGAATCTCACCTTCCCGCGAACTTGAAGACTGCAGCGAACCCTAAATCATACCCTCGGAAACCAAGTTATCTCGACGAATTTTAAAAAGCCAAAAATCACGGAACGAGTCTCAACAATTCATCATATAAACATCGAAATTGCGAACCATAATTTGACCTGGAAGAATCACACGAAAAATACTGAGAAACGCGACAGGTTAAGCGAGAGCTTTATGGAATCCAACAAAGATCTGAACTCGAGAAGATAGAGTAAACAATATTCGACGGTCCTTTGGTAGTAGCAAAGAAAAAACCTCTCCGAAGACGGAGATTGCGAGAAGATATCAATCAGAACGCCATTATCGAGAGACGAAGTTGCAGAGGAAGTTAACGCTGCAGAGAGATAAGAGTAGAAAGAGAGAGCGAGACCAAATACTAGAGTGAAAATAAGTGTTATTATGGTAAAAAATCTTAGGCAAATATTATAGGATATGGTCGAGTGACGACGTTTTGGTACGAAAACTATTATTAATTTCGGATTTAAAAAAGTAATTGTAAAAGTAAAAACAAGTAATTGATTACTTTTAACTGGAAACATCAAAAATAAAACTTGCACCAGTAAATGTAAAAAATTAAAAACCAAATATCCTTAGCTTTAAAAAAAGTACCATACACAAGCCTAGCGATTATAAAATTTAGGACAGAATAAAAAAAGAAAATGTGAAAGTAAAAATAAATAGTCAACTACATTTGATTGGAGAAAGGCAGAATATAAAAGAAATTTCTAAATAATATCATCCTGTTTTTAGTTAAAATATATAAAAGAAACTATCTGCGGTAAATGTAAAGTGACTAAACAGGGGAGTTCCGTTGTGTATTAACGGATACCGTTACCACTCGGACAAACACTTGAACCTCGGTCGACCTTTCTACTTCACCGGTTCCAAGGCTGATCATGATCTAACCGGTGGTGGCCAGAGACTTGGATAGGAAGGAAAAAAACAAGTTACGGTTCCACTCTACCAAATTTAATGGGCCGATGTTGAAAACAACAAAAGAGAAATGGGCCGGTCATTAAAATAATTTGACTTCATTGATGAATTTGGGTACCTTATTGGGCCCTTTTTAATGGACCCATAGGATTTTCTGGAGGTTTCGATTGCACAACAAAATTCGACATGATTTGCAATAGCATGTTGTTTTCTTATAAACTTTAACTAATCACGATACGTCCCCGATTAAATTTGTTATGTAGTATTACGATGGCATAATATCAGAAAAGCTAAATATATATATATATCTTCCAAGTGTAACATGAATCGATAAATGATTGAAACTCGTGTATAATTCGCCAATGCTATGACGAGATTTCATAAAGACAGTATCACAAATCACAATCATGTATATACTATGAAGAGCTTTTGTGGATAATCAATTATTATCAAAATAAAACTACAAGTACAAGCTAAGAGTGTACGAATTTCTTTTTTCTAAAAAAAGTAGAGAAATTATTTCTTGAATTTTTATAGAAACATGATTGAAGATAAGCCCTGAATACTAATCGTTTCTCTATGTGGGCAAAAACGCTACATTTTCTTCTATGAAAAGAGATTCTAAGGATAAAAAAAAGGCAAAAAAAACAAAAGTTACCTAACCGTAAAACTCGTCTGAGAAAGAGTCGTGCGTTTTCTTAACCAGCTTGAATCGCTGCGTTTTTAACCAGCTTGGATCGCTGAGTGATGCCTACCGATTCCTCTTGGCTTGGTTTGCTTTCTTTGTGGCTGGAACACAATTCCAGATTTGGTCCGAGGTTGATCAAGTCCTGTCTTGACTATTCTTTCAGGGCGTCACAACTTTTTGCCTTGTTTTGATTTCCAAAGATCCTAGTGATGTGATCATACTGTTTCTTCTAAGTTCTTGAGTTTATTCCAGCTAAACACTGAGCACCACCATCAATCTTACTTTCCCCTGTTTGGTATAAATCAAGAGAAAAACTCTGATCAGAAATGTTGTTTCGCAGTGAAACCAAACAATAATACCAAAACTTACCTGGGGAAGCGAGGCGAGGAAGGATTATCAGGTGAAGACAGATGAGCAGCACCACGATACCTTGGCTGGTCTTCGAATGCCCCACCAGCTGAAAGGTTTCCGTCAGGCGCTTCACCCGTAGGTCCAAACTCGTGATGTTCAGCTGGCGAACTGTAAACAGTGTTATGATCGTACGGGTAAAACATCATGACAGACGGAGCGTTGTGTCCCTCTGAAGAAGTCACACTGTTCTGCTTCATCCCCGGCGGCAGTCGGTACATGCCATAAGCAATGTTCCCAGGAGCATCTTGTGGATTATTTGAGCGAGTAGGACCGTTTTGAGAATGATGAGAAGAAAACGAGGACGATTCATGCCTAGAAGACGGTCCCCAATGCCTATCAGAACGGTGGTCTTGCCTTGAGCTTGGCTTATTATCAGCTTGGTTACGATTGTTGTGGCTACGTCCGGAACCCCGTGTCTTTGTACCAGCATTCCAATTCCCTTCTCTGTCGCTGTGATGCTCGTTTCTCTCATGCCCATAATTCCCTCGCCTCATGCCAGATGTAGGCCGCTGCTCCCTAGGGGAAATCTTCTGCAACAAATTCAACACAAGTTCAAAGCAGTATCACAAAACCAAAACCGTCATGAGTTTTATATCAACAAGATACAAACAAACGAAAGAATCGGTAAAGGACATCAATATAAGCATGGCATATCACAAGAATGCACGCAAGTATTATGGAGGCTCAAGGAGGGTCAGTTCTTACAGGATTTGGAAAATAGGTCCCCGTTCCACTTCGATATCTAGGAGTTTCGTTAGCATAACGAGAGTAAATGTTAGGTGGCCTGGTAGAAACAGATTGTACAGGAGCAGCGGTTACCAGACGAGGTCCGTAGGTCATGAGCTGATTAACTACATTGGTGTAAGCAAGAGGTCTTCCAGGACCATCCCATGGTAAACGCCCCTGGAGATAAGCAGGTGGCACTACAACAGGAGCAGGATACAACACCTGCGGATGATGAGAATTCTGGCAAGAGCGGCCATACTGCAAATTTTGCCAATGGCTTGTAAAATCACCATTGAGAATATCATTTTTGTGCTCCGTTGGTTCTACAGAAGAGCCAACTCTAGTGGAGTGCGAAGAAACATTAATCTCAGATTGATCAAGTCCCCTGAACGAGTCAAAACTTTTAAAGGTATCATGATTCTCTACTCCTTCCACGCCGAGGTGGCTTGCCAAAGTATCTGATGGCGCATTACCACCAGCTTGATAGTTGTACATTGGAAGCATTGCTACGATCGGAACAGGTGGCCCAGTGGGATAAAAAGTATATCCAGAACTATCAACCTCGTTTTGTTGCATGCCATGGCCAAGGATAAATGGAGCAAGAGACACTGTGGACTCTGAACCACTTGCCTGAGCTAGTTCATGACCATGTATTTGATGCCTCTGAAGTTGAAATGAAGAAACAGTAGGCCGAGGGACCATATCCCTTTCTGTTAATTCATTGCTTGATACAGGAATCCATTCTCTGTTATCATCTTCAACCTGGATTGAGTGCTCAGGAACACTCTTTCCTTTTCCATACAGTGCAGACGCAGCCCCAGAAACTACTTTCCTATTCCGTTTATCCCTAGCTGACTTTGAGCCCCTTGTGGTTGATCCATCCCAAGAGCTTTCAGAAGAAGTTCTGCTTCTAACGGAACTAGCACAAGAAACAGATCTAGAGCCTGCATTTCTCTCCTCACTCTGAATCTGACTGCCTCTGACTGGAGAGTGGGAATTTTCTACATCATCTCCCCTTGTTGACCGAATTTTACGACTTGAGGGTACTAAACTGTGCTCTGCAGAAGATGAATGACGTTTATCATTCGCCTGATGCATTACATAACCACCATTTTCAACTCTAAAACTATGAGTTCCCCTTTCTTGGTCGTGCCAGAGATCATGGTCAGACTCGTCAACATTCACTTCTGAAGACCCTATGTCTTCATTACCAGCTTTGCTCAGCTTTTCTGAAATTGGGTGGGATCCACTGGGAAAATAGTGGTTAAATGGTGAAGAAGCAAAGTTTTGCGGGAATTGCACATTAGTACCCCAAGGTGTCTCCATGAAAGGAAGGTTGGAGGGAACAATGCCAGGCACATTCCTCTGATTATATCCCATTGAAGCTAGCATGGAAGATGCAATTTGAAACGGAAACTGGCCCGTGGAAATATTAAAAGGAAAAGGGTAGTGTCCATTAAAACCTTGCCCGGTAACAGATGTCATCGAATTAATTAGATCTTGTTCTTCCTGTTGCATTCCCTGTTTCCCTTCGGCAGTAAAGTCTTCGTTCGCGGAAACTGAACCTAAATCATCATAATAACTGTTCACTGCACTGCCCATGTCAGCAGTACTGTCAGGACTTCGAGGGGATGGTGTATGCCTAACTGACGATGAGTCAGCCCCATATCTGATATTGCTTGACAAACTTTCAGACTCTAGATTTTTTTTCCTGATATTATCAGCCCTCATAGAATTAGTTTGGCGTTTTCCAGCTTCTGGGGCTCTACTACGCCTTGGTTGCCAAAAAGCTTCACCACATGTCTCAGTAAGCTCAGGGCTAGACCGCGTCCTGGCAAAAATATGCCTTCCATGAACATTATTCACCATGATTTCTGGCTTAACAGTTTGCTGAAGTTTATCATTTGAAGCATTTTGACTAGAACGGACTTCCTGAGCAGGTTGGTAAGAGTTGCCACAGCTATTTTGGGTTTGATATGTTGCTCTAGATACAACTTCTGTTCCGCAATTATTCTGTTGAGAGGGCATACTGTGATTTCCTTGAACCACACCAAGACGGGCAGAATTTTGGCTTCTCTTGCTGCTTGAAGAATTACTAACATTTTCAGCTTGATGATAAGGCTCAGGATCCCCAAGTCTTGATAGCCATAGGTCATTTCCAGGAGCATCTGGACGACGACCACTGCCATGTCTTTCCCATGTATTCATAAAGAATTGGTTAACCTCATGTATCAAATTCTCCTTAGGGCATTCAAGTAACCTAGCCAACTTCTTGGCACCAAGGGTAAATGCACTTCGTATCCTAAAGAAGTTACCTGCCACAACGATAAAACAGCAAAAACAAAACCCAAGCATGTAAGCAAATCAACAACTTTGTGCATCTTCCAGCTTCATATTGTATAAAGAAAATAACAAATTCAACAAGCTACTAAGGCATGATATGCACAGTATGCAGACTGCAGATTAGCGTTCAACTATAAAAGTATGGATTTGAAAAAAAGTAAAAAATAAAAAAATCTGAAAGAAGCACTACCTTTACTGACACTGCGTCCAAGGTTGTTGTTTTCACGTAAAGGGTCTATAACATTGAAATGTTTGGAAACAAAAGGCTGCCCCTGTGTCTCTTGAGCAACAGGGTTAACTGCATAAACACTGCTACAAGCTTTAAGAAACGTTTCGCTATTTTGTAACTCTCCAACATCTTTTCGAGGAGGCTCCGCTGTCAAACATTGCATAGCAAGACAATAAGTACAAAAGACAGTTAGATGCACAATTAATGCAAAGGTGAGATGGACAGCAGTTCGTAAATACCTGTTACATCTGGTAGTGAACTAACTGGAACAGGGCCCCAGAGGCTAATACAAAAATTCTGCCAGTCAAACTTACTAAAGAACTCAAGAAAACGATAGAGAACCTACAAGTGCAAGGAATCCAGTCAGACGATTGGAAGAATCATTTTTGGCAAAATAAAGGCAGTTTCATAATGACAATACCTCGAGGGGTCCAGAAAATGAGTTGTTGAAAACATGAAATATGTAAAGAACCAAGGTTTCCAGGGCATATGTTGAAATAAGTCCATGGTGAGCTCCCAATATCCGACTCTCGTAATAACACCAGGCCTTAATCAATATGATACTACGCTTGAATAAATGGTTCTGGTTTATAAAGTGATCAACCTGCATATATAACAACATAAAGGTACAGAAATTAAAAGATATGCAAAACTCAGAAAGAGAAGCAAGTGAAATGTTCTACTTGGTGGGCAGCTAACCTCCTCAAGGAAGCATAGTGTACACAGCCCTCCAATCTGATTGAAAGATATATCCACCACGATATTCTCCACCAGACACTTAATGATCTTTACCTGAAACATTGTACCAGCGAAAACTTTATACACAATCAAGTATCACCCATACTTCCAATAATATAAATAGCCATAGACCAAACCTAGAAAAGGAGAGATAAAAGAAGCAAAATCATTAAGATCAAGGGGGCATACTTCTGCCTGAATATACTGGACTTCTTTGACATGGAACTCAGCATTCTCATTCTTCTCTTCCTTTTCCAGCATATCACGAACCAAATTAGCCCAGGAATCCTTCACATTTTGGTTCGTGCTGAAGGCCGTTAAGTCGATGTCTCCATCAGGCAAATAAGTCTTCAGTGGTACCGATCCAAAAGTAAAGATCTGGTACATGAAAAGTGATGATTAAATCCAAGTATCAGAAGTGTAAATATCCAAGCTTTTTCTAGACAATAGGAGGAAACCGCAAACAAGTTCTTAACATTCCATATGCCTTCATCAGCGCTAGAAAAAAATCCCGACCCTTTCCAAATCAAAGCCGAAAAGGAAAGCCACAAAAGAAAACCCACCTCGACCTGACGAGGGAAGCATTCCATGATAAGCCTCCGCACGTATCTGGCAACAGCATTTCGGCGATCTTCGGAAGGTGGATTTGGCTGGATGCAAGCAATGAGCTTGGCGGTTCTATCCTCAGCCTTGGCCCATCGCTCTGCATCGAGCGGCCGTGTCACAGATGCAGCCTTGCCTGGCAACAGCCCGTTCGGAAATAAGCCACTGGGTGACGGCGGAGAAGCCGCCCATGATTCATGCTCGCCCATGCAAATCTCTACCCTCGCAGTCACCGATTTTGTACGCAAACACACCTCGCCCTCCAATCTAATCAAAGACCTTGCCCACTCGTTACGGTTGCTTTTGCGGTTGCTATTAAGCAACCATCAGATTTTCTATCAATCGCCGCTTCAAAGTCACGAAATGAGAAAAAAAAATCTAATTGCTACGAGCCAATAGAGCTTTCGATCTGCCCGGCTTATCTAACAAATAACCCCCAAATGTAAAAATTGTAAGAATCTAATCGATTGTGTACGATTCAGGCACCCGAAAATTGGGCAAAATAAGAAAACGCAGGGGGGAAAATCGATTTGAGTAAGAAGGAGGAACCAGATGAAAGAAGAAGGGGAAGAAAAAAAAAACCCTAGGAGAAATGAGGAGAACGCAAGTTAGATTCTAAAAACAGATGGGCGAAAATCAATAAGAACCCTAGGATTAATCGAGAGAAAATCTAGCAGTATCGACGAATCGAGAGGTAAATGCGAGATTGATCAGGGTTACACTGGCGGACTGAAATCGTGCGGAAGAAGATGATGAAGAAGACATGACGAAGATGTATATATTGATTAGGTTTTTTATTTTCTATTTTGCTTTTTTTTTATTTTTTATCTTCTTCTCTGTTGATATTATTTTTCCTTTTTCTCTGCTCTCTCTTTTTCTGGGAGGAGGAGGACAAAGTAGGAGTGTTTGGTGACGGGGATAGGCAATTCGGGGGGGAAATCTCAGCCTCTCAAGGGCGTTTCCGTACTTTTGTAAACAGAAAATAGTCTATTAACAATTAATACTGATTTTAATTAAAGACCAATTATTATTGTAGAGTCACACACACAACACAATGCTTGTTTAAATTGTGCCAATTATCATTGTGAAGTAGTAAATTATGTTTTCATTAATAATAATAACAATAATAAAAACAATTAAAATGATAAATGTTACGTATTTCTATTTTGAGTATGCAAATATTCCACGTGTTCACCTATTTCTTATGGATGAAACCATTCCATAAAAACCATTGAAGCGACTTTATCGACCTCTTTCTTTATTTGATTTTTATGTACTTGTATGAATGTAAGAGAACACGTGTCGATTTCGCCTCTACAATTAAAATTTCTTCTACGTTTTTAATGATTATGAAATGTTCAGAAATTCCTAATTAATGAAGAAATACGAAATTGGTGAAGGTCAATTTTTATGTTTTTCTATGGGCCTATCCAATAAAAGATTATCTAGTTTATTATTCGGCCTAATTGTTTATTGTTGACAGGCCCATCAATATATATTACGCAGTTGACCCACTGAATGATCCATAGATTTTGAATACGACTTCATCTGACCAAAAATTTATATTTGATTTACATGTTAATAGGTGACATATAGCTTTCGTTTTTATATAATTTGCTAACGAAAAGAGGTATTTACGACAATTTTTATTGACTCGTTTCGGGTCACCACAAGAAATTTAAACAAACCCATGAGGTTCCATTTTTTATACACAAACTCAACGAGGCATCGACGCTCAATTTCCACTCATCACTAGACACGTGTCATGATCTCTTCTGTCGCAGTCAGGCTCCCGTCGTTGATCCAAGAGTTCCGTTCTGCTGACGTCAGCACCGGCCAAACAGTAGTCCTCCTCTGTCTCCTGACTTTCCTAACGATGAGCTTCGTGTGCTGCCGTATGACTCCGTTCACGGCTTTGACGTAGTTTTTAGAGTCGTGGTCTCTCAAGACCGATCCTTCGGAGCCATAAGCCGCGCGTTGACTCAGCGTTTCGAGCGGGTGCGGGCGGTTTAGAAACCCACGCAGTGCCGTGGGAGAGTAACCATCGTTGCTCTTGTCTAAAACGTAGAGAGCGTTTCCCGGCGGAAGCCAAGGGTGCGTCGGCGAGACACTCTCACTCGGCTGTAGAATAAATACTTTCCCCATCGGTGAATACAACAATTTCTGCAAAAAAAAAAAGATCGACAACACAGCCAAACAATTTAACATCCGTATTAGATAGAGAAAATTATACATGAGACATGATTGTTTCAAACGCTGCTACTTGCATCTATTAGTCCCATGCAAGCATGCATAGAAGATTCGGTTTTTTCAGAAACATAAAAAGCACGGTTTTTTAATAAAACTCTATTCAAACAATTAACGTAATCCCAAACAAAATTTATCAATTTTTTGCGTTTGTGTTTTATTATTTTGCTAAAAGCTTAATAAATAAAGAAAATACTAATTAAGCTATGTAACTCTAACATGCATGCAAGCTGAAAACGAAAAATAAAGATAAAGCACTTACGTTTTTGTTGAGACAAGGATGTGTACGGAACGACCCGTTCAAACGCTTGAGAACGAGAGCAACATGATCAGGGTAATTACAGGAGAAGGCTCGTGGAACAATATCTCTATGCATCATCACGCAATGAACATGACTCTCGTCAAGACCAAGCTCCTCTAGAATCTTATCACCGCCGCAAAACACAAACGGTGAACCGAACGAGACCACAGGTTTCATAGCTTCGGTGCTAACGAGTCCTCTACTGAGCAGCATCAGATTCACAATTAATGAGAGGCTGCCTCCAAGAGAATGACCCGTAAACTGAAACTTAGCTCTATCGCCATGTCGAGACAAATGCTCGGTTATTTCGGGTAAGAACTGTTCGTATATTCCTTTTGCTGCCTCGTAGATTCCTCTGTGCACTAATACATCTGTATCCTGGGATTATCATATCATATACTAAGATCTCTAACATAAAAACCAATTTTAGTGTAACCTAAGCGATTTGATAAGATAATTGAACCAAAAACCAAATGTTCATCCCTAACATAGATCATATGATCTTTACCTCAAACTTAGTTGGCTCGAAGAAGAGGTTTGCTTTCCAAGATGCTAAAGAATCTGATCCCTGCAAAAATATGACATGAGATCAAAATCCTGAGAAAACAGAGGACTTGCTTGTGGTTTAAGAATCTGAATTTTTTTTACCTGAATCACAAAGCACCTAGTGTATGTGTTTGGATCGTCACACACAAACCACTCACAAGGAGAAGATTGTAGCGACTGCAGCTCCCTTGCCGCTTCCTGCTTCTCCTCCTCACACGCAGCAACCACCGCGGTCATTGTAGACGCTGCTGCCTGAGCCGCAGCAGCTGATTTATACACCGGGTTGTTCGGTTCTGAAGAACCATACTCTTTGCATGAGTGAATGTAAGATGCGGCCGAAGCAGCAATCTTGTAAGCAGAAGCAGAAGAAGATGAAGATGATCGTTGTTGAGGCTTTGAGGATTCCGTTTCAGGGGACGTAACTACAGGGACACGTGTCGAATCTTGCTCGAGTTTTTCTCTAAGTATAGCTGCTTTGGCTTTCTTTTCTAACGAAGATGTAACAAACCTCAACCCGTAGTTTCTTCTCAAATCCTCACCATTGATTTCTGGTATCGTGTAAGCCACGTTACATAAATAGGCTAACAGAGAAAGCTGTTTAGCATCAGACCAAGAAACCTTAACAAGCAATTTCGAAAACGATTCTCGTTCCCAGTCACCGTTTTCAGATCCGTAATCCGCGACGCAGCCTTCTCCATCTTCGCAACCACACGTAACGTTTACATTTTCCTCTCCGACTTCACCGTTTCCACTCTCTGTTCTTGGCTCTTTCTTCCACTGTCTCCTTATTTCAAGTAACCTCTCGACCCAATTCGCTTTCCTGGCTCCATCTAAATTTGGCTCAGTCTCGACCTCATCACTCTCTTTCTCTTCCTGAGACGTGTCCGTTTCATATAGCAATGATTTTATCGGGTTTGGGATTATGGAGCTCGAAATCTGAAACGAGAACACTCCTACAGATCGGCTGCTTTTCATTCCCGGACCAGGACGGAGAGATACAGCGCGAATCCGGTTGTTATTACCGGAAGGACAACACAAATGATTGTCGGAGCTTGATCTCCGTATTCCACCGCCTTTCACGACGAGGTCTTGACCTGATAACGATCTTCGGAGGCCGATATGTTCTTTGAAAACGTCAGTCGCCGCGGGAGATGTAGAAGCCATAGCCGCATTAAACGCCATTCTATATGTACAAACTCAAACTGTAGCAATCAAGACAAGACAACGATCTCAATGATTGTATCAAACAGAGCAACTTATCAGAAAATCAAACACAAAATAGAAGGAAAGGAAACAAACCTTAAAATAGTCTAACCGTTTTTACTAATTTTTGGTATTTTCGACAACACAAAGAAGTAGAAAAAATCTTAACTATTTCATACTTTTACATATGCGGAACATAAGGTAACGTTTTAATTGGCGGAAATCGTATGATTTATGAAACGTTTTTATTAGTTTGACCAGGGTCAAGTATTGGCATATATAGTTGGAAAGTGTGTTATTATATACACCGAATTTAGGTCATTAGCCAGCAATTAAAGAAATGCCACGTCATTCAAACCTTTGCTTATGTCTAGCGGATGTGACTTATATGTGTGGGGTTCGAATCTTAATAGTTGGACTGGGTCCGTCGTACAGAGGTGCTTCCACGTGCGCCACGTACGATGTGCTCATCGTATTATCATTTTTTCATCACAAAAAATTTCGACAGAAGCATAAAAAAAACTGTCTATTATTCTCCTAATTAAATTAATCATATCTTTGATGTATCTTTTTATGGATTTTAAAAATTGTTGCTTATCCTGATATTTTTTTTATGAACTACAACGAAAATTACCTGGAAAGTTTCTGTTAATTCGAGTAAAATAGACAAAAATTATTGAAATTTCGAAAAGAAAGATAGACAAAAGCATATAGTATTTGTTCACTAAAATACGGAGACTTTACGGATTTTCACGAGAATAAATTGGAAGAAACAAAACAGAGATTGAAAAAAACACGTCTCGAGATGCGTTACCTTGTTTCTGAGTGCAAACGACAATGGAGGATCAAATACAGCGTTTCTGAACCGTCTGGATCAGCCAGAGACGATCGTCGTCAGATCGTCCAAAACAAATTCACCATTTTTGGTAAAGAAGAGATCGAACAGATTTTTTTAAATGAAAAAAAAAACGAGGCGGAGATCACAACAATGGCAGAGAAATGGAGATTTGAATACGTACGATGAATCTTAAACGGGAAGGTTACAAAGAGTCAGACCAGATTCTGAAACTTGTTCTTGTTCTATAAAAGATTCATGAATCTCTCTCTGTCTCTCTCTCACAGATGTAAATGCAAGCCGTTTTAAATATATGCGAAAAGAAAGAAGAGAGAGAATCAAGTCACGTGGAGAGATGGAGGGAGGAGAAAAGCCAAGTAGGACGTAAATACCCTCGTCGTGGTCTTTTATTACAAATCGGAAAACCCGTGGTGGTTGGAGAGTTGTTAGCCGTTCTTTTGCTTAATTAGAGAGAAAATTTTGGTAAATGTCGTTATGAAAAATAAAAAATTCTCTCGGTTATATTCGTTTATTCGCGACTTTATACTCCACAAGTTTCCTCGATTTCTTCTAAGTTTTTTAGTCAAACCCCAAAAATCTAACAAAATCCATGGAGTGTGAAAAAAAAATTCAAAAAAAGTTCCCATACGCTAATGTAATTAAATTAAACGAAGGGTCCGAGGGCATTTCCGTCATTATCAAATCGGAAGCGTGTGTGAGAGATGAAAATATCTAATTGACCACGGTGAAAGAAAGGGTAAAGATGTAATATCGCAGAGGGGGAAGAAAACGACCACGACGAGCCAAATGTTCGGTTGCATGAAGCAAAGAGCGTCAGTAATCTCCACATATCGTCCCCCAGGTGGTGGCAAGGAGCCGCTTTTTGTTTCCCGCCGGTTTTCAATTTTCCTCTTTGTTTTCTTTTTTTATTTCCTTTCTCATAAATTTGGGGTCAATGTTCGTTCTGCCAAACACAGAAACTAGCAGCGTTCACCATTCGCCGCCACGTGTTCTCGTAATAACCCTTTGTTTCATTTAAGTTAATGGGCCTTTTGTTTAGTGGGCTTATAGTGTTTAAACACATTCAAAGTTAAAAATTACAAGTCCCATCAGTTTATTTGGCCCATTTTTGGCTTTGTGTTAAAAAAGTCAAATGATCAATATAAAATGTCTGAATTGCATCCATACACACTCGTTTAAAATGTTTTATCTGTAATTAAGAAATACTCAATGATAGCTGTATCTGAAAGAGGAAAACTCTAGATTGGAATCTTTAGATGACAGTGACAAATTTATAAAGCTTGGAGAACTAAAACAGTCAACATCTCTAGCATAATTAATTTGAAAGAAAGTAGGGTTTAAAGTGATTAAATCTTAAGAAATTTTTGTGTGACAATGATGTGTACTTCAAAAAAAAAAACGAATTAGATCACAATGTACATCGCATATGAACATGTAAAAAAAATATGGACCATAATGTTGATTTTCCGAAGATTTGTTTCACCAAGATAAATGGGCCTCTCCAAAGGATATTATTAAAATAATAATGAATTTAAAATAAAAATTCGAGGGAATATGAAGCTGACGCAAATTCTCTGTACATTGCACCAAACTCTCTGCAACTTGGAGCCAATCCTTATCTCAAATCTCTTGGTCAAGTTTCTCGAATCATCGAATTTTTTTATATTCTCCATTTTCATGTTTCTTTCCGTGATACAAAGAGATTCCTAAGAAGGAAAGAAACAGCTAACATTTTTTCTAGAAACGAGAATCATCGATCTGAGATATGAATTCGACGATGGATGCCGGAGGTGGAGGCGGAGGCGTTTCCGGTGGAGCGGCGGAGTTTTTGCAGATTCGCTTGAACCATAGACACGATCCCAAGGAGAACCAGTGTTCCTCTGTCCTCGTCAAGCATATCAAAGCGCCTGTTCACCTCGTAAGTCCTTTTTCTTATATTCTGATTCTGTCACTGGATCTCTCCCGCTTTTTATGTTTAATTTTTCCAATCTTCGATTCGATTGCTTCTGGGTTATCTCAAGATTTGAGATTGCTAGTCTTATGGCTTGGATTGATGATCGTTACTTAGACCCAGATTGTTCTGAGAATTAGGGAAGCATGATTCAATTACTCTGTTTAGGTTGTGAAGAATCTCCACAGATTTCAAACGGATTATGATTTTTGAATAGGTTTGGTCTCTGGTGAGGAGATTCGACCAGCCAGAGAAGTACAAGCCCTTTGTGAGCAGATGTGTGATGAAAGGTGATGTCGGAATCGGCAGTGTTCGAGAGGTAGACGTTAAATCTGGACTCCCAGCAACCAGAAGCACCGAGAGATTGGAGCTTTTTGACGACAATGAACACATTCTTGGTATCAAAATCGTCGGTGGTGATCACAGGCTTAAGGTACAAACCAGACTTTCTTCACTTCCATGTCTGAAAAAGAATTTGTCTGAAAAAATTGCAAATTGGATTCATCTCATCTGTATTGTTGTTGCAGAACTACTCATCAGTTGTTACGGTACATCCAGAGATAATAGACGGAAGAGCTGGCACGATGGTGATCGAGTCATTCGTGGTGGATGTACCAGAAGGGAACACCAAAGACGAGACTTGTTACTTCGTCGAAGCTCTTATACGATGCAATCTCAAATCTCTGTCCAATGTCTGCGAAAGAATGGCTGCTCAGGACACGACAGGAGTTATGGATCCGTACTGAGTGTTCTTCTCTCCAACTGTAGACATCGTAAAGCAACATTGGTAAAGACGATACATTGACGAACTTTTGTATTTGCCTCTTGTTTCTCCCTCTGAATGTGTATATAAGCCCAAGAGTCGTGCATATTATATATATTGAAGTGTGGCCAAGTCTTAAACATCTTGTACTCCTTTAGGACCCGTTCTTGATTGATTCCTCCATGGCTCCATCTGAGTACTGTGTACTCGTTGTGTAAGCTGTGTAAATTTTACTAGGAATGTATCTTTTTCGATTGTCATTTTTCCTATTTGCGAAAAAGTAGGACCAATAGGAAGTTAAATATTTGATCTACTTGAGCTATATATATGAGATATTGAATCTGTTTTTTTTTTTCCCCCCCTTTTGTGAATATCTTATGCGAAATAACGCTCAAGCAGCTAGAATTGTGATTTGTATTATTCGGTTATTTTTAGTGACTAAAAGTAATAAAGTATTGTTTAGAGTTAAAAGTAGTTTTTTTAAAACCAGTTTATGCTCGGACTGAAGAAGACCATAATGGGATTTTGATCAGGCCCAAACAAAAAAACAGTCGAGTTATTCTCGTCAGATATTTGCAAACGGTTGAATAGTAAACTGAAAATGATTTCTTTGATGGGTCCTTCACTCCTTAACTCCATAGTCCTTCCCCATCTGAATCATCACGAGATCAACGAGGCAAAAATTTAGGGGCCCTTTAATATATTTTAAAAGCTAATTAATATACATAAATATTTCTTTGTATTTATATATAAACAAAAGAGCACAAGGTACGTTGACGTCAAAAAAAAAAAAAGAGCATAGGGTACGAGATCCATAGTGACTATATATGGTAAGAAATGTCCACATTTTAAAACCTTTATATCATCGTTCAAATACGACAAGTCTAGGTTGCTTTTTCGTACAAAATAGTTGTAATTGTAGATAACATTTATCTAAAAAATATTTAATAATAGTATCAGTCCGTATAATCTGACATGATAAAAACAGCATAGTACTATATCAGTAACACCTACTCAATTATATGACGAGGACAATACCTACTAACCTAACACGGTACTATCGGAATCAATGGGATTTTGATCGAGGTGAAGATGATTTCGTCTCATCAGTGTAAAGTGAGATTTCGTGTCATCAAAATGCTATTATATATTTATATGTAATACGTTTACTTATCTATTTTTCCATTCAAAATGCTTAATTATAACACAAATGACCATATTTATTTATATTGTAGGTAAACTGCGGAAGACTATATATATACCTAAAGAAACAAAGAACAAAAAACACTAATTTTCGTTCAGTAAATTTTGTTTTTTCGTGATTATATGATTCTCCTTTACAAATATGAAAATTCATAACCTTAAACCAAAAAAAAAAATTGAAAATTCTTAGTTACACATATATAAACAGTAAATTGTTTTACAAAAAAAAGTTTTGTTGCGTACACATTACACCAACGATCAAATTTATTGAATTGTACGTTAAATTTATAGAGAAGCTAAGAAAGACTTGAACAAAAAAAAGAAGCTAAGAAAGTAAGAAAAAAAAAATACACATTGCCGTAAGAATAAACAGTACAACATATAGACTAGAGAGTCTGCAACTGTAAAATATATCCAATCAGAGGATTAAATTTTCCCACCTTCCCTTCTCTCTCTCTCTCTCTCACACAAACACACACAAGGAAGCAATTATTTACAACTTGAACTGATTTCTTATAAATATATTTCTTATAAATTTATATATATATGTATATAATATACATCTCTGGGACAAGGACAAGGTAAAAATGGATAAACGTCGGTGGAATGAGAGAAAGACGACCAAAGCGTCTTATTCCGAAGGTTTAGGGTTTTCTCCGATCCTTTGTTCCGCGAAGGTTTAGGTTTTCTCCTTCATTTCCGCTTTATATATATAATCTGAGTTCTCCGTTGCATGTGTTTGTAGAAGTTACTAGTATTGAGTGGAAAGCTGAGATTATGTCGGAAGAAGAAGATGATCTCATTTTTCGGATGTATAAACTTGTCGGTGACAGGTTCGGGTTTCAAGTTTGCTATTTCATTGCTCTTTTCCAGCATTATATAATTAATACTAGTAGAGTTCAAAAAGGGTATTCTCATAAGTAATGACACTATTACACGTGGCGAGTAGGTGGCCGTTGATAGCCGGCAGGATCCCGGGGCGTACGCCGGAGGCGATCGAGAGGTACTGGCTGATGAAACACGGCTTCTTTTTCGCAAACGTACGAAGATAAATTTGTCTTTTAGTTAATTGAAATGAATTTTGTACTTCTATACTTTCCTCTCGTCCTAGGTTAAGGATGAGAAATAATTATATTCTAGTTGATCTATAATGTTCAATCTTCGAAGAAAGTACTATTACAACAACTATATGAGATGATTATCTATGAATTATATATGTGACGCACGTAATGTTGGGTTTTTCACAGCATATATTCCCATTAAAAAGAATTTGGTAAAAAAAGATTCCGATAATTCCATGATCAGTTGTTGTAGTGTTGTACCATTTTCAATATCTATTATGATACGCAATTTGTATAGTTTCCTAACTATGTTTTATTTATAATATATTTTTTTCCCAAACCGTATTTATATTATATAATTAGCATGAATAAATTAATTTTCGCGAAATCTAATAGTAAAACAACTCTAGATCGAGGTTTGGGAAAATCATGAATAAACCTCGCGACTCTGATGACTTTTCTTAAAAAGAATCTAATGAAAATAGTACGATGTTTCTCTCCACATCCACGTGTCTTTGTGGATCGTTATCAAGTTTGCCCGTGACTAAACGCTTGGGAACCTTTAGATACGCAAAAACTTTATAAAATAAATTGGGATAGTGATTAAAAGAAAATATGAACTTAATGAATTTGAAATAGTAACTTTGAAATATAGCCACTAGCAGGACTAGAGTGTTTTGATGAGCTAAATTAAGTATATAGCTATGCGGTTTAACCAATCCACATTAGAAAATGATAAATTAAATATGCACTTCATTTAGTGACTCAGCCCTAAATCAGATCCTGTTTGTTTTTTTGTTCCACAAATGAAATGATCGTTGATAACATATTCATTAGTCACTCTTTTTTTTTTTTGACGGCACATATTGATCATCTTATCTTTAATCAAATACCGATAAATATTAAGATGTGGATCGTTATAAAATTTATACAAAAATATAATATCTGACGTAGGAATAGGGATAACTGTAAGGACCGACGCGGTACTTTTGGTTTTTTTTTTGAACTAAAAAGAAGCAAGTTCATGTTACTTTTTATGCGTAACTCTAAAAATTGGACTTCTCTCATATTCGCTCTATATTGCTCTCGCTATGCTCTTCATTATGTTCAACCCTGGCTCTTGGTCGAATAGGTGTGGACAAAGCCATACTGAGATTCTCTCACGCTTATCGTTATGCTCCCAACATACAGTGATTCCAAAAACCTCTTGGTTGAATAGGTGTAGGTCTTTGACATCAACCTCAGGGAGTGCAAATAAAAGACGGCAGCCTCTGCTTCTCAAGGAAGCAAGAACTCTACAGATCATCTCAGAGTCTTGTGACAATTTTGTGAAGATCACCGATCTGGTTTCACGATGCGTATCTATTGATGCCAGATAAACAATCCTCACTAACATCAGATTAACTCCCTCTTGTTGTATGAAACTCATGATATATCCATCCGTCAAGTCATCCGAGAATTTATCCGCATCACCATACGGCATAATATGGTGACCAAAAAATAAACGTCTTTGTAAGAGATAAAAAGAGAGACTCATGAATAAAATCAGGTTCCTGATACCTATCCGGGAGCCAACTTTCGGCGTTCCAGAAGATGTTTGTCTTATGCCCTGCGACACAAGTCATCATCGACGATTAGATCAGGTGAGGGAGAGACGGAGAGGGAGAGAAAGAGATCTTACTGATGAAACGGTTCCGACGGAGGGAGAAAGAGAGGCAGAGAGGGAGAGAAAGAGATCTTACCGGTGAAAAGGTCTTTTGAGCATGGTTCCCACGGAGGGAGAAATCGAGAGAAGCAAATTAGGGTTACAACCAGCTGTTGATGGCTATCAAATTTTAATTTCCTGCAATTTAAATACGAAGTTTTCAGTTATACAACATCCAAGATAAATCAACCCTTAAACATTAAAAAATAAAACCAAATCTTCTTGTCTATTTTATTCATTGATTGTGTTTTGTATGTAAAAGGCCGATGTAAATATAAATATAGTGAGTATTAAGATTAAGTGATTAACCGATACACAGTAGTATTTGGATTTACCGATTCATGTGGTTTATATGAAATACATACGGGTCATATAGTTGGTAGTGGGCTTTAAGAAGGGCCCATTTATATTATATAGTACTGAGTTTATCATTTTGTAGATTAAGTCGTTTTTTGGGTCAAATTGATTAAGTTGTTTGTTTTTAGTTCAAAATTCTAGCCGTAGCCAACCGTTATAATTGACTAAATTTGAATTTAAAACAGTTTGATCAACAAAATTAAATTATGCTTTTTTTAGTTCCAACAGTTTATAATTGACTAAAATTAACATTAAATCAGCTTAATCAACAACAACAAAAATAGAAATCAAAACGGATTGATCAAACTATTGAGTAATATTAGGACTAAAAAAATTTAATCAACAAACATTAGGAATTAAAATTGTTTGACCAATAAAAATTGAACATTAGTTGGTTAATTAGAAAAGTAATTTCTTTCTTTGCTAAAAATTGAAAGTTAGACATTCTTTGTGCAAAAAAAACCCACATAAATTGGCAAAATTGACATATATACTCCATATAAACTGTAGTTTTTCAAACTAATTCATTTCTTTCGATTTGTTTAAGAAAAATATCTTAGAAAACTAATTTATCTCTTATGAATAATTACTCTTAGCCCAAAAATTTCTTCAACTAAAGTGTAAAAAACACTATAGACTTTGAAACTTGACAAACAAAAACGAGAATCATATTGCTTCAATCATTCTTCAATTTTATCCACAATACTGAAATATTATATCCAGTGGGAAGGATAGTTATCCGAATCCCATATGATATGTGCAGGTATGATTGATAAATGCTTTTTGCAGAAAATAGGTGAGATATGTGAGAGAGGTTATTTTGCAGAAGCTCCTTCACGTTGGTTACAAGCAATCAATCTCCGTGACTATCTAGTTCTGGCTCAAACAAAAACGAGAATCATATTGCTTCAATCATTCTTCAATTTTATCTACAATACTGTATTGTCCGAATCCCATACTGAATTAACCTCTCTCACCTATCGATTCAATATTCAAAGCATTCATCATCATATCGTATCAGTATTCAATATTCAAAGCATTCAATATTCAAGGCATTCATCAATAAATTCATCATCCCGAAACCCCATAAAAAGTTTAAGCCCAATACGCGACCCGTTTTACTGAAAAAAATGCGGGCTTAAAATGGACGGGTTTTTTAACATGCGGCCTTAGATGGGCTTACCCAATCGCTTTTTGGGTACCCATTGGGTTTTTGTAAAAACAATACAACTTTGGAAACGAGGTCGTTTTAAAAAAGTCTCAATTCGCAAATTGAATCCCTAATCCGACTCTTTACATTAATTTATGTTTATAAATAAATGATTTTGTTAACTTGTTATCATATCCTGTTAAAAAAGTTGTTATGTTTTTGATATAAAAAAAGATAAAAATGTAATATGTACGTGAAAATAATTTGGTTTTCTAAGAAACTTTGAAAGATGAGCTTCGTTCAACTAATTAAATCTATCATACTTTTAAATATTCAAGAACAAACCTGGAAAATTGGCGGCTTAGACCTAGGTCCAGTGTGATAGCTTATTAAGCCATTTGCTACACACAAGAAAAAAGAACATACAGTAATATTAAAATTCGTACATAAAAACACAAAGAAGAAAAGAAAAACAACACTAAGCAGATTAATCTTGAAGAAGAAAAAAGTTAACCTTTGCTAAATCTTGGTTGAGTGACTTGAGTCAAGAACTTTAGGATAGTAGACATTTTTCCTGAAAAAGACTTTCTTTTAGTTAGGGTTTGCAAGAGGGAGAGATAATAGATAGAGAAACCACTAATTAGTTTGCTCTCAATGATGAGAAATGACCGACAATGGCGGAACGACGAGATGATGAAAGTAGGATCAGATTCTCTGATCAATGCAACAGCGGGAGAGGAGAGAGAAAGAAAGAGGAGATCTTTTCAGTGTAAAAGATTGAATCAAAAGAATGAATGCGATTGTGTTTTCTAGAGAGAGAAAACTATTTTCTCTCGAGAGAAAGTTTCAGAGGGGAATAGAACAGTGGAAGGGGAGACGAAGAGCGAGTGGAAACAACAAAATTTTAATAATTTTAAGATTTTAAATTAAATTTTATTTTCCTTCTTCGACTTGACAGAAAAAAAAAGTAATTTATCTTCTCAACTGTTCTCTTTTCTTCCGCTTGAAAGTTGTGGAATCCATCCTAAAACTAGTATGTGCCCGGTGCATAGCAAAGGAAAAGAATTTAATAATTTTCTTTGATAAAATTGTTTAAATTTCTTTTCTATAAAGATTCAGTATTTTGATGATAAAAATGCATGGAAACAAATATAATTGAATATATATTTTTTAAATGTACATATTAAGTAAACCTTTTAAAACTTTCAATCAATTAAAAATTAGAATTGAATATTGTCCTCAATAAAGATTTTTAAAACCCAAAACAGATTAGAGCACCTGTGAGTGTGACGCAAGTTAGCTCTAATCTGTTATTGAAACTTATAGGATTGATGTTTAAGCCTGTGTACGTAGGAACAATGCAAACACTTGATGCTGCTAGGCACACTCAACTAAGGCTATAAATATGGAAAGATGGGATTACTATCTTATTGGATCTCACAAGTTGCAGAAAGACGCCGGTGTAGCCATATTTGATCTCAGATACTCAAAAGAATCTTCATCCTCGGGTAACTTCAGATTTAACCTGATGTTCCTTTTCTTCTCCTCTATAAATCTTCACACCTTGTCATCAAATGAAAACTCTCTAGGTATTCTCCACCTCAAGGGCTTGCACATGAGAGCCATATGATTTCCCAACCGAAAGCAGTTACCGCAAGCCACAAGATTGCAAGAAAATGAACATCAGAATCTCCCAGCAGCTACTCTGATTCCTTCACAATGCATTGTCTCTCAGCAGTAGCTTTAAGTATATCTGGTATGCAAACGCTTTTACCTCTATCAGAAAAATAAAGATATTTACACATTAGCCCCTCACTATAGCTTTACAATCTTACCATATGTTGCAGAGATCATTCGTGAGCGAACACACATACCAATGAATATATAAGAAGATGATTTTGAATAGGTTTGGTCTCTAGTGAGGAGATTGGACCAGCCACACAAGCAGGGGCAGATCTGGAAACATATTTTATATGAGCCATAATATACTATATAAATTTAATTTAATTTAATTAATTAAAATATATTACTATCATAGAAAACTTTATATTAGTTATAGAGTTTTAGGTCTTATTTATAACAAAACTAAAATTGACCAATTAGAAAGATATGAAAAAGAAACGTTTAATTTATATAAAGGAAGAAAAATGTTAAAAAGGAAAAATCAGAGAAATAAAATAAAACACTTAAAAACTAATAACAAACGTTTATGTAAAGGTGATAAACAGAAAAAAATTATGTGTTTAGAAAGAAAAAAATACAAAAAAGGCACTTAAAGAATGTAGAACTAAGGTGGGAAAAAAAAAATTTCAGGAAAAAAGCAGAGAAATAAAATAAAACACTTAAAAGCTAATAACAAACACTTATGGAAAGGTGATAAACATAAAAAATTAAGTGTTTAGAAAGAAAAAAAAATATACAAAAAGGCACTTAAAAAGTGTAGAACTAAAGTGGAAAGAAAAAAATGAAGTTTTGCAAACCAAATGATGTGAACTCTATAAATGTAACATGCTTCTCCATATAATTTATAAAAAGTAGTGTGGGGCACGTGCCCCAAAACTTACAACGTGGATCCACCCCTGCACACAACTACAAGCCCTTTTGTGAGTAGGTGTGTGATGAAAGGTGATGTTGGAATTGGGCCAATTAAAATTCCTATAATTTTCAATCCTTTAAAACCTAAAGTCTGGTTTCCTTAGTTTTCGATTTGAATAAGTCGATAGGTTTATAAAGGTGACAAGTTTAAACAAACGTAAATGCCGATACAAAAAAACCTAAGTTAGCATGGACTATTTGCTGAAATTAAACAAGTTCGATTTCGCAAGGGAAGTTGGCCCGTGTGCCATTTGAATATTGAATTCATAAAATGCGTGCCGCTTTAATATTGTCGTATTCCAACCGCTTTCACTTGTTTATTTCGTATTGCAAAAAAAAATTCCGTAACGACGACCGAAAAAGTTTAAAGCATAGATTCACATAAAAAAATTAGTAAAAAATATTCCAATGTTTCATGATCAGTAGTAACATTTTCAATATCATTTATTAATACGTAGTTTATATAGTCTCTAAACTATATTTTTTCCCAAACCATATACTAAAATTATATAACTAGCAAGTCTAGCATGAGTAAATTAATTTCCGCAAACCGACGCTAAAAACTCTGATAATTTTTCTAAAAAATAATCTAATGAAAATACTATGCACATACGATGTTTCTTGTGGATCGTGAACGTGATCACGTTTGCCCGTGACCAAAAACGCTTAGGAACATTTATAAACGCAAAAACTTCAACAAGTAGGTATTACAATCAGTCTAAAATAGAACGGGATAATAATGAAAATGAAAAAAAAAAAAAAAGGATGAACTTAATGAATTTGGAATGGTAATTTCGAAGTATAGTCACTAGTCAGGACTAGAGTGTTTTGATGAGCTAGATCAATTAAAAAGGATGAATTAATATACAGTGTCATTTAGAGGACCCGTCCTAAATTAGATCTTGTATGTTGTTTGTTCCACAAATGAAATGACCGTGCATGTCATTGATCTTTTTTTTTTTTTTTACAGCACATGTGAGACTCTTATCGTAATCAAATACCGATATATATTAAGATGTGGATCGTTATAAATTTATATAAAAGTATATATTTTAACAACAAAAAAAAATTTAGCAAAACAAATGTATAAATTGATATTGGCATGACGTAGGAATAAGGATAACAAAATTAAAAGAGATGAGTTTACCCAAAAAAAATCAAAAGAGATGACTGTAAGGAGTAAGGACCCACGCGGCTCTTTTGGTTTTTTTTTTGGAACTAAAAAGAAAATAAGCAAGTTTTTTTTTTTTTTTTTTTTTTTTTGAAAATAAGCAAGTTCATGTCATCTATTACGCGTAACTCTAAAAGTTGGACTTCTCTAATATTCTCCGTCCTTGTTTATAAAGTTTTAATCTACCATTATAAGTTGTTGTATATATCACTCAAGTTTTGTATCATATCCCAAATGCTTTGTTCGAGATTTTATTAGTTTTTTTTGTTGACAGCATTCGAGACTATTAGTTAAAAGCTGATACTGACCAGTTCTCCAAATGAATTCTAGATTCTAGACAATAGTGTATTTCAGTAATTCCCACAAAGTTTGATTATCATTTTGTTTTGTTTTTACTTTATAATGCGGAATATTAACTAGCACTCTTCTTTAAGGATCGCTATCATATCAATACATATACTTCACAAAGTATTTTCTTTCGACAGCACAAAATGAAAAGGTTGTTTCGAAACTATCACACTGGTTGGCTATTTGTTTTCTTTTACATAAGCTGTTTGTTTTGTTTTACATAAATCTTTTGAATTCCGTTTACAATTATGATTAATTAACCTATTTTCATCAGTGAACCTTTTAGCTAGAACGTACAAATGTATTGACCATCCTACAAGCTTTCCCAACAAGAAAAAACTTTCAGGTTTCTCTTTAATGCAAGCACGTAGTATTAATTAGTAAAATAAGTTGTAAATTCTTAACGGTTATCTTCAAGTAAACAAGGATATGCCTGGTTTCATAGACGCTGATCATTTTCTCAAATAATAATAATTAATCATGGTTATAACTTGCAGAAAAAGCCATGTGCATGACTGCATGTAGTCACGTAGATGCCACGTCTTCTCGGGGGCACTGCACTTATTTAATCTCTATCTTCCTTTTTTTTTTTTTTTTTTTTTGAAAATGGCCTTCATCTATCTTCCTTTCTTACCCTAAGCACTCAGTTAAATTAGAGAAACAAAAGTGGTTTAACAAATATAACCACTAAAAAAGCACACAATTAAATGAATATCATATAACATTGATCGAGGTTAAAATCCAATGGTAAAACGATACGAGAGATCACACGACACTATTGTCAAAGCATCATTATAATTTCGACGTTAATAATATATCACTTTACCACCAATTAAATTTGAACACATCACTATCAATCCATCTTGTGAACGAGAGCGCCAATACTGGTGGACACTATAATTCCTCATAATCTTTTAGGGTACAATAATATCTATATGTGTCCCTACGAACGTGAAGTATTTTATTTTGGGCGAAAAATGAATTGTAGCGAACAATTCAAACGAAACTGAAGAACTTCCTTCAAATTATATGACCGAATGATAAAATTAGATGACATCACGAACCATAGAGTATCGAAATTCGAAAATACAATTCACATCATCTTTTATAACGCGGAGAAGAGTTTTGAAATATTCTTGGCCTGTCTTTATTTATTTTTATCCGGTCGAATTGAATAAATTGATATAATAAATTCTCTCAAAACAAAGGATAAATTGTTTGAAAGAGTCAAATTAGCAAGAAGAAAAGAAAGCAGAAACAAAAAGTTATCAAAATAGAATACATGTCACGTTTAGTCAATTTCTCTCCAGCATCATTCTCTTTTCCACACAACTTCTTCTCTAAGCTTTAAGAGAAATAAAATAAAATATAAAGAAAACAAAATAAAACAGAACAAAATCACAGACGCATATCATATATATGAATCTTCCTTTTATAAGCATACACACACTTAGAGACAAAGCTCATATCTCATCAAGTTCACTAAACCTTGAGATGACGATGGAAGAGATATTGATGGAAGAAAAGTTTGTGGTTCACGAGCTGGAGCAAGGGAAAGAGTTAGCGAATCGGTTGAAGAACAATTTGAAAAACCCTTCTTCTTCTAAGGATTCAAACAAGATTTTGATCTCCGAAATCCTCCGTTCTTACTAAAATGCGATAGCTATGATGAGTCTTGATAAGAAAACTCCAAAGAGAAGCCTCAAGAGAATTGACCAGAGTAATAAGAAGAGGTATGAAAGAGATTATTTATTTAAATTCGAATTTCAAGACATGTGTGTCTGAATCTCTCTTCCTGCTAAATTGTTGAACTGCAGAAGAACATCGGAGAAGAAGAAGGTGGAGAGAGTCAAGATTTGCGTTGGAACAGAACAAGAAGGAACTTCTCTTGATGATGGTCATTGCTGGAGAAAATATGGCCAGAAAGATATTCATGGATCCAAAAACCCTAGGTCAACAAATCGTTAAAAAGGTTTCAGTTTTTCTTTATCTCTGTGTGGACACTACAAAAATTCTGAAGTTTTCCTCTGTTTTGTTGAGTACAGAGGATATTATAGATGTACACATCGATTCACAAGAGGTTGTTTGGCGGTGAAGCAAGTTCAAAAATCAGATACAGAGCCTTTGTGCTTCGAAGTCAAATATGTGGAAAGTCACACATGTAACATCACTCCATCAACCACCAAATACTCTGTTTCTGTGTCCGAAGAAGAGGAAGGAAACAGAGGATATAAGCTACGTGTAGCAGAGCAACCCGAAGACACATTGAAATCTGAAGAAATGATGTCAAGTCTCGAAGATGTGGATAACAAGAAGGAGATTTTCAGGACGTATTCATTTTCAAATCCCGAGATGGAGATTATTTCGGAATGGATAAATCTGATGGATGATATGTCTCCTACAACATCAGAATCTGGAGTCACCAACGAGTTGTTGTCTGCCTCATCTGTCGCGAACTCGCAAATGGATTACGACGATTCGTGTTTCTCTTCATTGGAAAATATTCTCAATTTAAGTCATGACAGTACATGTGGTTTTTAGTTGAATTTTTAGCTTTAGTTTTCATTTTGGTGTGAGTCAAAGGCAAAGATTACAAAGGGGAAAAGAACATAAGAGTGTAACTGAAGTTAACTTAAGGCGTTTGAGATCAAATATGGCTGCACCTCTTCGTCTTTCTGCAAGTTATGAGATGTTGTACGATTGTAATCCAAGCTTCCATCATTATATCCATAATTACAGTGTCATCAAAATGAGGCTGTGATCAGCAAATGAAGTACCTCACGTCCTCCTTTACTGGATGCCTTCACGTCATCAACCTGTTTCAGAAACCCCATTAAAAACGATATTTTGAATCAGCCACAAATCACTGTTTCCTTTTTTTCTCTCATATTGATCATATAACAGCTTTTACGAGCTTCCCCTTTTTAATTTTATCAAATCAAAAATTCAATTACTGAATCCAAATCCTACGATTTCATTTTTAGATTTACTAGATTCTCAGCTATCATATCCTCAAGATACTTAAATAAACATTGAAATCGCATTGTAGCCTTTTTACAATCATTATTTGGTTATTTGTAATAAACAGTTTATAGTTGACTAAAGTTAAAAAAATAAATAGCTTAATCAACAACAAAAAATAGAATTCAAAACGGATTGATCAAACTATTGACTAATGTTGGGACTAAAACAATTTAATCAACAAACATTAGGAATTAAAATTGTTTGACCAATAAAATTTGAACATTAGTTGGTTAATTAGAAAAGTAATTTCTTTCTTTGCTAAAAATTGAAAGTTAGACATTCTTTGTGCAAAAAAACCCCACATAAATTGGCAAAATTGACATATGTACTCCATATAAACTGTAGTTTTTCAAACTAATTCATTTCTTTCGATTTGTTTAAAAAAAATATCTTATAAAACTAATTTATCTTTTATGAATAATTACTTTTTGCTCAGATAATTCTTCAACTAAAATATAAAAATCACTAGACTTTGAAGCTCTTGACAAACAAACGAGAATCATATTGCTTCAATTTTATCCACAATACTGAAATATTATATCCGGTGAGAAGGACAATATTGTCTGAATCCCATATGATATGTGGAAGTATATCTCTATGTTGAATAAATCTTCATACATCCTAATGATTTTAGGTATTCTATGCAAACGGATTACTTATTTAAAGAACAGATTAGCACAATACTCTGAAATTAAACAGAATTTTGTTTGGAATGAGGTCTATAGTATCATTTTTCTTTCATTTATGTGAAAGTCTTTTTTCATTTTAAAAAAAAACACATAAATTAGCTAAATTAATCTTAAAGCAAACGAAAAATAGTTTCACTGTTTCCGAAGTCATATGACAAATGCAAATCAGCTTTCAACAAAAATATTTTTGCACAAACGTTTTTTTTATATAACAATTTCTTTGCATTGACTTAAAATGGCAAAAGCGCTCATCGTACATTACAAATACATTAAGCCATCTGAAGTATTTAGTCTAGAGACCCACCTAATAAGAACCCATTTAAACCAAAAGTAGAAAATTACCCAGAGAAGCACAATTGTTCGAACCTAATAAATAATAGACCAGAGATAGCCTTATTTCTCTGTAGTTACCGATTTTAAGAAGTTACAAATCACAACTGCATAATCTCACGCCGGTTGGTGATGATCAGAAGATTGTGTCATTCCTTTTATAATGCATATATAAAATGAAAAAAATATGAAAAATAGTCATTTAGCGTTGACCATGTGTATAGCTTTAGAGAAATATTCATTTTAGTCACATTCCATTACTTGTTTCCCATGACAGATTTGTACAAAAAAACTCTGGTTCACGTAGCTCTCTTTGGAAACCTCATCCCAAAGCCACGCTTCAACTTCTCAATCCTATACCATCCAGAAAAGAAAAAAGATCACATAAACTCTCTTGTGAAGAAGGCCAAAAACAAAAAAAGTGATATAAGAAAAAAAAAAGGCTCACGTCGGGGCGAGTTTCCCAAGGCAATCGAGCTCTTCACCAGTGTCTTCATCGATGACTCTACCCGTAATGTCGACAATGTATGATCTGTCTCTGTCTGGAGGAAGACCTCTTCCCGCAAGCAACTCCAAATCTTTACGGTGAAGCTCTCTTCCGTTCACAAACACTCCCGTTGTTCCCCCTGCGCAGTTCTCTGGCATTGGGTAATTCAGCTCTTCTATGAATGGCTGCAACAACAACAACAACAAACAAATGATTTTTCCTTTTCATATTGACAAGAAGAGGCAAAACATCAAAATGTGTTTTTACGTACCGGTATGATTCCAAGACCTGGACCTCCCATTACTCCCCAGAATCCAGCTCTGTAATCATACCTATAACGCCCCGCACCCCAAGAACACACATTAACAACAGTCTTTATGAAGAAGATGATCATAAAAGAGTCGAAATTCTCAATGTTTTTTTACCAGTAGTTTCCTGGCTGAATGGCTCCGGCTTGCTTCTCTGCTTTTCTCAGCAGACGTTCCGTTAAAGGATGCCCATTTATGGAAACGTTGCTTTTGTTCCCTTCGTCGTTCTGGATGGATTTGGTCAGATCCTTGAAGCTTTTCTTCACGATGCTCGCGAATCCGTTCTTCTTAGATCTTTGCTGTTGATCTTTAGATGATACTCCACTGTTGTGATGGGTGTAGTCATTGAAGGAAACCTCCATCTCACTTGCAAGTGAGACCTCTTTCATGGAGTTCTGTCTCATTGTCTTACTCAGTGTGACCCTGTCTTGTTCTGAACGAGAGCTACGGCTGCCTGCTCCAGACCGGTCTTGGTTGATAGAAGAGTAGTTAACAAAGTTCTCGTGTAGAGGCGAATCTTGTGCTTGAGCAAGTGGTTTCGCTGTTACACTGTCTGAGCTCAGCTCGTCCTCATCGGAAAGGCTAGCGGAATGGGAATGAACATTTTGCGTATCTTGGGACTTGTCAGAGATCAGTCCCGGAGCAGTTGAAAAATCTCTTGGTTCATCATCCAAGGAATGAAACACGTAGCCAAGAAGATCATAGTCGTCGGAGGTGTAATCAGCAGCCACACGAGCTTCTCCTTGTCTCGTTGAAGCCGTGTTTGTGGAGAGAACGAACTTGTTGTTAACAACAGACAAATCAATCAAACACGAGCATGCTCCACACCGCACTTTCTGCTGTTTCTTAGCCCCAGCTTCTGGTTTCTTTGGCAGCTGCAGAAGCTCAAAGCAGTTCTGACAGGTTATAAACGGAGCGCCGCCTCCCAAGGGGCGGATATGTCGAGAACCGCCTGATAAGACAACTTTAGGAGGAGGACGAACCCGTGAGAGAGCCTCCATCTGCGCCTCACTGAAGTTACTAGGCCATCTTCCATGAGGCGGTGGACCACGAGAAGAAGCGTAGGTTCTAGGATTATGCGGCGGAGCAAAACCCATAACGCTCTCATGAGGATAAAAACCGGCGTTATAAGGTGCGTCAGGTGCTGAGCCGCCTCGCCAGTATTTGTTATCATAGCAGTGGTAACATGAGCAAGATGAGTGATGAAAATGACCGTTTTGCTGCGGGTATGCGTCAAAGAGATCGTGACCACCGTTGATGTTATTATTACCAACATATTGTCCCGAGAAGTAGGGATGAGATGGTTGCAGCGTAGGAGGACCTCTTCCGTGCATCTGGAACCTGTGAGGGTCTCCATAAGAGGGATGCATCAGACCATGGTGCATAGAGACTTCGTTGCTGTTGTTGTTGTTGTTGTAAGGAAACTGCGGTTCGGGATGTTGATGGTAATAAGAAGGACCTGCTGCAACAGCGTGATTTCCGGAACTGTGAAACCGCACAGGAGGAGCCTTGTTCAACCCCGTGGAAGAAGAAGACTGTTCTTTAGGTCTGTCACCAGCCACATTGCAAGACTGAACAAGCTGTTCTTTGAGCTTATCCAACTGTCTCAGAAGTCCAGCTCGGTCTTGCTCGATTGCTTCATCGCTCTCTTCTTTCAGACGTTTCTGGAACTCACGGAGTGAATCTGGCAAGCAGTTCGTTGTAGTAGAGGAAGAAGTGCCTTCATCACAAGGAGGATACCTTGAAGTGGATAATCTGTTGATGACACCTTCAGAATCACATCTCTTGGTTGTTCTTTTCCTGAACCGATCCAAACCCGGTTCTTGTCTACCCGATTGAGATTTCGGGTCATCTTTCTCCCCTAGTAGCACTGAGCTGTTACCGGCATCAAAAGCTTTCGGCTTTGAACAAGGATCGCTCTCAACAGCGACCGGAACAACATTCTGCTGGTGTCTCAAAGATGCAGAAATCGATGGAACATCAGAATCAGATGACGACGTCTCACTAGAATCCGCAATTGCTTTTTCTGGGGAACTACTTGAGTTAACTGAAACTGGTTTGGCTCTTTCTTCCACAGACTTTTCTGAAACCGAATCTGCTTGACGCTCCTTGATTTTGGCTGTATGCAAAACCAAATCTCCTCAGGGTACAATACATTCAAAAAATTAAATAAAAAAAAACGCAGATCGTAAGCTAAAACGACTAATTTTGCTCTACATTGATTCTATCAAAAGCAACACTCATCGAATCCTACAAAATTTAAGCTTTTATTGTTGATTTTTTTGGGAGATCAAAAGGCGAAGATACTAACCACGGAGGACGGTGAAGCAACCACCGCACTGAAAAAAGGGGGAATCTTCAGGCTCTGATAAGAGATTCTCGCACTTTGGGCAACGAACTAGCCTCAGTTTGGTCGATTCAGACATTTTTCTTCAACTGGAAGCGTCTGGTGAGAGAAAATTAACAAGAGATTAAAAGGAGAAGAGAGAATGACTTCTCACTGAGAATAAAAGGAAACGCTTTTGAAGAAAGAGATATAAAAACTGAACCTTTAGCTGAGAGCTATCTTCTTAGTTGTGTTTAGCTTCTCTCGTGCTACTCGATCCCCTCTTTTCTAGCTTGATTTTCCTTTTCTCGGGAAAATCAAAACCAGAAGAAGAGAAAATCACAAAGAGAAAAAGACAGAGGAAAATGCTGTCTGAAATATTTATATATAAAAGTTAAAACAAGTAGGCAATTTCGTGAATCTCTGTCTCTCTCTATCTTTGCCTATTTTGATTATTTGTTCTCGTTGAGTTCGAAGTTTGGTCTTGTTGGGAGAAAATCTGGGGTTTTGCTATGTTCCTGCAATTTTCGCTCCTTTTCACACGGTATGTAAATAAACAACAATCACTTGGGAAAGAACCGCCGTCGTATTGGTTGGCCACGTACGTTTGATTAAAACGGCTGCGTTTTTCAGTGAGCGTTTACTACTAGTTTCATTATTCCCTCTGAGCTGTGACGCAACCACACTGAAACCAAACGGAGCAATCCGTAACGGCACTCTCAGTTCCGTCTAATTCTCTGCCGTCAGTGGTTTATGCTGACGTGTACATTTACCACCACTTTTTCTTCTTTTTATTTTCTTCTACTTTCGTCCATTTTTCAAGTAAATGCTGTAGAAAATACAAAATGGTTTGTTTTAGATACGTTACATTACACGTATATGGTTCCTGAAATTGTATATATTATCTTTTTCAGTGACAGTGAACATTGTGCAACTTATTGCATTATGGATAGCGACCAACACGAGCTAAGAATTACGAAATTATTTTAGAAAATAAATAAATATAAGGAGAATTTTGCTTTTGCTTTTATAACAACCATATGCATAGCTTTTCTTTTTAGCTTCGATGTCAGCGACCCACTGATATAAAAAGAAAAGCAGTGTCTTGGCCTTTGTTAAAAGATGTGACAGAATAGTTTTAAAAATAAATATATATAGCAGCGTTCATAAATTAGAAGATAACAAAATGAAAATAAGATGGCGAAAGAGAGAAGAATCAAAAGAGAAAATGAGATGACAAAAATAAAAGGAAATATTCTTAATTTAAAGTTAAAAGAAATTAAACGTTAACTAAAGCGGCCCATGTGTATATATTGTGGGACCCAATAACACACCAGACGAACCACCAGTGATGGGCCCACTTTCAAGATTTCTTCGCGGAATAAAAATCGAAGCTTCACCACATTTTTCTCAGTGTGCTTCTTTTGACTGGTTTTTAACTCTCTCTTTTACTTTTAATGGGATCTTCTTATCTTTTATTTCTTACGTTTTTTTAATTTTGATTTTAACAAAATTGCTTCTTTAACTGCTTTTTATAAACATTTCAACATTTAAGAAAAAACATGCACTGTGGAGCCCGCAAAATTCTGAGGTGGATGGATAGAGGATGGAGAGCCAGAGAAACGAGACTTAACTGCTTTTTATGTGACAACAATTGGTGAAGGATTTATATGCTATACGCATTGATTTTATACTTTCTTGTGGATTTGATTATTATGATTTGTTCCCCTTTTTCTTCAGTGGGCTTTGTACCGATGATGGTGTCATTGGTGTCAATGTTAATAAGTCTTTGCCGTTTCAAAATTACTATTGTAATGTAGTGTATATAGTTTTTATTTGTTTTGCATGGGAATATATATTTGGTATATTATTTTAGTTATATAGACACAACTTATAATGATTGGACATGAGGAATCAAGCTTTTGAAGATGCTCGTTGATTATCTTGAGCTTTTTGTAACGGCTAAAAAAGTAATTATGTTCAAATTTTAATCATATAGATGGACCATAATGGACTTTAACCAAGAAGCCCATTTGCGAAGTTCAGTTGATAGTCTAAGACCTTAAATCATTGACTGGGTTAATATATCATTTGTTTGTTAGAATATTGTCAGATTAATCATGAAATAAATCTAAGGGGGAGGTATTCAATTAAGGAATTTAATTGAATTAGAAGGAATTAGGCTTTTTGTTAAATTCCATTGTTATTCAATATTGTATTTCACAAATTTTTTTAAATTCATGTGTTATTGGATTCAATATTTGAAATCATTCTTTTAAATTACTTTAAATTCTAGTGTTATTCAATGTAGTGATTTTCTAATTCTATTAATTGTTGGTGTTATTCAATTTTAGTGCTTTTCTAATGTTATTATCATTTTAAAGGAATTTAATAGAATTACAATGAAATTTTGTAAAGAATCAATTCTTACCGTTTTTGCTATCATTTTGATAAAATTGATTTAAATTCTCAACAAAAACTTTAAATTACTTCAAACTCAATTATTTTCTAATTCTTTTGTATTCTCTTAAAATCAATCATCCAATACTCCTATCTAAATTGCACATATCTCTTCACATGTTTTGTCATTAAGTTTCCAAGACCTTAAATCAATAACTTGTGTTTTCTTTCTATTAAGTTCACCTTTTTCTTCTGACACTCCCTTCTAGTTTCGAACTTATTGTCCTTTTAATTTACAATAATTAAAATCATTTCCTTTTAGCTAAATTCCAGTAATCAAGTTCTATATTTTACTAAATAAGTAGGTTTCATTGATCATTCTGAGCAAAAAATCATTACTTGGGGGGGCGGTGATAAATGTGTAGTAATAAAGAAGGTTGTTTTTCTTTCCTCTCATCGATATATATATGCTGTTTAAAATTAAAACACATGTTTATAGTTTCAATTTTTGAAGGAAATAACGTCATACTATTGTACATCACTTAATTTTGTTACAATTTCACGTTTTATTGCAAACTGAAAACGGATTTCAAAATTTTTGTCGTTGATGAACATTATCAAAAGTTTAGAAAAAATTGTATGAAAAAATTTAAATGATTTAATGTTGACGAACAGTTGAACTGTGTTGGCATTTTAACTGCTTTTTACCGTTGCATCTTGTATTTATCGAGTAAACGTGGGTTGCATGTTTTCAATTCTTTATACCTACATATTCTAATTCACAGTATATGATGATAATCTCAATATATATTGAAATGCAACTAATTATGCGTTTAATCAATGAATAAACAAATTTTAGATCCCGTTTTCATTACGATTTATTGAATTAAATTTCAAATTAAGAAACAACCATTAATTATTACATTTCTTACGAAGGAAACAAGAATCACATCTTCGGCAAACTAGATCTTGTTGTAGGAATCCTTATCCCAGAGAGAATCCGACAAAACATCTTCTTCCTCTCGTTACCCTCGAGGACGCGAACGGTGTTTTTCTTGCTCTTCCACCATTTGGTCCGAAAAACACCGCAAAATAATTTACCAGCCGTGGAATTAGTGGAACAGCACAGATCCACGACGGTGCTAGCCGCACGATTAGCCTTTGCCCCCAAATCGGACGGCGTCCGAGAACAGGACACTTTTGCGGCGCCGGGGAGAGAAGGGAGAGACATGAAATGGCGTTCGATGATGTGAGTGAGGGAGACGAGCTCGTAGGAATCATAGAGTGGACTTCCACAATCCCATAGTATACGATCGTTATGATCATGGACCATCTTCTTAGTCTTGTCTGTGGTGTTTTTCATGAATCTTGTGTGTGTAAGTGTGTTTCTCGATGTAGGTGTGAGAGTATCTTTTATTTAAAGTGTTTTAAGGTTTTTGTTTTCTTCCTTTTAGTTTTTGTTTTTTTGTCGTATGGTCTTATAACATCCAAGCTGGCGAGATCTGTTTCTGTTTTTGACGATTAGTTACAAAATTTGGTTAGATTATTAGTATTCGATTGCTTTCCGAAATAATTTTCGTAATTAGTCTATTTGAGTTTGGCCATTCTACTGAAAATGAATGAATGATAGGATTAGTCTATTCTACATAGTGGCCTGTGTATATTCAAAGGCTAGGGAAATATTTTACTAACAAACTGACGCAAGTTACTACGCTTGATCAATAACTAAAAAGGAAAATTTACTTTTCTATATTTTGTTTTTGAAAAGAAAATTTAAAAGTATGAAAAGTATTAAAGCCCGCCAGATGAATAGCCGATGTTTATCACATCGCAGCAGGCAAAGAACCCTAATTTACTTTATTGTGGGTTTCCTCCGACGGAAGCATGCCCAGAGCACCTTTCTTCACCGGTAAGATCTCTCCCTCTCCCTCTCCCTCTGTCTTTCACCTGATCTAATCGTCGATGATTTGCCTCTTAGGGCATGAGACACATCTTCTGGAACGCCGACAGTTGGTTCCAGACAAGTATCAGGAGCCTCATATTATTTGCCGGTCTCTCTCTTCGTCTCTTACAAAGGGGCGTTTTTATGGTCCCCATATTATGGCTTTTGGAGCCGCGGATAAACTCTCGGTGGACTTGATCGATAACTGTCATATGTATCTTGGTTTTATTTGCTTTGAAACAACAAGAGGGAGTGCACGCTAAAGAGTTTTGTTGATGTTAGTGAGGATTGTTTTAGTGGCTTCAATAGATAGGCATCAGGAATCCAGATAGATGGTAGTCACAAGATTTGGCATGCTCCTTTTTTTGCATGTTTTTTTGTGCTTTATAAACTCAAACCGCTTAAAAACCTCTGGTTCCGGGGATGGTCTAGACTGATATCAATAGAGCATAATCAACAAGATATTGCATTTTTACATTTCAAAAAATAAGTACCATATTAGGGAAATCAATAGAACATAACCAACAGGACATTGCATTTTTACATTTCAAAAAATAAGTACCATAATTAGGCGAAAACAGTTTTGGCATTATATATTCTCCCGAGCAGAAGATATCACGACACGAAGATATCACGACACTGTACATGCTAACAAATGTCTAGACATTAGGCACGAACTGAAAAACCAGAGTTTGCCACAAGTTTGCACCCAAGCGAGTCAAGAGTGAGCACCATCCAATGCTGAAAACACACAATAATCAAACGATAGATCCAAGAGGGACTTTTATAAACCCCCAGATGAAATGCGAGTTGCCAAGGGAGCTCTGTTCACTGGTTTCTCTGTATCCTCTAACATCCTTATCAGCTCACAATTTATGCAGCTTCCTCAGTTTTTCATCACCCACAAAGCACAAACACAAGACAGTAACCCTCCATCTCTAGCCTTTCAACCTCATCCGGGAAAAGCCTAGACTCCATCTTGTCCACTAAACAAGTAATCTCACCAATGCACACAAATCCATTGCAAGAATAATCTCATCGTGTCACTGAGGTAACGTTTTGTAATTCTTTCAAAATCTCTGATTGAGAGATATTAGCAACAAGGGTTTCAGTTACTGAATGAATCTTAGGTTGCTCTAAAGCGTTGGAGAGTAAAGCTCAACTTCACTCAAGATGGAGTATTGCTGCTTTCTTCCGTGAATGTGCCTGATGGTGTTCAGGTTACAACTTGATTCCCTTTAATTGTTTGGAGTCTTTTCTCCACGATTCTCTGTTGGGGTTCAATGATATTTGGCATCAAGGTTTGCTTGATTTAGGAGTTGAACAGAAGAAGAAACAGCAAATCACTTGGACCAAAAACTCATGAAACTAAGCATTTTGAAGTTAAAAAGAAGACAGATAACCACAAAAACAGCAAATCAAAAGCAAAACTGAAATGAGATAGAAGCGAAAGACGTTGTGAGCAGAGAGAAAAGTTAGTCATCGCAATCAGTATCCTCTGTCCTTGCGCTTTCCGGGATTTGGAATTGCTGATAGCTCTTCTCAAGACAATAACGGAACATAGCTCTGTGGTAGTGGGATTTTTTCAGCAGGCAGTGCCAAGAAAACATTGTAACGTCTACCCTGCAAACCATTAAGGACAGACCGGAACTGGGAATTGAATGTGTGATTTTCAACGAGTTTCGAGATTACCAGCAAATTAGGGCGGCGCCGACGACCGTGATGTTTGGGAGGATGAAGTTTCGCAGGATTGTCCGTAGACCACAAAAGAAAGTCCATAGTCATCTTGGACAATCTTGCAAGCTTGTCTGCTGGAGCTTTGCGTACCACAGTGATTTCCATTTCGGTCTCGGTAGCCAAATTCCTCCTCCTTGGCAACATAGGCGTAGATTGAGACGCCACCAGTAGAATAAAGAACACGAGCACGAACAGCTGCTGCGATGTTCTCATAAAACATACTGAGATCAAGACCCGGAGGGAACGGGTAATCTTCGACGTCCCAGAAGACGGATGTATCTACATCCAGGGGCATGGTGAAAGAAACGGTATGTGCTTCTGGAGCAGGAGGCTCTATGAAGTACCTCTCGCTATCATTATATTCAACACCAGGCTCTCGGTCAAACAAGTGTGGACAAGGCCACACTGGGACACTCGTATCGTTCCGCTCCGAGGATACAGTGATTCCTGGTGTTGCTTTGTCGACGTCAAGCTCAGGCACTACATATACGACACTGCAGCCTTTGTTTCTCAAGGAAGCAAGAACCCTACAGATCATCGCCGAGTCTTGTGACAGCTTTGCGATGATCACCGTTCGGTGCTTTATTGAAGCCACTTGAACAGCCTTTACTAGCATCAAGTAAAACCTTTCATCTTCACTCCCTCTCTTTTCGAAAATGTAGAATCCGAGATGCAAATAATACCCATCCGTCAAGTCATCCGAGACTTTGACCGCATCACCATACGCCGTAATATGGTGACCATGCCTATACTTCTTGAAAAGAGATGAAAAGAGAGACTCAATGATAAAACAAGGTTCATTATACCTATCGGAGAGCCAACTGTCGGCGTTCCAGTAGACGTTTGTATTGGTCCCTGCGACGCAAATAAACGATCGTCATCGACGATTAGATCTCACCGGTGAAAGAGAGACAGAGAGGGAGAGAAAGAGATCTTACCCATGTAAACAGGTCTTCTGCGCATAGTGGTTCCCACGGAGAGGCGAGAGGAAACACAGAGCAAAAGCAAATTGTGGCCGGAAAAAAAAAAAAAAAAAAAAGACTTGTCGGGATATTCGTTTAGGAGTTAATGGGCCGAGAGAATACATAAACGGGCCGAGAGTAGGTCAAATGAGACTTTACGATTACGAACAAACTCGAGTGAGACTGTGTCCTATATGCCGAAAGATCTCTCCAGTCTCTCTCTCTCTCCCTCCACACTCCGAGCCAGACTCAGTTTTTGGTAAGTATATATTTATCTTCTCCGCCACTGATATTTGTTTTTTAATTATGTTTACATATTTATCTTTCCTCTTCACTCGACTTTTAAAAAGGCATCCGCCGCGCCAGAGCTAATTTTAATCATTTTTCATTTCCTTCATCATCTCCTTCACAGTCTCCAAACCCTAGTTTCAACCTTCTCGAGTACAGAGAGAGAGGTAGAAGATGCCGAGGGAAATTATTACGCTGCAAGTGGGACAATGCGGGAACCAGATCGGAATGGAGTTCTGGAAACAGCTTTGCCTCGAGCACGGGATCAGTAAGGATGGTATTCTCGAGGACTTCGCTACTCAGGTGCTTCTCCGATTTGATCCCCCTTTTTTTTTCTTTTCAATTGAAGTAAGGCTTTGTTACTGTGTACTGGAATTTTAAGGGTTGGCTTCGAAATCGTTTCTGGGTTTCTGTTTAAGATTGATAAGTGAATTCCAATTTGGGTATTTCTGTTTGCCCTTGAATTTTGGATTTTTGGCTGATTATCTGTAAATTTGTAGGGAGGTGATAGAAAAGATGTGTTTTTCTACCAAGCGGATGATCAACACTATATACCACGAGCTCTACTGATTGATCTGGAGCCCAGAGTGATCAATGGCATTCAGAATGGGGAATACCGTAATCTTTACAACCACGAGAACATCTTCGTTTCAGATCACGGTGGTGGCGCTGGAAACAATTGGGCCAGTGGATATAACCAGGTTTCCTCTTCCTTCTTTCAGTTTCATCACTCTTCTTCCACACCAATATGCTCACACCTCTTCTCGACTTGCTAAATTTTGACCAGGGGAAAGGTGTTGAAGAGGAGATTATGGACATGATTGATCGAGAAGCTGATGGAAGTGACAGCCTTGAAGGGTTTGTTCTTTGCCACTCCATTGCTGGAGGAACTGGCTCAGGTTTTCATTTTCTCGCAACCTATTATCTTATTCTAGACTATAAGCTATGTAGGCATTTTTGAGTGTAAGGCATTTTTTTGTTTTTTGTTCGCATCAAGGTATGGGATCTTATCTGTTGGAGACTTTGAATGATCGCTATAGCAAGAAGTTGGTTCAGACGTACAGTGTATTCCCCAATCAGATGGAAACGAGTGATGTGGTTGTCCAGCCTTACAACTCGCTGCTGACACTGAAGCGGCTTACCTTAAACGCTGACTGTGTTGTCGTCCTTGACAACACTGCACTCACCAGAATCGCTGTAGAGCGTCTACATCTTACGAATCCTACCTTTTCTCAAACCAACTCCTTAGTCTCAACTGTGATGTCTGCTAGCACAACAACACTGCGTTACCCAGGATACATGAATAATGACTTGGTCGGCTTGCTTGCATCTTTGATCCCAACACCAAGGTGTCACTTCCTCATGACCGGATACACTCCCTTGACTGTTGAGCGCCAGGTAAGATATCTCTCACTTGTTTAACAATTCAGACCACACCGAATCCTTCTATGGGGCACTACACTGAGTCACTGACCCTATATGTGATGTTTAACTGTGCGTTGATCCAATTTTTTTGGCAGGCAAATGCCATTCGTAAAACTACCGTGCTGGATGTTATGAGAAGGCTTCTACAGGTGAGTTGTTTGCCTTTTCCATCTTATATTTTTGAAACTTGAATCGGATGTTTTTCTTTAACATGATTGTATTCGCAGACAAAAAATATCATGGTGTCGTCTTATGCTAGAAACAAAGAAGCTAGTCAGGCAAAGTACATATCAATATTGAATATAATTCAAGGAGAAGTCGATCCCACTCAGGTACTATGTCTATGGAACTTTTTTTCCTTGTCAACATAATGAGGATAAATCGGTTTAACACTGTCTTGCTGATGTGATCTTCTCCGTTTGTTTCACTGCTTGATTGATACTAGGTGCATGAGAGTTTGCAGAGGATACGAGAAAGAAAGCTTGTTAACTTCATTGAGTGGGGACCTGCAAGCATACAGGTTCGAACCAAATTGTGTTTGCAAACAGTTGTTGCTTCTAACTTGACCTTGGACTTGCATCACAATTTTTTTTCTAAATCTTTTTTCTCGACAGGTTGCACTTTCCAAGAAGTCCCCATATGTTCAAACCGCACATAGGGTAATCTCAGGTTGACAGTTCTTGCTTTAGAAAAATATGACCAACACTCTTACTTAAGTGGTGTGTCTGATATTTCAGGTCAGTGGGCTTATGTTAGCAAGCCACACTAGTATCAGGCACCTTTTCAGCAAATGTCTGAGCCAATATGAGAAGTTGAGGAAGAAGCAAGCTTTTCTGGACAACTACAAAAAGTTTCCCATGTTTGCTGTAAGTTGACCGCTTAGATGTCCGCTGCCTTTATGTTTAGCACTGACATTATTAAATGGTGAAATCATGAGTATATACATTTATGTCGTTGATATGGACAGGACGATCTTTCAGAGTTTGATGAATCAAGGGACATCATTGAGAGTTTGGTAGATGAATATAAGGCATGTGAATCACCGGACTACATCAAATGGGGAATGGAGGTATGTAAACAAACAGTCCTAGGCTTCAAAGCTTTTTTCTCCATGGATAGTCATATAAGTTATGGAGGAACACGAAACGATAAATGTATCTGTGTGTCTCTGTCTCTCAGGACCCTGAACAACTTTTAACTGGTGAAGGCAGTGCGTCAGGAGTTGTGGATCCTAGAGTGGCGTTCTGAATAAAACGAAAATCCCAGAGTAAGTCATGATGTTTCACTTTTTAACTGAGATGTTTCAGGTCATCATAGTTTTACTTTTATAATGGGTTTTAGGAGGATCGGTAGTAACGATAAAGAGTGTTGGCACGTAAAAACCTTGAATAGTATTTTGCTTAATGTATTATGATGTGGATGAGTTTCAATCTATGAGATGAATGTGTGTTCTCTGGGTATTTTCCTAAATCGAGACTTGAGAGAGAGCAGCACATAACGTTGCATCGCCTCCGAATGGTATCTTTTTATGAATGTTTTACCAAAGAGAAGAAGTGACTTACTCAATGTATTAAAGTTGCCATAATTGCTGCAATCATTTCCTTATTTGTCAACCGATTCATGTGTCCAAAGATTTGGATCCTGTGCGTTCAAAATTTCAAGAATGACGTGTTAATTTTGGACCCTTTAAAATTTTTAATTTAGTTAAAAAAAAGGTGCTCCAATTATACTCCATTGTTGACGGACGACAAGTGATCCGAGGGAGGAATACTCAGCAAAGAAAAAAGACACGTGTCCTTCTTTTAGTTGAAAAATTAAAATATGAATACCGGCTACAGTCGGTAACCGTCAACTAGTAGTATCGTTCTATAAAACCGCGTTAGCCAGCCTTTTTGGTCAGTCTCTCTCTCGTGTTCATAGGGTTTTCTCTTCTCCGGCTCGATCGTTGTCTCTCTCGCCGGAGTTCTTCACGCTCAGATTCATTCTCAGTTTCGCCTCTCTCGTAATCCTCTCTATCTACTCTGAGATGGCGTCGAGGGATTCCGTTGCCGTTCTCGCCTTAGTCGCTTTCGTTTTCGCCGTCATCTCTCCTCTCGCCGGCGCTCAAGCCCTAGCTCCTGCTCCTTCTCCCACAAGCGACGGTAAGTTTCCCGGTTCCTATCTCTTATGCGATGTCACATTCTCTCTCCCCAGATCCGAACGCCGAAATACTCTAGATTCCTCTCGAAATTATCTTTTGGATTCTCTCTTTTTCACATTGCGCCTTCCGAATCGGTTGAAATTTGTATCATGAACCCTAGATCATGGTCAATTAGTGCAGAAATGATGAATTGGAAATAAATGGGTGATGAACAGGAACATCGATTGATCAAGGGATAGCATATTTGCTAATGGTGGTCGCGCTGGTGCTGACGTATCTCATCCATCCTCTGGATGCATCTTCCTCCTACAGCTTCTTCTGATCTTTGTAAACCTAATCTAAGCTTCTAGTGGACCAAAACCCATCTCGCTAATCTTATTGTTAATTGATCTGTTATTTTTACTTAAATATGCCCTTCGGAATTTGTTGATTGTAGACCTAGTTATGAAATTATGTTCCATTGCCAATGTCTACCAATTTTTTCCACTGCTTATATTTTTAGTTACAGTTACTCCCTATATTAGTATATTTTCATTTTTACCAAATGCTCCTATACTTAAATTTTTTTTTTTTTTTTTTGCCATAGTTTCAGTTACGATCACCCAATTTGCAACTATTATTTGTTTTCTTCCAGTCATTTCCTATAGTTTCCTTTTCTATAAATACACTCCCCATCGATTTCGTGTGATCACTGTACTTTTGTATATTTCAAAACTCCTGCTATGATTTTATTATTTCAGATGATTCCTATAGTATTGGTTTTTGTAAACGCCCTGTACAGTTTTCGGCTATGATTAGAAAGAAGACAAATTTAAACCATATAAGTAAAAAGTAATTAAAAGTCTTTAGACTGTAATCTGCTCAATTATATAATTGCATCTAGTTTCGTACTGTATATAATAAATCTTTGTTTTTTTTTTTTGGTACGATAAATCTTTGTTTTTTTAAAGGCAACCTTAACTTTATCGAAGGCGTGGAACCAATTAATAATCATTGACCGTGGTGATAAAGTATGATTGTATTCTTTTTCTTCCTATCAGTGTACTGTATTCTTAAAGTAAGACGCGGAATCCTAACGCGCCTCTGGACTAGTAAATGACATAAATGTGTATCAATTTAAATGACTACTCAAATCTAACCGCCATTTCAATTTAAAATTTTGTCGTATGCTGTACGGTTTTTATCGAGAAAAACGTTCCGTTGTCAGTCTTTCTGTTAATTAAACGACATGTAGTTATCCACTCAAACGGCAAAAGAAAAAGTTTCATATACATACTGATACTGTAGTAGATTTTTTCATGAAGAAAGTAAAAACCTTAGAACGGGAACAGAAAGAATCTGAAAATGTTAACTCGCCAGTCATGTGCGTGGTGGTCATATACGCACTGCTCACATTAATTGAATTGTCGTCTTCGTTAATACTCAAACGCATGTTGTAACCTTCTTAAAACAAAAATAAATATAAAAAACGCATTGTTCTGGATGTTTTGGTTATTTATATTGTCTACATGTTCCTTTCGATTCTTACATAACTTCTCCAAATTTGGGATGCTAGATATTGTCAAATACTCTCTACGTGTAGATCATTAGCTGATGTTTTTATATGATCTATTTGGTGTATTTCCTAATATTTAGAGTTATTGAGAAAAAAGATTTCTACATTCTTGTAGAATGAAAACCGACCTAGCAACATTGTTCATTATTTGGAGTACTTTTTAGTCTTTTGATTATTGACCCAATTTCAAACTTGAACGGAGAGAGAGAGTGACACAGTGCTTTATTGCATTTTAATTTATTTTTCTTTTTGACCTGAAGCGAAAAGGAAACAAGACTACAAGAGTATATAATAAACGGCATGAACTTTGTAAAGGCGTCTCGAGTGGGTTGAAAGATCTTATTGGGGCCCATAGTAGATAAGATTGGTGGCCATTGGCCAACTTGCTTCACCTCTCAGTCTCTTGTGGCCCAATCGTTGACCACTCGTGTTCACTATATGGGCTTAAACATAAGGGTGGGCAAAATATCCGTTATATCCGCTTCGAACCGATATTTGCTTCGATCCGATTCGAAAAATCCGGATACCGTAAAGCTTCGGAGCAGAGCAAATAGCAAAATATAGTATCCGTACAAAACAGAACAAATCACAAATATGTTTTTAGACAACATCGGATATCCGATCCGATCCATATCTTTATAAATTTATTATATATTAGTATATATTATTATGTATATATCAATTATATTATTAATATACTCTCGATTTTCTTCCTAAATTTTCAATTGTTTCTAAATTCTTTTGATTATATAAAATAAATGACTAAATAATCATTCATAAAAAATAATAATATGTTTAAACTTAAAATATGTTAATAAATAATATTTTATTTGATATTAGTTAATAAATATCAACAAAGGTTTTTAGTAAAGTTTAATATTAAAGTTTCAAATAGTTAATATTATTTTTAAATACAAAATATTATTTTTGCCTCATCTAAATTTTGTAGGTTTAATTTTTATAGATTTTTTTATAAAATAAAATGTTTTCTTTTAGTTATTTTATAAAAATTGATGTACTTTCAGTTTTGTGTATATTAAACGGATCAAACTAAATATTCATAAATATCTATAAATATCCGCAAATATCCGCAAATACTTGTAAATTTTCCGGATATCCGAAAATCTGGATATCCGTATATTTTCGGAGCAAATCAAATCATAAAATTAAATATCCGTTAAAAACGGAGCAAACTACAAATATTTAAAAATTTCCGGATATCTGATCCGTGCCCACCCCTACTTAAACCCACATTTTCCTTCTATTTTCTCATCTAAATTTAATATTTGTTCTAGAGGATTTACATTTTACACACATAAAAAAAATACTTAAGAGATGTTTAGTTCTGAGTCTGATTAACCAAACCAATCCGACTAAACTCAGGAGAACAAATCTGATTAACAGACCGAGTCTAGCTCTAATTCAGTCTATCCAAAAAATCCAAACAAACAATCGCTTCAAAAGATAAAATTAATTTGGACTCATTTTAGCTATTATTAATCATAAACTAAAGAGCTTGAACCATAATCTTTAATTCAAAATTTATTCTAACCAAAACAAAACTGGTATTTTAGTTTTTATTCAGATTTTTAAATTATTTATGCTGACTTATCTACATTGTACACCTCTCATTCAAACCTCTCAAAAATTTACAGCAGTAAATATCCTGTAGAACAAATATCCATCCAGTTTGAATTGAAATGCAGAACTATAATTGGCTAAAATTTGAACTTTTGTATCAGTATTTCCTTTTATTTCTTGAATCTTGTTCCTTTTTTTCATATGGTCGGTCCGAGCTGCAGGCATTAAATGCTCCGATGCTTTACATGTGTGTTGCAAGTGGTTCTGAGTATGTGCATCTCTAGGTTTTGTTTCTTTTTTTGTTTTTGCATATTCTTTGGATTCCGCAATTCTACTTGTAAAATTTGTATTCATGTCCATGGACTCAGATGAAGCAATTCGCAGAAAATTAACTCGCAACACATATTATGATATATTCGATATTTAATTCACTATTGTCTCTACTCGCCATAATTAGTGGTTTTATTTTTCTTCTTTTTTTGGCGGGTAGTACTTACTTGTGCAAGTTGTAAACTCAATTTTCTTCGTTTGTACAATGTATATATATTTTCTTTCAATATGCATTTCTATCGTTTTTAAGAATACAATAGTATTGAAAAGGAAGCTTCTTAATAGCTAGCCTATGGGGGCTTTTTCATGGAACTGTTTCCCATTGGAAAAGCCAATTTCAAATGGTGTAAAAATGGAGTAGAACGAAAAATATCGAATTGGTCAAGATATTGACCTCGGAAAGACCAAAGCTTTTTTGTTGTTTGTTAGTTTGCAAATTTTTATTAGTATTGCGAAAAAGAAAAAAATCCAAATACCATCGCTGATTAGTGGGACAAAAGGTATAATCTGCTAATTATATATAAAGGGGGGCAAAGGAGTAGATATGGTCTGTGATCAAAACATTTTCTTATAAATTTCTGTAAATAATACTAGTAATCAAAGATAAATAAACGTATCAAACTTTTTCATCAGAAAAAACAGAATATACCATGTTCTTGATACGAAAGAGAACTAATAATTAGTACTTACCTGATAATTCTCATGTGAAGGAACCCTTTTTTTCTATGACGGAGCCTTTGTTAGGAGACAAACAAAAGTCGATTCCTAATAACTTTGCCATAAAAACCAATTAGCTCTTTACATTTTTTGTTTTAAATGTATATAGATCAAAATGTTTTTATTGAACGAAAAAAAAATGATCAGAATGGCCGTAAACACTAGGTTTCAAAACCTTTGTCCCACCCACTTGGATGGACCATAATACAAAAACAGAAAGCAGCCATTTAATTAGAAGACAACACACTTTGTCCTTCAAAATTGATATATACCAAACTCCATTGTCTAATTCTTCACGTAGAGCTGGACCGAGTTTCGATAGAATGCAAACCGTATCATCTATACGATAATTGATTGTATCTAATAGATAAATAGACAAAAAGCTGCAAGTACTTTGTTATCTTTTATGGCGAATTTTGAAAATGTGAAGGATGTTTTTATGAGTGGAGACACAATTGGTAGGGTTAATATAGGATTCATTGGTTTGGTTCTTCACATGAATGGGCTTTGATACTTAAGTGGAAAACAACAGCAGACACGAGAACATGTCTCTCGGCGATACCTTGAATCCTCACTTCACTCCACACCCACTCAAATATCTATTTGGATAAATTCATTTGACATTTGGTTTTTAAAAACAATTTTTCTCAACCAAGTGTGGTTCTGAACCGGTTTAGAAAGGAATTTACAATGTTACCGAGCCGAGTTTAAATTGTACTTCTTCCGTTTTATAATAAGTATTATTTGGAGAAAATGAATTTGTATTGTAACTCATGTATTAAACTCAAAATACATTCAAATAGATTACAGATATATTTTCTTCAAATGACACTTATTATGAAACAGAGAGAGTAGGTGTTACATTTTTGAAAGGGATAATTTACGTACATTTTCATTTTTTTAAAAAAATTAAGCATAATATTTTCTTTGAAATAAAAATATAAATTACTTACACTAGTATATATTTTGAAAAAGCTTTTGAATGTTGTTATGTATATATATATATAGATATATTTTGTTTAATGGAGTATTACTTTAAATTTGAAAATATATTTATTTATCATTAGACTTGTCATTTTTTACAAAATTCTAAACAACAAAGGAAAAGATAAGGAATTACAGTTAATTATTTATAAACAACAGTCGTATATACTGCTTCCTGACGTTGAGACAATCTAAGAGAGGAAGCAAATAACGAAATTGTTGTCTTTAAGGGGCCAAAACATTCATAAATACTGACATTTTTATCATAAACTAATATATTTACACACAAATAAATTAAATAGAGCGCTCTCTCTCTTTTTTTTTTAAGCGCTCCAGCAGATCGGAACCGTTCACGTCACTGAGCGGAAAAGGTAAGCGAACGGTCAAGATGCGTCCTCGTCATCATCCAACACATCATCATCGCCACAAAAATCTGGGAAACTGATTTTAATCAGGCTCGAAGAAATTGTCCACATCCCATGGAGTAGAATCGAAATCTTCCATCAAATCGAAGGAGAAATCTTCGATCAAATCCTTCTCTTCTTTCGGAATCGTCGTGTTTTGCTGGATTTCGATTTCTCCTAGAAACAATGGGTCAGGAGCTATTTCGCAATCCCAGAAGTATTCTCCGGCGAGACATAAATCCGGCAAAGAATACGGATCCGGAAACAAACTCTCGTGCGATTTCTCGACGGAGGTCGGCTTTATCTCCGGCGATAGCTGGATTGGCTCAGTCTCCAGCTCTGGTCTATACTCTGCTTCCTCGTTGACGTTGAATCGAAGAACAGAGGTCGGGGAACGAAGGCTCTGGCGAGAATCTTTCCCGGAATCGCAGCCGGAAACCGTTTCTAGATCGATAACCGGCGGAGTCTGCGGCGGAGGAGGAGGAGTTAGAAAATTCGTCTGTGCGTTATGGCCTCTGAGATCAATCGCCGCTCGATCGTAAACCATAGCAGCTTCCTCCGCCGTGACAAAGGTACCTAGCCAAATCCGAGAACGGCTCGACGGATCCCTAATCTCCGCCGCGAATTTCCCCCACGGTCTCTGTCTCACGCCTCTGTACTTCCTAGGCTCCGCTGACACGTCATCATTTCTACAACCGCCACCTTTCCCCGCCTTGCATCGAGCTTTCCTCGCGGCGGCGGACGAGGACTCGCCTTCGCCGAATCTAATCTCCTCCACATATCGTTTAACTCTTGGAGCCACCGTGACGTTATCGTCGTCGCTAGACGAGTCAGTGGCGAAAGGGTCAGTAAAACAGATTCGGACCACTCTTGGAGAGCCGTTAGATGGCTTAGCTGGCACGGATGTGACCGTACGATGCTCCGTGAACTTGGCTCTTCTCGTTCGTCTCTCCATCTCTCGCTCTCTAATAGTTACTGTAGAGAGACTAGAGAGAGAGAGAGAGAGTTATTAAAGATTTCTTTTTTCACTGTTTTGAGTTGTGCAGTCTTGCAGACTAGAGAGAGAGAGAGAATGGGGAGAGTCAAAAGGCTAATGAGAATCGCCGTTTCTTTGGAACATCCTTCTTCAAATATTAACTCATGACTATTTATTGTTTCCATATTTATTTTTTTACCTTTTATTGGCTATTTTTATTTAACGCTATTTTCAAAATATTAAATGGTAATTAATTATTGTGTCTTTTTGTTTAACTGTAAAGAGAAATTTAATGCGTCTTCAAACCGGTTAATCAGTACCCGTATATCATATGACCCACTCAACGGAGATACACTACTAAACTGATTCTTAAACTTATTAAAACTTCAATTTCATTTTGTTAAAACTTTAATTTAAAATACATATTTAAAGATTGAAAACAAAGCGCAAGGTATTTTTATAACTCGGTTTATGTAAACCGGAAATTACATTGGTCTTGTTAGCGAGATTAATGAGAGGGGAGGATTTGAAGCGGTTCGTGGCGGCCATTGGGGGGATTCAAAACGGCTTTCCGCATCTCAGACTGAGACGTTCGATTTCTGACACGTGTTGGTTACCGTACCGAAAGTAGAGCCATTGTCCTACTCTAATAGCTTGGTCTCCAAGCAAATTTAACTCTCCCACGCGCACTCACCGGTACGTATACCTCAGACGCCAGCAAGAGTGGGACCCGCTCAAATGAGTTTGGTCACGAGGATGTCACGTCGGTGCATTGACCCACAGTTAAGTTTAATGGTAATGAATCAAATGACGTGTTTTGTCTATTGAGAGAGTGATAATCTCGTGTTTTATTGGAAATGTATATGTATATATATTTTATAATTTTATTTTGGAAAATTATGATCTTTTAGCTTGGTGGCCAAGCGACTACCTCCCCTGACATTTAAATGTCTTATCAGAACTAGGAAAAAGGTAACTAAATATTACACCACCTTAAATTTTGGTTGAGCTTTGACTAGAATTGGTCGGGGAAAATAATATTTACAATTAAATTGATAAATTTCTACAAGTTAATATCCCAAATGACTGTAACTTGTTAAATACTACATTGAAACAATGAGTTCACACTTGTAAAGTTGTGATATCTTCAAAAACTTGTTATATATACTTTCGTGACTTCAGTTTCAAACATTTACTTTTGGTTTTTTGTTTATAACTTAAGATTAGTCTTGTACTCTTGGTAAGATTATACCATGTAACAGTCAAACGAAAAATTGCATGACACTCATTTAGGAGTTAAGACCATAGTCGTATTAGGTACTAGGTAAAAAGTTATGAATTGTAACAGTCTTGAATTGTCTAATCTCGTTTTCTATGCTTGTATATATATACAGAAAACAAAATCTTATTTATTATTTATTCCATCATCTCCACCGTCACGAACCCGTCATTTTCATAGACGTCACCATTTTGCATTCATTCTCTGTAGTGCATTCCTAAATCCCGACACGTCGACACTGCTATCATTTTATTTGAAATGAATCTAGATAATAACAGATGATAAAATAAATAACAGAGTCAAAAGAGCAAAAAAATACATAAAACCTTACATCAACGTAGCTCTAGCTGCTCTACATTTAACAAATAACTTGATATTTAAAGTAGACTGTTGGGTTTCTTCTTGATTTGGATTTGTCGCCGGATGAATCCACGTTGAGAATCTTGAGATCAATGATCAGTGAATATAGAATTTATAGTTCCTTTCGTTCATCAAATTCATAGCTATAAGGCAGACATGTTATGAATATTAACGTCGAATATCTTATGAGCTTGTATATTAATGGTTAACTTTGTAACATTATTAGCCATACACACAATTTATTTAAACACAGGCAAGAATGCAGTTATGGTTACAGCCAAACGGTCCTTAATTAGCTCTCAAACTATATCAGTAATTGTATTTACGCTTATACCCTCACGATCTCTTCCAATTAACAAAACACAACCAAAAGCCCTAAATTTTACTCTTTTCTCTCGTCGACGCCGTCCATACACCTCCGACATATCGCCGCCGCAAATTTCGGCTAAGGTGTACCTCGTCTCTTTCTCTCTCTGCTTCCTTCAGATTTGCTCGCTCTCTATTTCGGATTGTGCTGTTTCTATCTTTCAGTGCTCTCATCGTTGATCTATCTGTCTAGACTTCAGAGAATCCACAACAATGGAGTACGTAAACCCTGAAGGTCTTCGATTAGATGGTCGCCGATTCAGTGAAGTATGTTTGCGTCTCTGTTCCTTGTCTCTGTTAGCTTTCACAAGTTCAAATCTTTTTCTAGACCTAATGCTCGTAATAAACCACAGATGAGGCAAATCGTAGCTGAAATTGGAGTTGTTTCTAAGGCTGACGGGTAAATTCAACTTCTTTCCTCTTATCTCTTCGTCTCTGTTCTTATTTGGCGATAAATATGAATAAAAACTCAACTTTTTTCTTCTTCTTCTTCTAGCTCTGCTCTTTTCGAGATGGGTAATACGAAAGTAATCGCAGCTGTTTATGGGCCAAGAGAGGTACTCAATTACTGTATTGTATCATTCAGTGAGTTAAGCTAATTTGGGTTTATCTGTGTGTGTTTAACTGTGTATCTGTGCTCCTTCAGATTCAAAACAAGAGCCAACAGAAGATTGATCGTGCATTGGTATGTATATGTTTTGATATTGTTCTGTATTCTTCTTGGCAAAAAAGGCTTTGTGAATTTGTAATGCTTGTGTCTTATTTCCTCAAATTGTATAATCTTGTAGGTGCTGTGTGAGTATAGTATGGCTCATTTTAGTACTGGTGATCGTAGAAGACAGAAGAACGACAGGTTACATTTACTATTATATATCTAAAACGATTCTCACTTGTTCTTCTTGCATAAATCATAAAAAAAAATTGAATTTGCTGTTTATGATTTGTTAGGCGATCAACAGAGCTATCTCTTGTCATTCGTCAAACAATGGAAGCATGCATATTAACCGAATTGATGCCTCATTCTCAGGTTTACCTTTTACCCTCGAAATTTTCAAGACAAGACTGATTTTTTTTAGTCAATCCTATTTTCGTCACATCTCTTTCTTTTGGCTTGCTTCTTGATGGATTGTTTCTTTTATGCACAGATTGACATATTCCTTCAGGTTCTACAAGCTGATGGAGGTACTGTTGAAGTTTTAAAAACCGTCTTTTGAATCTTTGAATCCATCACTAATGATGTGTGTTGTGTAATCAGGAACAAGATCGGCTTGTATCAATGCGGCGACTCTGGCCCTAGCGGACGCTGGAATTCCGATGCGTGATCTTGCAGTTTCGTGTAGTGCTGGATACTTGAACAGCACTCCACTTCTTGATCTCAACTATGTCGAAGATAGCGCGGGAGGAGCTGATGTAACCGTCGGGATACTACCGAAATTAGACAAAGTGACACTCCTTCAGGTTCTTCTTCCTTCTTCCTTCTTCTTCTCTTCATATCACATTTCTCTTACATCCGCAATCAAATGGATTCTTGAGTGTTTTGTGTATTGGTTTAAAAATGTAGATGGATGCAAAGTTACCGATGGAAACGTTTGAAACAGTGTTTGCGTTGGCTTCTGAAGGCTGCAAGGCGATTGCAGAGAGGATACGCGAGGTAAAACAATGGAGTTCTGAATTTTTCTAGGGTTTCGTTTTTCCACCATTGAAGAGTCTTCTTTGTTTTTGCTAAATCTTTGGTTCTGCTTTTTGTTTTGAAGGTACTTCTAGAAAACACCAAACAGCTAGAGTATCGTCGCGGAGCTGCATAAACTTTTGGGTGTTAGAGAAGAAACAAAACGAGAATGTCCAAGATTTTAGTCAATGAGTTTGTTAAATTTTACTGCTAATCTTGGAAGTTCAGGATCATAAATTGGGATTCTCCCAAACTTGAAAGTTATTAATGGAAAGTTATGCTATTCTTGGTTAATATGGTTTTTTGATCTTTTATCAATCGAAATTTTGAAACCGAGTTTCTAACTGAACCGGAATATAAAAACCAAAAGCTAAATTGAACACACTCTCATATATTCATACATTAGCCGTTGCCGTGAAAAAAAAACAAGAGGCTTTTATTGTCACTACATCACCGAGACCGGTCCGAGAAAAGAAAAAAAAAACGATGATTCTGCTCTTCCACAGTTGGCAAGTACAAAAAAAACTGCAGATACTTGGCAATGGAATAAGCATCAATATTCGTTAGGATGGGATTCTCAAAGATTAAGAATCAGAATCCTTTGCTCCGTAGTTCAAGTTGGTCGAAGCAGAAACTGGATTTAACCGCGGTTAACATAAGCCGACCGGTCCATTCTTCTCCTGGCTTCAATGTGATGGGTCTCTCAACTGCTGCACCGTCCACACAAAGCATGCTTTTGTACTCATCATCCCCGAAATCCGCCATTGTTTTTGATTTCTTCTCCCATGGATTCCATACCACTGCACTCATCACAATCATATCACACGAATCCATAGTATCGCACACAAACTAGTAATCGGATTGTTGTCTGATTCTTACCGGTGTCTGGAAGTCCTTCCTTTCCGATAACATATGTTCTTTTCCGTTCATGGTCAAGAACTGCAACTACTTTTGGTGATCTGAGGTAAGTCCGGTCCATCTGAACCAAAAAGAAACATCTCATATGAGATAACCGAAGATTACTTGTTCAGCCATCGATGATTTTACAGAATCTTTACCTCAGATTCAAAGGTTATTGCATCTCCTTGTTCTGTCAAAAGCTGCCTTTTGCTGAGGTTGTCCAAGTAGTCCAGTGTCTCTAACCCTTCGATTCTCACTTCACTGTAGAAATACAAAAGTGAACATTCGTTTTTCTTATGAATGAGAGAGAGTTCACAAAAACAGAGAATCAATTGCTGAATTTCTTCTTACAAGAGTAAATACCTTATGTCAGAGACAGAGAGGTAAGTGTGATATGCGAATGAGAAGCTAAAGGGTTTGCCATTGATGTTTCTAACCCGAGAGATCAGTGTTAAGTCGCCATCTATGGCAAGTGAAACCCGAAGACGAAACTCGAAACTGCAAAGGAAACACACAGAAGTTTATAGAGTCTGTAGAAAAAGAGTGTAAGAGCAAGTATCTGTAACAATTTTCACCTGTGAGGCCATTGCTTTAAGTCCTCTTCTGATGGTTTCAAAAGAAGATCAACAAATGATTTCCCATAGGATTCGTTTGAGTGAAGAGGAGGTGGATTCTCATCGATCACCCAGATTTTGTTCCTTGCAAACCCATGTTGATCCAGTAATCCACAATCCCCAAACTTCAAACACACACAAAACAAACTCAGTTACATTGTTCAATAAAAAGATCCCAGTGAAAATAATAAGAGCCACTAACTAAAAAAAAACTAAATTTACCTGAGGATAACAAATCTGAATCCCTCCACGCATTGATTTCGGGGGTTTGAATATAGCCTAAGCAATTTTTACAACAAAATTTGTAAAAATCAGATTTTTATTATGTTGCTTCTTCTTCTTCTTCGATATGGTTCAAAGGTTTTGTCTACTTCATTACATACCTTGTTGCTAGTGAAAAGAAGCTCTTCGCCGAGGTCATTCCTCCACGAAATCACTTGTCCTCCATGTAAACTAATCTGGGAAACGAAAATGAAACCCAGAAGAACGAACCGATTAAACATTTGATTCGAAAGCTTGAATTTAAGAGAGACAAAGAGGATGATGGGAGAAAGAAAGAAATTAAAAAAAGTTATTACCTTTGCAGAAGCTCCATGTGGGTTTCTGAGTACGACTTGGTCAATGCCGTTCCAATCTTTGGTTATCTCAGTAGCTGCTTTATGATCCCAAACTGCTGCGTAATGTCCCATTTTGATTTCTTCACTCTCCTCTCTCTCACTCTCACTCTCAAAAAAAATTCACTCTTCTTCTAAAATTTTGAAAATCTCAAGAAACAAGTTGTCTGATTTCACCACCCGAGCAAAAGAGGAAAACGACAAAAGAGCTTTTTCTTTCTCACAAAAATCTCATGACCACGACGCTAATTAGATCTGAAAATCTCTATACTCTTTTTTTTTTGGTATGATCTCTATACTCTTTGCTCATTAAGTAGTTACTCTCCCCTTAGGAATAAAAAACAAAAAATAAGGGAGAGAAGGAACTACACTTGGCGATAGAAAGAGCAAAACACCTATCTTGATCTTAAGTAAATTATATAAAAGATAAAACACACTGTGATGGAAGATATTCAATTTTTTATATATTGGAATATAAATTAAAATTTCAGTTTAGCGCTTTAAAAGGGAAAAAAAATTGAAGCATCAACAAAAGGAAGAAATAAAAAAAAACAAATTTGGGATCTGAAAAAACGTCAAGAACAGATTATGGAAACAGTTTTATTAAAACTTGCCAGTTTATAAGTTAAATATCAGTTTTTATGGAAAAAGATAAGGAAGAGAAGAGAGAGATATATCTGATGGTTTTATTGGGATTTTTAGGAGGAGGCTACGTGCATTGCTTCAGATAGACATGGCGGAAACAGAACTGAACTTTCTCTCAGGGTATTGAAGAAAGTCTTTTATTGAAATTTATATCATATTAAATTCATTATTATATTTTAAATACTTTTCTTCAGCAGTAGTATTTTAATTGTTTGTTAATTTTCCAACCTGTCACTGATTAAATAAGATACAGACATAATTTGAGGTTAGAGGAGAAGAATGATACCATTAACCATAATTAGTGGACTAGATTCTTTGTGCACGAGGATTCCGAGAGAACCAAAATAAATAAAAACTATTAGCCTTTCTCTTATCTTCACTACTATTATTGATTTGTTTCTATGTTATTATTATTATTTTCTTTTGTCAAATACCCATTATTTAAAAATTCCGTACCTTAAAAAATTGCATACAAAAACCATTTGGATTATTTTCTTTTCTGGAAAAATGTGTAACGAAACGTAACATCTCACAATTTCACGTATAAGTTGAATACATTTTAATACTCTTTATCTCATGATTTGTATTGTTGTGATCAGTAGTAGATGACACCGTACCACGTGTACGGTATCTAACCAACGGTCAATTATATTTTGAAATTAATTTGAACTTAATCGGGGGAATTTAAATAGTCCAACTTGAACAAACGCATGGCTTAAATCGAAAGTCAGGTCTATTTCAATCCAAGTAAATAGTTAAAGTAAATTACAGGAAAATATTGCAATTTGCATCATAAAAAAAACCGATATTCTTTCTCAAACAAAAATTTAAAGAAAGTCTCACTATTGACTTATTTTCATATTTCTTTAAAATGTACAGAACAAAAAAAAGCAACTTGTTTGTTTTTAAAATCATTAGATGGAAAAAATATTATGAATGAAATAAATATAAACGATGGAATAACGTTTTGAAGACGTGATAACATAAAATGAATACTACATACATCATTACATTCATCATTTTTTTTGTGAATTTCAAGCGCTCTAAGTTAAGCGGCTCAACACAAAATTTTGTCCCGCCTTAAAGTCTTCTTTACCGCACAAGTACCCATTGGGCTACTAATTTTATCACATATGGGCTTAATCTCCTATAATGTTATAAAGCCCGATATTACAATATGGGCTTGATCTCTTAAAATTCTCAGTGCCCCCAAAAGCAAATTCTTACATAATATATACAAATCCCCCACTAGAGAGCAAGTCTTAATTTCTTCAACCCAATTCCAAAAGATGAAACATTTCAACCCACTGATTTTAACGTAATAGAACGAGATTACCAGATACAACAAATAACCAATCTTTGTAGTGAATTTTCAGGGTATGAACACAAGTAACGAACTTTATTACTAAATTATATTGCACGTTATCTTCCTGTTCACAACTTTGTTCACAAGACAATCCATCACTAAGAATTTCATTGGAAAGTCAATTTATATAAACCAGGCCATCTTTCTTAAACATCGTCGTCGCTTTAAACTTTTTATAAGCACAAGTGTTCGTCGAGCCTTACAATAGGAAAAAAAAAAAGAAGAGTAGGTTGGTTAGAGAGAAAGAGAAGTAGCAAAAGGTAGTGGCATGAAGGTACAAAGAAACGGTCACTGAGGATCTGTAGACCTTTTGATGGTAAGCTCAGCTCGGAGATGGAGGATTCCATTGATGAAGTAAAGACTATCCTCTGCGATGAAAGACGTCCATGGAATCCCAAAGAGGTTTCTGTAACCAACTGCTTTTCCTCCCGTGAATGTGTAGTTCCCTTTGTATTTGCTTATGAAATCCTCCGAGGGCTTTGACCTCGCCGAGAATTCATAGTCCACTCCGAAACTCACCGACCCTTTCTCCTGCATCCCTAGGAACAGCCCGAAACAGTGGAACGAGCTCTGTTGGTCCATGTTGCAGTGCGCCGAGAGAAAAAACCCTTGACCGCCTAAGTGAAAGGCCTGCGAATAGACTCTCCCCGAGGGGAACAATCCTGCGCATTCTTCTCTTTTCAGGTCTAGGTAGACCACGCACTGCGGTCGAGGAAGCTCGAACTCCACGACTTTTACAGGTCTGTATTTGTAAGCCCTCTCTATGAGTCGGCGGTTCACAGAGGCTGACTCTTCGGCTGCTAGGCTACGTTGCCTGTGTGGGGCTTCTGCCTTGAAGAAAAGAGCTTCCAGAACAAGCTTTGACGCTATCTCATGCTCGAAGTCACTGCACGTCAGTACCTTCTTCAGCTTTCGGCATGTCATGAAAGGGAAGCGGATAGAGAGTGCAAGGCGTGACCCGAGAATCTCTCTTCGCTCCTCCAACAAAGGGTACTGCGCCCTTGCCCATTTCAAGATAAAATCATAAACTGCATCCTCTGATGCAATTTGGAGATCGTCGCTCGATAAAATCGCCTCAATTCCCGCCAAGGGTAGAGACAAAACCTCCTCCTGAAACCTGAATAAAAGAAGGTTACCATGAGTTAAAAGAGCCGACCCACCACCTCATGCTTCATGTGAACATTGATATCATACAAAACTATTAAGTTGTTATGGGGTCTTACTTGGTGATATCCTTGTAGCGGACAGCAAGGAATTGTTTTGCAGCATCGGTTAAAGGCTGAACAGCTTTGGCCATTAGAACACTAGAGGGAAGCTCGAGATAGAGCAGCGCAGACTCGGGAGTCATAGGCATGTTGCGGAGAAGTCTACTGCAGTACCTCATGCAAGAGGCAACCTCAAATTTATCAGCAGCCATCAGCACATCTAACAAAGCAGGTGCTGTGGCCACAGATACGGCATTGCTATACATAAAGTTCAAAAGCTCCATCAAAGCAGCTTCCTCTGCCACAAACACAAAGTAAGGTATGCATGTAAATCAAAGCCATCTATCATGTGTGTACACAACTGAGGACAAAAAAATGTAACCCATTTGTGTCTAGTCATGTTAAAAATGTATAAAGCCAATGAATGATAAACTAAATTCACATTCAGATATGTTCACATGTCAATAGCTTCTGTTGCAATGGCGTACCTGATGCATTAATTCTAAGGGTGACATGCCTCTGCTCAGATTCCCTCATTCCATTGGAGAACAACTAGAAAGTTTTGGAGAAAAATAAAAGAAATGAGCGAATCAAGAGTGAGATAGATACACACATGAGCAGAAGTAACATCAATAGAAGAACCAATAGATGATACCTTGTAAAAAAAAGGGCTTTTGGCAGCTAAGATAGGAGAACTAATATGAAGTTCTTTAACCCTAACAACTCTAGAACAGTCCATTCCCCAGTTTGGCTCACTAGTAATATCCTCTTCATCACCTAAAAAAATGAAAGCACGTTAAGCTCTTCTTGGGAAGCTAACAATGCTTCTCAAAAGGATGTTGCTTTAGTACCTGACAAAGCCTCTTCAACCATTGCCTCACCTTCATCATCTAGATTGTCACCACCGGGACATCCATCCATATCAGGTTGCTCATCGGTCAGAATCTGCTCCTCAGCACATGCCACAATGACTGAAACCGTGACTGAAAATGGATGAAAACATACATTCGAATTCAAAAACCGAAAATAGAAAGCCATAAACGCTAAACAAAGCAAGCAGAGGAACAATAATTTACATAGCCAGTTAGAGAAATTAAGGCTTCTATTTCCATATTAGAACACAGAGCTAGCAATCCGTTTTCCCAAAAAAAGAGAAGAGAGAAGGAGGCAAAGCATATCACCAGATTCCTTTTTGATATCTTCTCTTCTCCTCTTCCGATGGCGAGCCCAATCGGCGATGCTCGTACACCCTTCAGCGTCGGACCTGGAATCCGAGGGTCCGCCCATGATCTCGATCCGAAGCAAGCGATCGGAGAAGTTGCTGTCGTTAAAAGCGAATCCAAAATCGCCGTCGGAGGAGGAACTATGACGAGAGAAATCAGAATCCATCTGGGTTTTAGGGTCGAACAGATCCGTATTCTCAGTACCTCTCATACTCACTCAAATACACTTCCTCCGTCTTACTTTCCTCCGATCGGAGAAAGGGTAAAATCAGAAGAACTTGTTCGTGGCTGAATTTGGAAAGAGAGAGATGAACGGCTTTCAGGTGAGAGAGAGAGAGACGAAAGGCTACGAGACGAAGAGGCTACTATTCTATAAGTGTGTTCTTCTTATCTATCCAATAACCGGAACTAATAACCGGTTCGGTTTATGAGCCAATCTCCGGTTTTCTCTCTTCATATTTATCTGGTAGTGTAAATTGAATCTGTATCAGTTGTGGGATTTGTTCAGGATGTCCCAAAGAAGAGACAAATTTATTGGTTTAGCAGAATTTTGAAGTATTATTGGTATGAGAAATAATGACACTACCAAATTGTTGGTGGTTTAGTGGCCTTGGCTCGGTCTCTTTAAAAGATTCAAAAGAGAGACTAATCAAAACAAAACACGATGGGTGGTCAATTTAGATCAGATTGTCCAATCCAAAACAATTTTAAGAGAATTAGTTGTATTTTTTTATTTTAATATTCCATTCTTACATGAACTCGTTAACGCCTGTTCCCACCAAGAAAGTGAGAGATCCCCATTCATAATTTAATTCGTTAATGCGTGTTACTACTTAAAAAGCCAACGCTGGTTTATAAAAGTGTTAAGATCATGTTTCTCTTCTAGTGGCTGAATATTTACTCTAAAAGTTAGATGTTAGTGTTTGAAATTGAATCTTCTTATCACTATTTTAAACATGGCTTGTTAATATACTCAGATAACTAGTATATACTTGGATCCATAATCTTCAAGTTATAAAAAGGATTAGATTCAGTAAAATACTAAAATCTATTAAGCATTCATGTGTATGTCTTAAAAGTATCTCTCCATTCAAAACGATATTGGTTATTTTTTCTTCTTTTAATTTGAAAACTGATTTCATGAGTCAGAGCAAGTTGTCCGAAATTTCTTTACTTTTAAACATGGTAATGACACACATAAATTAATATAATTTTCTGAAAATAGTTAAGGAAGAGAAAAAACTAGTTCAAATTTTAGGAGATTATTTTTCTAATTCCAAATTATTATTATTTATTAATTAAAGCTATGAAAATTGAAATAAGTGACCTAGAAAATTATAAAATGAAACAAAATAGCTGTTGTCCATTACCTGTAAACCTAACACTGCAAAACCTGACAAATCCCATCACCAAAATAGGTCCAACTTCATTGAAGTACAAAAACATAGAAACCTTTTAAATAATTTACAGCTATAATGAATACACTCATTAAAAACCATTATTAATAATTGTAAAAGGAAAAAAAAAATCAAAAATCCTTATTTTATCCTCAAGGAACAGCAACGAGACAACCTCCAGTTTCAGAATGATGAGATATTGTGGGCCACATGTTAAAAAGGTTTCTTATATTTCACAGAGCAAGAGATTGAAGGAAGGAGAGGATTCGATTGATAAATTAAAAATATATGGGGCTCTTTTAATAAATCTATAATTAATAAAGTAGCAAATAACAATACTACTGGAAACATTTCCAATAATTTTAAAAATCATTACCCGTAACATCTTCATCTTCTTCTTCATCACCAAAAACAATCCAGCAGAGAAACAAAAAAAGGCCAAGACTTTCGGATTTACCCATTTTCTTCTTCAACTCAAACATTCAGCTACGGAGCGATCTCGAGTCTTGGTTCGAAGCAAAACCCAGTAAAGAGCTGAAGAGGGAACTTCTTCGCGACAGGACATTTCTGAGACCATTTCCAGTACTTGAGACTCATGTCGAAAGTGAGAAGCGCGGGAGATCCATAGCTTTGAATGTAAACCAAATCATCAGTGCCACTACTCGCGAAGACATCGTCGAACTCACCAAATCCTTGGAAAAACCTCTGAGGCATCCTCGCCATCTCTTGCCACTCTCTCCCTTTCAAAACCCAAATCCCAATTCCTTTGATGATATCGGGACGATCGTGTTTCCCGATTCCTCCAACAACCACAAGCCTCTCCTTCAGGTTCATCAACCTCCCGCAGGTCAGAGAGCACGGCATTGGGACGAAACTCCTCATCAAGATTCCCCCAGACGATGACGAAGACGATAGACTGGAAGCAATCAGGCCGTGGCGATGATCGGAGCCTCCCGTGGAGTAAATCAAGAAGTACAAGACGCCGTCGCAGATAACACTCTCGTCTCCTCCTCTCCACCCGGTTAAGACATCGCTTACGGATGTGGTCCAAGCCATTGTTTCAGAGCTGTAGAGATGGATAGAGAGATCCCACTGAAAGAAATTCCCCGGGACTTGCTTCGATTTCACCACCGAGACAGAGTAACTCCGGTTTGCTCGGTTTACCGCTCGGTTCACAGAGGTAGACATTGCGGTGTAGTCTGTGGATTTGTGACCAGGCGGTTCGGTAAGCCTCCTCCACTGTTTTGTAATCGGGTTCGAGACGTAGATCTTGTTCCTGGAGTCATTATCCATGAAACAGACCAACCCACAAGAGGAAGCAACAAACCAGTTGGATGTTTCGATGCAAGGGAGATCAAAGCTGTACCATTTCCGGATAATCGGGTCGTAAGCATAACCCGACGGGTCGTCGGTGCTGGTGAACATGAAGTACCAAGGCCTCTGAGGGACCGAGTTGTTGGAGAAACTCCACAAGAACCTTCGAGAAGACACGATCTCGTTCCATCTTTTGCAGACAGTACCAGCTCTGAAGATGCTAGCAATGGGGAGAAACGAGAGGATTCTCTCTAATAAATCGTCGGGGAGAAGAGAATCCATTGAAAAAGTTTCCACTTTGGTCTCATCGTCGCTCTGCTCAGAGTATGATTCAGCTTCAGGGACATATGTCATGTAGCTGTACGGATAATTGGTCCAAGATGTTTCTGCTTCCATCCTCAAAGCCACTGAAAATAAATAAAACACAGATAATCAGGAAAATTGTATCCTTCATTATACACATCAATTTGAACACTGAAAAGTCCCATTAGATCTTTCTAATTTCAGATTTAAAGCTCAAGAATCTGTATAACAAATCCTAAATTTCATATTCATCCATTTCACAACACATAACCTTTTGGACCAGATTTGCTTTAGGAGACATGCAGAGTCAAATCGAAAATGCAGAAGACAACAGAGAAGATTATGTTTGGACTTAATCCACTATTGCAATATAATTTATCAGACAGAAACCAAAAGAAAAAAAGGAGAAAGCTTGTGTCATCCTTTCAACGTCAAGATTTTCACTGATGATAATTAATACAAAAGTTGGATATTAGGTTTAAAAAAGACGTTTTTTTCTTTGTTGTTTCTTATCGCATATGAAATTAGGCTAAACGCTTACATCAATCAAACATCTGGTAACAGCATACATCATTAATACCAAAACCCATCATCAATCATAGATTACGAACACGGAACAGATCAATGAACCATCGAGAAATTAAAAAGCAGAAAGCGACAGTGAAATCAAACAGGAACCCATTTCGATTCACTACAAACCTTCGATTCGGGGAGCTCGAGGGTCTCTGAATCTTGAGAATTCTCGAGATTCAAACCGAGAAAAGTATCGGTTTTTTTTTTTAAGATTTGCCAGAGGAAATGCCGGTTTTGTAGATATCGGTTATTGAGAAGAGCCGAAAGATGAGATTTTTCCTATAAATAGAAGATGGAAATGAAATGGGTCTTTGGGTATTTTGGATTTGTTAAGAGTTAGAATGAGGAAAGGGGTTCATCAAGAACGAAGGCGAGAGGTTGAGAAAAATTTGGTTTATTAGAGAGAGAGAGAGAGTGAAGAAGAGACGTTTCGGGTTCGATTGTAAGAAGGATACAAACAGTGACGAAGGAGGACAAAAGAAAAACGAAAGGGAAAGACAAAAGAGAGAGGAGCAAGCGCGAGGAAGAGGGGAGAGAAGAGAAGAAGACGTTTGCTGTTTTCTTCTTTTTTATTTTTTTCCCCCATTTTATTTTTGATGGGAAAGGGTTTAAATAAATAAAATGGAATACACTGCAGGCGCGTGTCCGCGCGTGTCATTATTTACTACTATGTGAAAATAATATATTAATGTATATGGTATTGTAACTGTTATATTATTTGAGAAAATTATTTCATGGGAACTAACAAACACAAAACAATGAAAAATATCATAACACCAATAATAATGCTGTCTTACTCATCAACCTGTATATTTCTTTTTAAAATAATAGGAGTATGGTTTATTATTATCAAGCGGCGTTGTAAAGGAGAAACATTATTTTAGTGGTAAAGTATAAATAACATACTAACAAAAAAGGAGTAGAAAAGTGAAATAACACAGTGAGATAAACAGAAAAAAAAAAAATCATTACTAATTTAGATGAATGTGTGAAATCACCAAAGATGCAAAGATTTTACTATTGTGTTTCATCCATTTGATAAGAAATTGATATTTCTTTTTCGTTGCATCGCATCCATTTTATTACCGTTGTGATATTGATAACCTTTTAAATTAAAATTAAAATAAATTACCCATCGCAATCGTTATTTTACTAAAAACAGTAAAAGTGTAAAACAAGGATGAAGAAAATTGTGTTTTCTTTTGGTATTTCACTCTGCAGCCAGAAGGGTTAGCCGAAAATGACATACCACATGAGGTAACCTTTTTGTGTTTTTATTTAATTCATATATTGTCTATTAATTATTTAAAAATAATGATAAACTAATGAAAATGTTTTTTTTGTTATATATTATTCTCATATTATTGTAATCTTTAGTAATTATACTTTGCTTTTCAAACACTGAAAGGTCTGTGTCTCTACTTTCCTTAGCCTAGACTTCTCGCAGTTTCTTAGTGGCCTGCCCTTTACCTAATACACTCACTATATCACTATGCAAAAAACAAAACTAAAATCAAACATTAATAAATAAGTAATTTGTATGTACATATTATTAGTTAAATATGTTGGTCATGAACTCACGATGCAAAAAAATTAAAATATATAGGTACAGCTTTAAAATGTT